AGTTAAAGAATTGATCCTAGCCTCCCCTTCAAGGTAGCAGTAAGAGAAGCTATACTCAGAAATGACCCTGATGAGTCTTTGCTAAAAGGGGAAGACGAAACCATGGTAGGTCAAAAATTCTTTGGCAATCATTTGAAAACTCAACACATTGATCAAAATAAAACATACATTCAACAAAAAAGTTCATTCTTCATAGTTGTACAAAAAGTTCTTACTCTTGCATTCCATCTTGGGATCTCCTGAAACTTTCGATGAAAGTTATTCAACTTTTGTCAGAACTCAGATCTTAGTGTCTAGTTCAACATTATGAAAACCTAATCAGAAGTAAGGAGAGTCAAGAGGTTTTGAGGAACAGTACAACTTACAAACTTACAAACTTACACTTCACATCTGATCAACAAACAAACATACAAATACAAACAAATACAAATGCAAACATAGATGCATCTATACATTCAAATATCACAGAAAACAATTTTCACCACAAACAATCTAAATTGCAAACAACAATAGACACATACTCAAAAACAAAAAATACTTATCTTAAAACCTACAAACATCAATACAACAAATCATTTTCATACAAGGTAAGACTAAGTTAACCAACAAAACACATATACCCCAAAAAACATTATAATGTTATTTTCAAAACTTACAAACATCAATACAAACAAAAAATTAAAGGCAAGGTAGGACTCAGTTAAAGAATTGATCCTAGCCTCCCCTTCAAGGTAGCAGTAAGAGAAGCTATACTCAGAAATGACCCTGATGAGTCTTTGCTAAAAGGGGAAGACGAAACCATGGTAGGTCAAAAATTCTTTGGCAATCATTTGAAAACTCAACACATTGATCAAAATAAAACATACATTCAACAAAAAAGTTCATTCTTCATAGTTGTACAAAAAGTTCTTACTCTTGCATTCCATCTTGGGATCTCCTGAAACTTTCGATGAAAGTTATTCAACTTTTGTCAGAACTCAGATCTTAGTGTCTAGTTCAACATTATGAAAACCTAATCAGAAGTAAGGAGAGTCAAGAGGTTTTGAGGAACAGTACAACTTACAAACTTACAAACTTACACTTCACATCTGATCAACAAACAAACATACAAATACAAACAAATACAAATGCAAACATAGATGCATCTATACATTCAAATATCACAGAAAACAATTTTCACCACAAACAATCTAAATTGCAAACAACAATAGACACATACTCAAAAACAAAAAATACTTATCTTAAAACCTACAAACATCAATACAACAAATCATTTTCATACAAGGTAAGACTAAGTTAACCAACAAAACACATATACCCCAAAAAACATTATAATGTTATTTTCAAAACTTACAAACATCAATACAAACAAAAAATTAAAGGCAAGGTAGGACTCAGTTAAAGAATTGATCCTAGCCTCCCCTTCAAGGTAGCAGTAAGAGAAGCTATACTCAGAAATGACCCTGATGAGTCTTTGCTAAAAGGGGAAGACGAAACCATGGTAGGTCAAAAATTCTTTGGCAATCATTTGAAAACTCAACACATTGATCAAAATAAAACATACATTCAACAAAAAAGTTCATTCTTCATAGTTGTACAAAAAGTTCTTACTCTTGCATTCCATCTTGGGATCTCCTGAAACTTTCGATGAAAGTTATTCAACTTTTGTCAGAACTCAGATCTTAGTGTCTAGTTCAACATTATGAAAACCTAATCAGAAGTAAGGAGAGTCAAGAGGTTTTGAGGAACAGTACAACTTACAAACTTACAAACTTACACTTCACATCTGATCAACAAACAAACATACAAATACAAACAAATACAAATGCAAACATAGATGCATCTATACATTCAAATATCACAGAAAACAATTTTCACCACAAACAATCTAAATTGCAAACAACAATAGACACATACTCAAAAACAAAAAATACTTATCTTAAAACCTACAAACATCAATACAACAAATCATTTTCATACAAGGTAAGACTAAGTTAACCAACAAAACACATATACCCCAAAAAACATTATAATGTTATTTTCAAAACTTACAAACATCAATACAAACAAAAAATTAAAGGCAAGGTAGGACTCAGTTAAAGAATTGATCCTAGCCTCCCCTTCAAGGTAGCAGTAAGAGAAGCTATACTCAGAAATGACCCTGATGAGTCTTTGCTAAAAGGGGAAGACGAAACCATGGTAGGTCAAAAATTCTTTGGCAATCATTTGAAAACTCAACACATTGATCAAAATAAAACATACATTCAACAAAAAAGTTCATTCTTCATAGTTGTACAAAAAGTTCTTACTCTTGCATTCCATCTTGGGATCTCCTGAAACTTTCGATGAAAGTTATTCAACTTTTGTCAGAACTCAGATCTTAGTGTCTAGTTCAACATTATGAAAACCTAATCAGAAGTAAGGAGAGTCAAGAGGTTTTGAGGAACAGTACAACTTACAAACTTACAAACTTACACTTCACATCTGATCAACAAACAAACATACAAATACAAACAAATACAAATGCAAACATAGATGCATCTATACATTCAAATATCACAGAAAACAATTTTCACCACAAACAATCTAAATTGCAAACAACAATAGACACATACTCAAAAACAAAAAATACTTATCTTAAAACCTACAAACATCAATACAACAAATCATTTTCATACAAGGTAAGACTAAGTTAACCAACAAAACACATATACCCCAAAAAACATTATAATGTTATTTTCAAAACTTACAAACATCAATACAAACAAAAAATTAAAGGCAAGGTAGGACTCAGTTAAAGAATTGATCCTAGCCTCCCCTTCAAGGTAGCAGTAAGAGAAGCTATACTCAGAAATGACCCTGATGAGTCTTTGCTAAAAGGGGAAGACGAAACCATGGTAGGTCAAAAATTCTTTGGCAATCATTTGAAAACTCAACACATTGATCAAAATAAAACATACATTCAACAAAAAAGTTCATTCTTCATAGTTGTACAAAAAGTTCTTACTCTTGCATTCCATCTTGGGATCTCCTGAAACTTTCGATGAAAGTTATTCAACTTTTGTCAGAACTCAGATCTTAGTGTCTAGTTCAACATTATGAAAACCCTAACCTAACCCTAACCCTAACCCTAACCTAACCTAACCCTAACCCTAACATTACAAAAACCTAACCCTAACCCTAACCCTAACCTAACCCTAACCCTAACCTAACCCTAACCCTAACCCTGAACTCAATAGAGCTCCAAGAGCTCAAGTGAGCTTCAGCAGTTCTTACAACTTAGTCAGACAAAGAAATGGTCCCTACCAAGGAACAGACTGAGGAGGAAGAAGATGATGACAACTATGATGATATGGAAGATGGTGAGTATCAATATGAAAGCACTCCAAAAGAGAATAGCAATATTGGAATACAACAAAGACTCCTAATCAAAAGATCAGGTGATGAATTTGAAGTAGTACCTTCAAAGAAACAAAGAAAAATGTAGTTAGGTGGCGCTAGTGCAAGGGCAGCCATCTTGTTTTCATGTTTTATATATAAATTTTTTTTTTTTTGTGGTGATGGTATAAATACTTATGTTTGTGTTCAGTTTAACTTACAACCTGATGAAGCCTCAAGTAGAGGCGAAATATTGTTGTAATATGTTTTAAAGTTTAAAATAAAAAGTTGATGAAAAAGAAAAAATTTAATTGTTATTGAATAAGACTAAGAGTTTGACAGAGCACTGAAGCACCAAGGAGCTCAGACATAGAGAACTCCTACCTATTGGAAAATTGGTAGAACCCTGGAACACCAACTAACCAGTTCCCAAAACCTGACTAAGACTGGGAGCCCAGATCTATAATCCTGACCAAGGAGAACCCCTACCTAACATTGAGTAAAAGTTAGGTATTACACTGGAACACTAGCTAACCAGTTCCCAAAAACATTACCAGAGTTGTGTGAGTGGCCTAACCCATAACCCTTACCAAACCCTAACCCTAACCCTAACCTAACAACCTGATGAAGCCTCAAGTAGAGGCGAAATATTGTTGTAATATGTTTTAAAGTTTAAAATAAAAAGTTGATGAAAAAGAAAAAATTTAATTGTTATTGAATAAGACTAAGAGTTTGACAGAGCACTGAAGCACCAAGGAGCTCAGACATAGAGAACTCCTACCTATTGGAAAATTGGTAGAACCCTGGAACACCAACTAACCAGTTCCCAAAACCTGACTAGAACTGGGAGCCCAGATCTATAATCCTGACCAAGGAGAACCCCTACCTAACATTGAGTAAAAGTTAGGTATTACACTGGAACACTAGCTAACCAGTTCCCAAAAACATTACCAGAGTTGTGTGAGTGGCCTAACCCATAACCCTTACCAAACCCTAACCTAACACTCAATAACATGTTCTTAGAATCTTTATCAATCAACAATATACCAAGTATCTGTAGAGAACTCCTTTTATAAGACTTCTCAAAACTGTCTAGTCTGTTTAAATTTAATGCTAGTGACTCTGATGAGTCCCAGATATATAAATATTGTAGAGAGGGGGACGAAACCACAGTAGGTCAAGTAGGTAGGAAATAAATTTAAGAAAAAAATTTTTTCTGTTGGAAATTGTTTTAAACGTCGATTTTGGTGTATTTTTTCTGTGACTGCTTTCCAAAATCAACTGGGACTCTTGAAATGTGAGAATCCTGTTTCTCTTTTTTGATTTAGTCAAAAACAACATTTGCTGACCAAAACCTAACCTAACCCTATTTAAAAGAAATTCTTCAAGTTTTAAAAACAGCTTTATGAAATTTGTTAGAATTCAAAAGCTTTTAGAAAATGAAACTATTACATTTTTAGACATATAGAAATATAAAAAAGGACATTTGTTAAGAGATTGTTGAATGGCTTTCAATATATGAAAGAAGGTTTTATACTGTGAAATCATTCATAAATTTTCCCACAGTAAATTGTAAGACATTAAGATCCGTATAAATTTGAATGTATATAAAGGGAGCAAGCAGATTGGTTTCAATCAAAATATTTTTAAGTTTGAAAGAATGATGTTAAAGAATTTACTGCATTGTGTACTGCTGGTTCATTCTGTCTTAGCACAAGTTATTTTCAATGAAGTTGATTTTGGAGGATCAAAAGTTGAAATGATTGCTTTGCCTGGTTCCTATCCAAGTACTAAAGCACATATTATCTCAGGCGCCAAAGTTAGAAAGTACGCCTTTCTGATTGGTGCAGACTATCAAACTGAAACTATTTTTAAGAAAAATATTCCATCCTTTCCAAAAACTGAACAATTTTTACTCGTTTTTTATAAAGGTAGGATAATGATATTAATATTATTTAACAATTCTATAAATCCAAATCATACTTTTCCAAAATCTTTTAGAACAGTCAGATAGTGATACCACTCTTTATGCTGACTTTGTAAAAGAAAATATTTTAGATGCTATTGTTTTCTCACCCACTCAAAATGATCCAAATCAATTCTCTGACAAAATACCAGAATGGGACAATAAAGTTCTCTACATTTCTAATGGTGCAAATGCATTTTCAAAGTGTTTTAAACAGGAACCATTCATTCCAAATTATTGGTTTGAGAGGCCTGTTACTTTGTTGACAGCAAATGATTGTCCTGAAGGTATTATTTCATACATTATTCTACATGCAAATTGATTATTTTATTAACATTCAATGCAGTTGACCCAAATGCGGGTGGGGATCCACATTTCTCCCAAAAGGTTGTTGATTCAAAAACTAGGAGAATGATGAATATTTGTTATGATATTGTTGGCAAAAGTAGTCAATCAATTAATATTTTGAATGATAATTCTACAAATACAAATGTTCAAGGTGTCCTTAAAGATGATTATTACATGCATCAGATTATTATTCAATATAAAGGTGGAGTGATTATTGTTGATAATACATTCATTCAAATCAATAATAAAAAAATGAAATGGGCCAACCTGGTTAAATACAAAGTTCATTTTGCCACTGTTCATGTTAAGTCAACTGAAGAAATTCAAATTGAAACATTTTATAAAAAATTCAAAATAGTCACAATTGTCAAAAAAGAGTTTAAATCATACAGTGGCTCATTTCTTAATGTTTACTTTGAAGAATTGAATGTATTTTATGAAAATCTTGGAGGATTAATTGGAGATATTGGAAAAAAGACATACATTTTCAATGATGAAATCCAAGTAAATTCAAATAATGTTAGAGTTGATAATATTGAAATTGAATCAACTGTTACAAGAAGATGGCTGAATGAGTGTTATCTCCTTCCAATAGCAGAACTAATACATCCTAAAACAATATCAGATTATATTCACTAATCAAAATTCTTAGCCAAGCAGCAAAATCTACTGACTACACACCAAGGAATAATGAAAAAATTTAATCTATTTGACAGACTTAGGATTGTAATTGGGTAAAGATAATCAAAAAAACTTTTTTCTCATGTTATTATTGGTGTTTATTGTTAATAAATGTAGATTTAATTATTAATTCCAAGTCTTAGATCTCTTTATCATTTATTTTTACAGACCATTGTGTACCATTTTTTGTGGGGTGCCACATACATTGATTTGGGTTCAGTTTAAGGCTCCCTACTGGCCAATCAATGGGCTTGATTTCATTCCTTTCAAAGGCCCTTTTTGTTTTTTTCAGGTCCACTTAGCAAGAATCTAGCCTCATCAGAAAAAATAACTTTTGACCAGTCTATATTCTTCCTAACAATTTTTAGACAATAATCTTTTCTTCTTTTGCAATCATTAGAGGTGAGATTTGTTCTTTATCTGATTCTTTTTTACTTGAAATATTGTCTATTCAGCTCCCTCTGAATGATTCTAACTCTTACATCTAGTTATAATTCTTTTGATGTCTTTTCGTTATAGTCTTTAACTTTTTGATGGTCCTTTTCACCATGGCTATATCTGTCCAAAAACCTCTTTGGTCCACCTCTATTGTCTTGCTCTAGCTGCTTATACTTCATGATATTGCTGATTGTTGATGGTGGCATTTCCAAAACTCTTGCTGTTGCCCTTAATTTCCCTATTTATTTATTTTTTTTACTACGAGATCCCCAATATCTTTACTCTACATCATACCTAAAAAAAATACAACAAAAACTATATAATGTAATTAAAATAATCACTAAGTAGGAAACTTAAGTTGGAAAAACCAATATGTGCACTCATATTTAGACTTTAGATATAAAGATACTTTAGAAAGACTTTTATTTTGTAGGAATTAGAATGGTCGAACTTTGGAAAGACTTCTAAAGAGCTAGTTTCAAAATTTGATTGGATTTATTGTTAGAAGGGCTCCTATTTAAGGTTAGCATATATTAATAACATAGATATTACACTCAACTTCAGATATATTGAGGTAGACTTGAATCCTCCAAGAGTATGTTTGCTCACCCACCCAGTATCATTAAAGTATACAGAGGTTTAGCTATTCTTGCAAAATGTTTTATAAACTTTCTGTAAGAGCCACAAAAAGCTACAATGCTCCGTAGAGAATTTACAAAAATTGGGGGCATTAACAAGAAGAATGTGAGCAACAAATTGCTGAATTGGTAAAAAGCAAAGATATTTTCTTTTGAAAACTGTTTGATAATGCTGCTTGTAGGTAAAAGAAATAACAATATTAACTTTTTTAATAGACGATGCCATTATTTTTTAACTATAATTCATAAATGTACAGTTAGATATAATAAAATAGGATAAGCATGAAATATAACAAAAGTTGTACATTAGTATTCAACATATTCATGTGTTCAGTTTGATTATGGTTTAGGCTTGAAAATAATAAAATAGGGCATTTTTCAAACTTTGAATGAAATCTCCTGAAAGCAGCAAAGCCAGAAAAACTACACTATAATTGTTTCAAGTCTATAGTATATTGGAAACTATGCACTCTTATGCTAAACTAAAAATACTTTGCTATCTCTATCAGGTTGAACTTTTAAAAACCAACAAAAGAGTTATGTTTAAATTAGGTTTCCTATAGAAATGTATTAGTGAACTGTATTATGAAATTGAGCAGTTTATTTTCTGAGTTCAAAAAATCTGGTTACACCACATCTACTTGCACATACTCCAGTCAAGCCTGATGCTCTACAAGCAGCATAACATATGATATTCAAATTTTTCTCATTTTTCAACTAAAAAAAACACAAACAAAATATAAATAGCCAGGTGAATCTTTTCTAAAATTAAGATTTGACTTACCATTTTCAATTTAGACAACAGAATAGATCTTGGTGTATTGCAAGTTGAACCAGCATTTGCTCTACTTCCATCAATTCCAGTCATTACAAACTCACAAATAACAGCTGCTTCAAAACTATCCAATTCATCACTCTTTTTTGAATTAAATGTTATTGTTAAAAAGAAAAAGTTGGATTGAAAGAAATTATCAATACTAACACCTCTCTTAACCAGTTCTTCCCTTCCTCTCTCTCAGCAGATCAAGTACAGAGGAACTTTGGTATACTTGCAGAACCAGTGCAATAACAAAAATCACTGATACAAATTTCATATCTTTACTTTGGCAGTTGTGTGAATGATAATTTTTACTAAAATGATAATTTTTACTAAAGACTTTTCTCTTTATATAGATTTATGATTTAAATGAAATAAGATATACAATCCACATATTCTGTTAATTGTTGGACTTGTCATATTAAAATTGTTACATCTTATGCAACTCTCCAAGTTTCGAAATTCAACTATTATTTAGAAGAGGAAAACAATAAAAACCCTTTAATTGTTTTAAATGTCGATTTTGGTGTATTTTTTCTTTGACTGCTTCCCAAAATCGATTGGGCCTCTTGAAAGGTGAGAATTCTGTTTCTCTCTTTTTATTTAGTAGAAAAAAACCTTTTGCAAACCCTAATCAAGATTAGGTATTTAACGATCTAACAGGCGAATTAGCTGTAAGAAAACTCAAAGAATGTCAATCATATATGCATAGATTTGGACTTGAAAAGTCTCAATACATGAATCTGGTAAAACGTTCAAATGATGAAAAAGGCGTCAACTTGAGCTATAAGAACAAATAAATAAATGATCTGATTCTGATCATTGAAGAAATAGGAATCAGTGATGATGCCTTGCTTTTTGATATTATGATCAAAGATTGTATGAGAATGAAATAAACACATTCTTTAAGTCAAAATCACAATCACTTTCAGATGACTGTCAAGTTTCAAGTGGGAAAATGTTCAACTTAAATATAACTTTCGAAAATTTAGATTCAGAAGTTGCAAAGGCAAAACTCAAAGTAGTTCCAGCTAAGTCAGTTGACATTAAATTTGTCCAACAAAAATCAGCTCTTTTGAGGCTGGTCAAATTGAATACTAAACTGAAAGATGGTGAGTTATTTAAAAATGACAGTGATAAGTTTGAAAAACTGAAAAGATCGCAGCTTCTGAAGGAATTAGGTAAGCTAAAGTCAGATGAAATGCTGTGCTGTATCATGTTTGAAAACACTTGTGTTGATCAGGTAGAAAACATTATCAAAAACTGTAATAAAACTATTGCGTTTGTTATTTGCTTCGAAGTCATTTGTAATTATTTTCATAGTGATCTAGAACAAGATCAAGCTAACTGAAGTTTTGATCAATTGAACCAATTGAATAAGCAGAAATTGTCATCAATTTGCTTTGAGAACATAATTTTGAATTCTCTTTAGAATTTGATTATTTATTGGACAAAAATGTTGAGTTCATTTTGGAAAATGCCAGTCTGGAGGAAAAAGACATAAAAATCAAAGACAAAAAGAATATTAAAGACATGCACATCAACAATTCTCTCTCTACACTGGAATTGAACATATTTATCTTAAGAGGAATTGAATTCATTATTCTTGCAGAAGAGAAAAAGTTTGTTCCATTGTGCATTATAAGTCCTGTGGCTTCTCTTGGTTTAGGTCAAGCGATGCTTGGTTGTGCTTTGATAATAACTGGTTTTGGCGCCTCCTTGAGAACGGCAATAGTTGCAGAAGGAATAGCACACATGGTAGTAGTGGCATATAACACACACTGCACATAGCTATTTCAGTGGAACCATTACTGTCAAAAGAAAGCAGTTGGTCTGGCCATATCCGCTGTCTCTATGGGGATGTCAATTATGAAGGATGATGCCAAGGGTATGAAGGCATTAGTAACTGGTAGTGAGAAAGAAATGATAGAATAATCTGCTACTCAGATCATCACCAATAACAAAGCCATTGCATCAAAACTGATAAAAACGGGTGCAAATTTGAAGAGTTTGGCTAGTAAAGGCGTGGGTGTTGAATTTAGAGAGGCCGTGGCAAGGAAGGGTTTAAGCACAGGCGTCCAGCTTTTGTTCGATTTTTCATTTGAAAGAATAAAACCTTCACTTTCCGAATCAGTGGAGTCACACATTAGGAGTTCATTTCACAACGCAAACCTCAAATGTTTATTGTATAAAATGTATGCCATTGATTTAGTTGTGGGCTCAGAGAAACTTCTTTGTAGAGTTGAACAGTTCGTATCTGATATTATTAATCAAGAAGAATTCAACACCACTATCTTGTAGACGGGGAACAGAATTCAGATAGTCAAAAAGTTGATGAAGAGAATTTAGCTGCAAGGGAGCAGGAGTTTCTGGCGAATTATGGCAAGTACAGAACATTTCAACAGCAACTCAACTACAACAGCAGGGACTATTGCATAGCATATAGTCAATAAATAAGCGAATAAATCTTACAAGCAAATCAGGAGTATGCTAAAAACTCAACAGACAAAACAGTCCAGAAAAGAGCTAATGACATTCGACAAGGAAAAGCAGATATAATAGCTGCTGCTAAACGTTACAGAATCATATTGAAAATTGTAGACAGTTTAAAGTACAGCTTAATCAGAGAAGATGTCGAAAATAAAGTTAGAGTTATATATGTTCAATTTGATTATAGTTTAGACATTCGTGATATCTTTTACGTGAATGATGGAGGCTGTGTGGTTGAAATAACAGCCAGTCGTGAGATAAACGACTATCCCTTTGATGCTTTCAGTCATATTCTTGACAAGCAGGGCATCAGCAAATCCCTCATTAATGTTCGGGGTGTGACTGCCAAATATATGGAATTAAACTGCAATTACTTTTATGAATACATTAGACAAAAAGCCGGTGTGAGAACTGAGACAACGACAGATTATATAACTAAAGAGTTTTGGCGTTATGAAACAATGTCACAATAGAAAACTGGAATTTTGGAGAATTGTGCTTTTTAAGCTCTAAATTGTTCCATAAAAGAAGACGATCAACTGAACCCTAAAACGTATGGACGACATTAATTACAGATTCATATTCACAAGACCAAACAACTATATATATGTGTGTGTGTCTGTATAAGTTTTAAGCCTAAAATAATTTTGGAGACCTCTGTGTAACCTTTTATTTAACCCTAACTACAAACTACAAATGTCAAATTTTCTATAGCGCAAGATGTTGCTCAATATTTATCCATTTAAAAAAAAAACAGACCTGCGTAGTCTCAAATGAAAATCTGACTAATAACAAATATGTGGAAATTTTTCAAACAATAAAGCTTTCAAGTTGACCATATCTCTAATAATCTATCAATAATTATTTAAATTTCTATTTCATTTTCAGTCAGAGTCTCTTCCAGAGACGATCTAATTAACCTCATCATCATCTTCTACTGAAAAAGTAATAGCAGCCGACCGGGGTTGGCTAACCCTAACAAAAACGTTTATAGGGCGCCTTCCAGGTGCTTAGATGTGGAACTATAATCCCTGTATCATTCAGCCGGAGTTTGAGTATGGGAAATTTTACCGAATTGTTCAGAAACCAAGATCAACAAACGTCCCTCTCACATCCCTGATTGTTCTTGTTTTATTTAGCAGTCTGCATGTCAATTTTCATTGTAAGAGAATCTGTCAATGTAGAATGGTTAATATGTTGTTCCAGGTCAGTTCGTAACTTGGGCTCTTTTACAAGGCACTCCACTTGATGAGTTTGAAGGATACACGAATAAAAGTTCACTTTCCAGTCTTGCTTTATAATGGATTGGTAGAAAATCCGACCACGTTTAAGCTGTACTTGCCTGCGTATCTTTACTGAGACACAGATACAAGTTATGCGCTTACAGGCGCTACCCAAAAATAACAAAATAAAACCGAAAACGTTAACAATTGAATGCGAAGGTGGAGATGATATTCTGTATATTTAAGCTTATTCAATAATGCTTATACTAATTAAACGTTAATTGCAACTGTTATCAATTCAATAGATAAAACTATGGATAAAAGTTATGGCGACCCAAAAAAAGCTTTTGTCCTTTCACTAGGCCTACCATTTCAAAAGACACCCTTATGCTATTTTATTAGAAAAATACTAGAATTTCGTGCGACGACAACTGATGAGGACAGTTTATAAGCTATGAAATGGTTCAGTATTTAGAATCTGCTTGAACCGTAAGCATCTCGATAGCAAGTTTATGGAATGATCTAATTCTTCGAAATGAACAATTTTTTATTATCTAAACTAGATAATGGATAATGCCGTCAACTCTTTGTCCTCTTAATCGTCCTCTGTACGTTTTACGTGGAAGTGTTGACTGGCTGGTCAATATTATCTCTATTATTGTATGCTAAAAAAAGCGTTTAATAGCGCGAATCTGTGTTTTATTTAAAGAATTATGTTGGTAAAAACTGGAACGGTAGTATTACAACCTAATAACCCCGATAGCGTATACGCGATACACAAAACACCACCTTAAATTTGCTCATATTAGCAAGATAATATAAATCCGATAGGTGATATACTAAATTAATTGAGTAGTTAACTAGTAAAAGGTTACGGTGTTCGAAAATTGTTTGTATAAATACTGCAGACGAACAATTAGAAGCGTTTTGAATTGTGATAGAGAGAGAGAGAGAGGAGACTAAAACTTCGGCATGTCAACAGTACTTATATTCTCAATAGTCTTTTTATGCTGTTGTATTAATCTGGGCACTCTTGCACAATTTACTGGATTCAATTTCAACGGCAAAAGTAAAATTGCCACTGAAGGAGTTCCATTTTCTATTCCTGTTACAATTGAAAACCCAACAACCGATTTAGATTGTCATGTTCTTATACAGACAAGTTTGAAATTAGAAGCAACGACAAATGATATCTTTCCAGCTGGTCAAGTGAAGACAATAAACTTTCTTTTCGTATTTGATTCCTCAATAGCCGACAAACCTTGCTCAACTGCAATTGCTCAATTGGAACTTAGGTGTAGTATGGGTTCTTTCAAGAAGGATATCGAGACTATTAGAGTTAAAGATGCGGATGGTACTGGTTGCGACGACCCTCATTTTAAACAAATCATTCAAGGTGTAGATGGTTCTAATTTGCAAACTATTCAAATGAACGTTTGTTACGATCTCTACGGAAATTCTGGCGATATATATGAAATTCTAACTGACAATATTCTTGATTTGTCCTTATTTATTCAACTCAGAGGCGATTATTATATTGGTAGAATACTCTTGAAAACTGCTGACGGATTTATTAATATTTCAACTCAATTGATTTCTTTACCAAACTATCTGACATTCGATTGGAATTCCGGTCAGTTTACGCCTGTCGAATCAAATATCGCTTCACTAGTCCATGTACAATTCAATGAAAATGGCGATATATATATCAATTCTATTAGTAACAATGAGCGAGAAGAACGCTTCTTTGCTATTGAGATTAGTAGAGTTTATCAAAAAATCGGTAAATATTATCTCAATTTTCGTCTAAAAACAAACAGTGGTAGGGGAAACAATGACGGAGTTCTCGATGATACCTACACTGGACTCATGGCTCATGTCTATAATTCTCGATATAAATTCTATTATCCCGTTCAAGAATTTCATACAAACACCGTTGTTAACGTCAATGGTCGTTTTGTTCAAGCATGGATGAAAAATTCACCGACAATAGTCAAAGTAGACGAAGATAACGAAAAAGATGAATCAGATAATAAGATTTCAAGTTCAAGTTGTATATCTGTTCGATTAAACGATTTAATTTATCCGAAAACTGCCAAACATTTCAAAATAAAAACATTGAATAAGAACATTCTTCCTGCTTAAAGGAACAGATTACAAGATTGTGTTCAATTTTTCGCTATATCGGTCGAAAACATTTGAGAATGCACCTTCTCAATACAGAACGAGTATATTTCGATAGTCTTTGAAAAAATACTCCTCCACCATCGTTGTCAGTAAATAAGAAGAGGTTAATTATAAGGATATTAAGGTAATCGTTATATCTTCTTATTGGGCGAAAATGTACATTTACCGAAATTTTAATGCTAGACAATTGAAATTAGACATAGTAGTAGATATTCAAATCGTCAATGAGAATTCAATGTTAGTAGTTGTTCAACGTTCACGATTCTCTTTCGCTACCATCATCAGTTCAGAGAAATTGTCCAGCATGTGACGAGTCTGTTTATTCATTCCATTCTGGCGTTGAATTTTCGCAAAGGTATAAGATGCAATCTGCTGATCATTGTGTTACGTGCCAAGTTACGTGGATGCGGAAGATGGGCTTTAGAATATTCAGCTGCCAACAAAGAAGAAACAACTTTAAAAGTTTCTTTTCAGGCGTTCGGGCATTTCTACTGTTGGAATTATTTCATTTATTACTAAATTAGTATTAATTCTTCTCTTCAGCACTTTTACTCTTTTGCACTATTATAATTGTTATCTGTTAGACAATAACGGCTGCTATCCAACCCGACGACGTCTTTGAGAAGGATGAACACAGAAAACAGACAGTCATTCTCCTTGTTAGAGTTTCTAATTTTGGTGGAAGGACGAAACGAAAAAAACAGCTGCAAATCAGTAGGCCTAAATAAGCAGAGAATATTACCTTATACATTATATATTTAAGATTCTTTGGCATAAAGTTCTTTACCTAAATAAGCGATAGCTGAGAGCTGAGACTCTCATATATCATAATCCCATCGTGAACAAATGTTATGGATAGGGTTTTGTATTAGATAATTTACAATCAATTTTATCGATCAGTGTAGAAGAGAGAGTGGGAAAAAAAACGATTAAATATCTCAGAAAAATTTGTCCTTGCAAACATCTGTTGTGGGCTCTCGTACTCTGTTCATAATTTCCCGTTCAATTTTATCTCTTAGACAGGGTTGAAATGAAAAGAACTCGCCTTAGAGAAAAGATTCAATCTGTTGTTGGAATACAATTTCTTTATTGTAAATATGTTGTTCTTGTCTAAAAGGGGAGAGATTTTAGAAAAGTTTTACCGCACGCAACTAGCAACTAGGTAGAAATTCATTTTCATTCATAGACGATAACGCAAATTGAAAATTTACGCCTATATCTCTTTCGAGCAAGAAAGAGTCTGTCTATACAGCAAACTCTACGAAAGATTACTTGTTTGGCAAGTGGACGGAGAAGGTTAAAAATGATTGACAAAACCTTTTTTAATATAAAGTGAATACTTTTGAATAGAAATTATGAATCACATTCTTCAAAACATGCACAATTCGAGTCAGCATTTATCTTTTCAGCCATTAAGAAAAGCTTAAGAATTTCAAGTTCAAAGAGATAAATAAGTTGAATAGAAACACTCTCGTCTTTCCCATGACATACTTAAAGCATGAATTGGTGTGAAATGTATATAAATATAAGAAGCTGTTTAGACAGAGAGACGATGAAAAATATTTGAAATTTGAATTTTGGAACGGTACCATCCTTTTGGGCGTAATGGCTTTTCAATTAATCTTTACCTGCTCATTAATTGTTGGCTGCTTCTCGGCAAAGTTTTTATTCAATGAAATGCGACTGTTAACAAGACAACTTGAATATACTATTCTGGAGGATGGCGTGTATTCGAACATATTCCTATATATGTTTAGCTCGGATGAAAATTTCCCACAATTGATCTCTGACGTAATTGACGAAGGTAAAAATGTTGGATCTCTTAATTTGGCTGGTGTTAATGCGTTACCGAGTAATAAACAAGTGGCAATAATTTTTTACCAAGGTTAATTAGATTTACATAATTGTGATTAGCAGTATGATAATATACTAATTTTCCAAAAATAGGCACGTGCCCAACTTGTTTTGTTGCCTTTAACGACCTAGTTGAAGGAAATATTCATGATTCAATTGTTGTTTCACCAATTGAAAATGATGCCAATAAATTTTCAAGCAAGCTGCCACAATGGAACAACAAAGTCTTGTATAATTCTGGTAGTTTGGAATTATCCAGATGTTTTTCAACAAGTCCTAGTGTTCCCGATTATTGGTTTAGTGGAAGGACTGGAACATTTTTGGCTCCAAATGATTGTCCTGCAGGTTGAAAACGAATATTAAATTTTTAAATGTTCACTTTTGTAAATTAAAAATCTTTTATATCGCTTCAACAGAAGATCCAAACGCAGGTGGCGATCCTCATTTCTTGCAAAAAGTATTCGATGGGAAAACTAAACAGTTGACAAACATTTGCTATGACGTGTTTGCAGAAAGCAACGAACTCATTTCTATTCTCCATGATAACTTAACCAATTCAGACGTTCAAGGTGTCCTAAAAGACGACTACTATATGCATCAGATTATAATTAGATACAAAGGCGGATTGATTGTCGTTGATTCATCATTTATTATGTTGAACAACCACAAATTGGAATGGGCTGTATCTAAATACAATTTCGACAATTTAGTAATCGCAGTGTCAAAAAGAGAAGTGTCTATTCAGACATCGTACAAAAATTTCAAGCTGACTACAATAGTTCGCCGAGAATTCAAACAACATACCGGCTCTTTTCTCAATGTCTTTTTCGAGGGCATGGACGCGTTTTCTGGCCGATACAATGGCCTAATAGGAGATATTGGAAAGAGGAAATATATTATAAATGATGGTATCCAATCGAATGGCAAAAGTGTTTGGCTTGATGGTGATACGATTATAGAAGGCAGGGTTACTAAAAGATTTTCAAGTGAATGTATTCTTCTACCAGTAAACCAGTTGTTGCATCCAAAGAAACTATCCGATTATGTTTATTAAAAACATTCATCTTTTCTATGGCCAATTATATAATCTATCGTCAAGCCCAAATAATTTTACATAATTTCCTCTTCCACGTGAGAATTGTTGAACGATGGCATTAGCAGTAATTCTTCCAACCCATACAATAGTAGTTTGTTGAGAAGAGAAGAGAGATATTCCAAGAAAATGACTAACTTTTCAATGGAACGGCATTTTGTTAAGTGAAACATCACGTCTTATTATATAAATGTTGATTAATTCACTTGAATTCAGTTGATAAATGCTAACCTTTGCTCTTCTACCATAATTTCAGTATCGTTTTGCTGTTCTTCTCGTTCCGTCATTGTAGTCAAATGTGGTAAAATGAATAATAAATTAGGGTGGATTGGAAACGTAAAATGTTAAATTTTTTTTCCCGAGTTCTGGTGTTGACTATAAAATGTTTTACCATGCGAAATAATCACGATTTTCATTTCCAAGTTGTCATTAACGGCTCATTAACACATACGAGAAAGTTAATTGCTACTGCAAAGATAGAGAGAAAAAGTTACGGTGTACGTTTCATAAGTTTTAAGACCAGTATCATTTTCACATAAGTTATATACACTTTATATACTTAGGTGCACAGGAGTTAAGACTAGATATACTACCAGTTGGTGTATCCCTTCCTGCATTGTTCTTTTCTTATTCGTACTAAAGGATGAAAGTAATAATTGAAATTATTTTGTATTTGAATGGCATATAGTGTAGCCTGGATAATCAAGGAATTACGCTATTATTACAAGTATTATTTAGTAAGATGGCCGTCGGTTAATCCTATCTTTCTAAAACATTTCCACCAAGAGAAGAGATGATAAATAGTTGACAATAGCTTTTGTTGAAATATATTTACTGTTATGAGTAGTCATTTGATTGGGTAGGTAAATTTCTGTGGATTGTTATGAAGAGAAGCTCAAGGAGAGAGGATTTTTGATTGATTAATTTTCATAGTCAACCTACATTTGCATAACATTATAGTTTCATGGCCAACAGGAATAGTTCCTTGTTTTTCAATAGTGTATCAAGAAAATAAGAGAGAGGGGACACTGTAATATTGTTTGCATATTCTGCAACTTTATTCAAGATGACATATATAATATAATAATTGATGGGCGTGTGAACAGTTTTTGTTACAACGTTCGTAGGAAAGCCAAAACGATTCCTTTCAAATATCCGGTAAATGTCTATCAGTATAGTTTGTCTTTGAATTAGTATTATCAGTAAAAATCAAATTTTGAAGCACCGAGTTGAAATGGAAACTTGTACGAAAGAAGATGGAAGAAGAGGTCGAATGGACAGAGAGAGAGAGAGAGAAGAACGACGCTCTACTAAAACCTTTTAAGAACGTTCAATATACATTTTCAAATTGTCTCAATAAACATCTGTAAAGGGGCAACTAATTGGTATTTAATGCAAAAAAAGTAAAGGTAGCTAACTGAGTTTTGTAGAACTTGAAAATGTATCTGATTAAGAATTAAAATTGTATAAGCAAAAAGTAGCTTATTCAGTGTAATGAATCTGTTAAAAGTATGGATAATATCTTGCAAAGCGTTTTAAGAGATTATCACCTTTTTTTAGAAAATCGCTTAAAAGGGTTAATACATTTTTAATTGTTGACTTAAAAATGAATGCATAAAACAATTGAGCAATCTGAACAGAGAGGGAAATTGAGGGACAAGGAGAGAGAGAAGGGAAGAAAGGAGATAGCGTTGAAAATGATCAAGTTAACAGGATCATTAGTCTGTATGTTATATCTTCAAATAATGATTGCTAAAGTGGAGTTAACGGCAGATCGTAATTTTCACATTGCTGTCAATAATAAAGTTGGGACTATTCCAATGATACAAAAAATAACACAAATAAATGTGAATATAGTAGAATCAAAATTTCCTTCGCAATATCTTTTAGAATATCACTCTGGAAATCTTAGATTGGACATGAATAGTTCAAGCTGTTTTACGCATCCAGTTCTCTGCTCTAATGGATTTTCAATATCTTTATGGTTATTTCTGCCTGACACGAATAACGAAGTTGTTATACTTGCGATGGAAACTTTGGAGTTTTCTTACAATCCAGTATCAAAGACAGTTTACGTGGTGGGTAATCTCTACCCTAATGTTAATGAATACTTTGTCGAAATGGAGGTGAAATACTTTGACGAGTGGCAATTCTGGAATATCGAATATAATCCATCTGACAGAGAGATTATTCTTAGGAGAAATCTGTTTGAGGAGAAGGTTTCCATCGTTAGGAACAAATCTCCGAAGGCACTTTACGGAAACATCATATCTATTGGTTTTCAATTCACAGGTAAAATGGACGATATATACTTTTGGAGTACGCGTCTGAGCATGGCTGATTTGATCGGGGTAAGAGATAGCGTTTTTCCCAGAGTGTCAAAGACCATAACAGAATGGAATTGTCTTTCTGACAAGTACGATAAGGCGTTTTTCGATAATTCAATAGGGACATGTGAGACTGTTGGCAATGGTATAGTGAATATGTCGACTGGTTTTGTCGCCTCGCAATTCCGTGGTTTCGTCAGTTTTATAGATAAAAATGGAGGAAGCGAAAAAGTGAATTTCTATACTCAAATCAATCAAAACATTTACACATTATGCAAAAATATAACCCTAAATTCATATTTGAATCACACTTTTCAATCCTTCAGTTGCGATTGTCCCGCAAAAAATTGCAGTGTATTGATGGAGACAAATAGTAACAACAACATTAATAGAAATAGTTTGCAAATATGTTCTGTAGTTTTTTACAGTTATGAATAATGAAGAATGAATGAAGAAGAGATTGTGAGATAATCAATCACCAAGAGATAATTATAACAATAAGATTATATGTAGTGGAACAGTATATATGCAATGTGTGATGTCATTAAAAATGTATTAGAAAAGCATGCTCCGCTTGTTCATTTCAGAAGAGACAGTTGAAATTTATCAACAAAAATATATAAAAACGTACAATTGGCTTTTCAGTTCGTTCTTATAGAAAGACAGTGTTGGGAGACGAAGAATAGCAACAGCAGCGCCAAGTAGCAATAGAGTTAGGGTTAGGCTTTTTGAAAGCAATATTGAATGCGGGGGAAGGGGGGCGGCTACTTTTTTTAATACTGATTACTTGCTATGTTCTAGTAGCGGAATTTTTCAGGTTAATTTATTTCTCTATTCTTCTTCTCTCTCATCTTCTTTCCTTATCATTTCAACGAAAATTTAATCCTTGCGAATGATTGAATTTACGTAAAATGAAGTCCTTATTCTTTCAAATTGATGATTTATTATTTAAATCTTAAAGCAATTTACATGTTTTCAATATTTAAATAATCCAAAGGAACCTTCTCTTTATTTATCTTTATATTATTGTTTGTCATTTTGTTCTAATCGAGAAGAAATTACGTAAATCGATAATCTTTTATTAGATATTGTTTATTATAAATATACATTTATACACTTCTTTCTAATAACGAGAGGTTAAAATTTAGGTTGAAAAGAGCAAAGAGAGAGAGAGAGACAGACAGACAGACAGACAGAGACCGAGAAATAGAAGGTAACTAAAGAGACACCGAAAACTGTGACTATAAGAGCAAAGAGCTAATAAGTGACTATCTGGCCTATTAGTCATCTTAAATAGGAGTTTATATTTGGACAGTTAACATTGAAAAGTAGGCAGGGAAGAGAGGAAAAAGATTAAAAATGTCGATTGATGGATATTTTCTCCCAGTTCAGGATTTACAATGCGGAATTTGCACCGAATCATTTGTGAATAATGATCCGAGGATGTTACCCTGCCAGCACACTTTCTGTCTCAACTGCTTGCAAGGTCTGAAAGATAAGGGAAAGCATTTTTCACGAAATTCTTTCCTCTGTCCTGTTTGCAGGAAAAGCCACCAATGGCCCAATTCAGGAACAAAGGGCTTTCCCAAAAATCTACTTGCCACATCGCTCAAAGCAACATATCAATCAAAAACGACGGCCGTCTCATCGGCCAGCGAAAGAAATCTGGAGAATTGCCAGCGTCACTTTCAGCAAGCGATCAATCCGCTAACCGTCTGTAAATCGTGTAGGCAAAAGAATTTGTGTTTAAAATGTCTAACGGAGCACGCAACTTGCAGCTTGGAGCCGTACGATAAATTCTCGCAAGAGTACGACGAGAATAGGAAAAGGATACAGGAAAAGGTGAAACTCTACAGGGATAATATTAACGACGAGTTGAAATCACTATTGAGTCAGCTAAAGACTGCTTTCAACGACGTAACAAAGGTTGTTGAAGAGAATAAGAATAGGCTAGAGGGAGAGATAATGAAGAAATTGGGGTCATGTAAAGCCGAAGCAGATTCAATATTGTCCAAGCAGGAGAATGAATTTTCCGATTTAAAATCGGCCGAGGAAAAGATTGACATTCTTCTAAGTACGAAATTGACTTTTTATCCTAGTTTATCGTTGAGTATAGGAAGTTTACGTAGGGAGAGAGACAATGAGCAAAATCGTAAAGTGACCACTGGGGCCGGTTATTGGTCATCTTATTCCAATCGATTCGGTAGGAATATCCCATTTGATACAAGAGTAATATTGAACGGTTCTCCAGTCGGCTCCCAGTACTCTGAATCCTGTACTAGTTCGGAGACGGATAAGATGAAAAGTTGACCGAACTAATCTCCTATCGTTCTCGTCTAAAACAGTCGTATTGTAGAAGAGCCTTCCAGAATATTTCTCTCTTAGAAAAAGTACACCCAGTTTTTTTCCATTGTCTTTGTTTTTTTCTCTCTAAATAAACTACACTTTAAAAAAGTCTAAATCATTTAATTCTAAATATTTCAACATATTTCCCTGAAATGTTGCAACTTGTTGAAAAAAATACAAACCATACTCAGCATACATAAATTTATGAGCGCCATACGCACACACATGACACATGTGTCGTTGGATGAGGGGTGAGGGATGAGAGAGAGAGAGAGAGGAAGGGAGGGAGAGAGAGAGATGGAGGGAGGGAGGAAGAGACAGAGAAGGAGAGAGAGATAAACAGATAGATAGATAGATAGACAGACAGATAGATTGACAGACCGACGCGTAGATAATAATACAGAGGAGGAAGAGGAGGGCTGTTGTAAAATGTTTATTTAAATGAATGCGCAAGCATAGACTATAGATTGAAAAGATAAGGAAGTATTTTAATAATATAATTAATTAGAATGATAAGAGAGGAATGAAAAAGTTCTACATCTGTTGAAAATGATAAAAATTAAAACGAACAAAGAGAATTAAAAAAAAATCAATGAAATAGTTTACTTATAAATAGATAATTGTTGTTTAGTTTACCCTTTGCAATTGGGAGACGTGTAAGCTAGCTTTATATTTCTTTGGCAAACAATCTTGTTTTTTAGGTTTAAAACTTATTATTGAATTCTGTTGGCAATTGTTTTGCTCTGCAAATATTTTCCATTTAACAAACTAACGAAATAAACAAATAAATTAAGGTTTGTATTTTATTGTTTTCTAGTCGCCATCTTATTTGTTTCTATTAGTATTATTAATTCCTGAGTATAGGATGTCGAACGACGAAGAAGTCTTATTCGATTTGGACCAGTATGAGGAAAAAGCGAAAGAGATGATTGAAGACAACTTCATTAGGAGATACATCTTTGAAGGGGCCGACTTCGACCAAGGAATTCGTAGGAATAGAGAAGCTCTTAAAGAGTATTTATTAAAATACAATACATTAATAACGTATAAATTATTATTGTTTCTCCAATTGAAAAGCATCCTTCTCTATCCGAGAGTATGCAGAGGTTTGGCCAAGAAAAGAGACCTGTCGACGAAAATTCTAGGGCACGAAATCTCTCTTCCCATAGGCTTTTCGCCAACAATGTGCCGTTCGTGGATTCAACACGACGGAGAATTGGCAGCCGCCGAAGTTGCCATAGAAATGAATTTTCCATTTTGCCTAAGTTTCGTTGCCGAAACGCCTTTGGAAAGAGTGGCGAAATGCTACAAGCGGACGCCGAACTGCGTAAAATTTTTCGGTGTATCGCTCTACGACGAGGAGAGTCTTAGAGAAGTTGTCGACAGGGCTGAAAAGTGCAATTATCACGGTCTGGTGGTGACCGTCGATCATCCTTGCCACGGTAACAGGAGATTCGACAAGGAAGATCACGAAGAGTATAAACAATTCAGCAATATAACAATGCCCAATTTACCGAAAAAGATGCAGGAAGAGTTCAAAGACGAAAACGCCTCCTACGACCAAAGTCCACCGGAAACCTTTGAAGATTTGGCTATGTTAAAAAAAATGACCAAACTTCCAGTTATTGCTAAAGGTATCCTTAGACCAGAGGATGCCCTAGCTTGCGTTAAAGCTGGTATTGACGCAGTTTGGGTGTCGAATCACGGTGGTAGACAATTGGGCGATTGTCCCGCAACTGTAGAACTCTTGCAAGATATAGCTCCAGTTCTCAAGGGCTCTGGAGTCGAATTGTACATCGACGGAGGATTTCGACACGGCGCCGACGTGCTGAAGGCTCTGGCAATTGGTGCAAATTGCGTTTTCGTCGGTAGGCCAGTTTTAAGCGGATTGGCCGTTAATGTAAGTAAATTACATCATAAAGAGAAATTCTTATCATTCGCTTCTTTGCCAATCAAGAATTTCATTCTTGTTGTAAATTATAATCATAATAATTATTATTATCAAACTTGATTCCACTTGCCTGATTAACTATTAATTTTTCTCTTTTTCTCTTTTTTCTCTCTTTCTTCCTTCCTTCCTTCCTGGAAATTCTTTAGGGAAAAGATGGAATTGAAGAGTCAATGAAACTAATGAGAAAAGAGTTGGATATAGCGATGGCATTGTGCGGATGTAACAGCATTTCAGATATAGATAGCAGCGTACTCTGGTCAAAGTAATTGGTCTACACCAAGATCCTGATCAGTATCAATAAAAGGAGAAAACAATTCTACATTGGTAGAAAATCAGAGAAAAAAGAACAAATTAGTCTATTCGTTCTAAAGCTTATAATAAAAAAACGTTAATGAAATAAATTCAATAGGCTTATCGTTGGTTTCGTAGTTAGATATCTTTTCTTTCTTTGCGTATATTCATATTCATATTCAAACTCAGTCATGCATTGATTCGTTCGTTCAGTCGTTTATTCAATTATCCATGCACCCATCCATGCATCCAACCGTCTATCCATCCATCCATCCATCCGTCCAACTGTCCGTCCATTCGTTCGTCCATCTATACATCTAACCTTCATCCAGTCATTCATCTAGTCATCAATCTATCCATACATTCGTCGAGGCAACCAGTGAATCGTTGGATTATTCAATTTTTTCCTTCTTTCTTCAAATAGGAGAAAAAGATATAAAAAAGGGGAGAAGCAAAAGGGAATGGATGGAGATTGACGGGAGAGGGATGATGGGAAGAAGAATTGCCTGTCTTTTTGAATCTATGATTTTCAAGAGTTTGAATAAGGAATATATTGTTGTCTGTGTTGTGGGTAGTATGTAGTTTATTTGAAGATTTTATATAAAGCAAAAATATAGAATATATGTAAGGGTTGTGTTAACGAGCTGATTACTGCATAAAGAGTGAATTATTGCTATTTTATTATTCGATTCAAAGGTAAAAGGTAACCTTTTAGTTTTAGATTAGACAACTGAATTGAATGTGATTAATCGATTTATTTAATTCAATGTACTACTATGTTTTAGCATAGATGAAAATGATGTTTATTTCTACGAATTGACGGTTAAATTGGGGTTTGTTTTCAAGTTGTTTAATGTGATAGAACAACGGCGTCGTTTTGTTTATTTCGTGTATAAATGAAAGAAAAATAAAAGAGTCGAAAAGAGAGAATGTAAAGTCTATATGACGAAAAAGATGTAAAAATGTAGGATTGACGAGCTTGTTCAACAACAACAGATTGCTTTACGTATAGAATAATAATAAATAATAAATTGCCGTGTAGTTAAAAAATATGATTATTAATCGAATTGAATTAGTGATGAAATAATTAATATAGTTAATGAACGATTGAACAAATGAATGAATGAATGAATGATTCATTGATTTTTGCGCTTTACATTTCGAATGAAATGTAATTTAAAAATATATTCAGATTTTCCAATGTTATATTGAATTATATCATTTCTATTTTGGCTGTTTGTTTGCTTTATTTTTTATATTATTTTAATGGAGAATGGAGAATAATAGCAATAAAAAAAGAATATACTTGTTATTATTTTACTAGTGAAAATTGCGTTGGACTGTTTACTTCATCAATGATATCGTTCTACTAAACATGGATAGAATTATTATCAAGGGACAGTCTAATTTGAACGGTAGAATTAGCGTTGCCAAATCTAAAAGTTCTTCTCTCGCTCTTATGGCGGCTAGTGTACTTTCCAACGAACCGATAACTCTGATCAATCTACCTAGAATACATGATATTTCGGTCATGAAGGGTCTGCTAGAAAGCGTTGGCGTCGTTATCGAAGAGCAGGGAGAATCAACAACCTTTAACGCCTCTAATCTCGTTACGAACGAAATCTCAACTGACGCGACCTGGGCGTCTATTTATCTACTAGGTCCTCTGCTGGCCCGCACTGGAATTGTGAAAATTCACCGTCCCGGAGGTGGTGCGGTAGCTAATAGAGATGTTGATCTAACTTTAAACAATATGGAAAATATGGGCGCCAACGTTTACATGGAAAATGCTTACGTTAAAGCCACCGCCACCAGGATTGTTGGCAAGAATATTGCGCAACATTTTCCGTCGGTTGCCGCTACGTTTAACACAATCATAACCGCAATGATCGCCGACGGCAGGACTGTCTTGGAAAATGCGGCAAAGGATCCGGAAATAGTCGACCTGGTAGCCTTTTTAAACCTCATGGGAGGGGTAATTCAGGGATCGGGTATGGATAAAATTATCGTCGATGGAACGTCAATAAAACAACTGAAAGGCGTCGAATACGAACCAATACCAGATTATATAGAGGCAACGGCGTTTATCGTTAGTGGACTGATTACTCAGTCGGAAATAACAATAGACGAAATTGACCCTAGCCATTTGCTACCAATAACAAAGTTCCTGTTGAAAATTGGCGCAAAGTTTACAATAGGCACCGACTACATACGAACGTATAGGAAAAAGATATTTAGCGGTAATTTAGAGACGGCTCCCTATCCCGGCTTTCCATCCAACGCCCAACCCCTTCTCCTTGCACTCCTCACTCAGGCTCAGGGAAAGTCGATAATAACTGAGAATATAAACGAAAATAGATTTCACGTAGTAGCCGAAATGAGGCGGTTAGGCGCCGATATAGAATTGGAGGAGAAGAGAGCGTTGGTAAACAATTCCAAGTTGACAGGAGGAAAAGTCTATTGCGAGAATAGTATAGACGGTATGGCGTTAGTTTTAGCCTCGTTGGCGGTCAATGGAGAGACGACTATCGAAAATGTAGAAATTTTGAAAAGAGGATTTCAAGATGTGATTGATAAATTTCAAGATTTAGGTGCCGATATAAGGATTGTTTAATGCGGTAAAGAGATTCCAATTGGATAGGAAGATAGATAGATGGATGGATGGATGGATGGATGGATGGATGGATGGATGGATGGATAGTTTGATTGACGGGTGAATGAATGGGTAAATGGATGGATGGATGGATGAATGAATTCAGTATACGCAATCTTCTTTTGTCCATTTATTTGTTTATATTTAGAGTTTTTTTTCTTCTGTTTATTGAATGAAATAAAGTTGTTTGTAGATGACATGAATTGACACATTTTAAATAAAAATAAGAATAATAACAATAGTAAGATTCGCTATAATCAATACATAAATAAAGAATAAATCATAATAATAACAAAATAAAATTCAAAGGGACTATGCCATTACTGAATCTGTACTCTTCTTAACGAGTTCGTTGAATAGGCCGCCACTCGATATCAGTTGATCGGGAGTGCCTTTTTCTACGAGTTCACCTTTATCGATAACGAGAATCATATCGTAGTCCATTATTGTTTTAATACGGTGAGCAATAGTAATAATAGTACAATAATGAAAATGTTCCCTAATACAGTCCTGTATAAGGGTGTCAGTTTCATTATCTATATTTGCAGTTGCTTCGTCCAGAATTAGGACATTAGCCTTTCGAAGAAAGGCTCTCGCCAATGACAACATTTGCTTCTCTCCAACGCTAAAATTTCCTCCGTTATCTACAACTTTTGCGTAGATAGTATCTGGTAGTAATTTTATCTTTGGCGCCATTCCTACGCATTCGAGACTATTCCATATTTCCTGGTCAGAATAGATGCTATTCGGATCTATATTTGATCTTACAGTACCCGTAAACAAGTACATATCTTGGGGTATCGTTGATACTGAAGATCTGGCAATTGCTAGAGGTAAATTGAAGAGGTTAATACCGTCCAGGATGATTTCTCCTTCAGGTTCAACAAGTCTAAGAATGGCAGAAACGATTGTGGATTTTCCCGCTCCTGTTCGGCCGACAATGCCAACCTGATAAGAGTTGAGAGATGAAGTCAAAAGAAGGTAAGAAAGAAAGAAAGAATGAGAGTAAGAATGAACGAACGCACGAACGAACGAATGAATGATTGAGTAGAATTTGTATTTATCTCTATTTATCCTCCTTACCTTTTTACCACTTTCTATTTCAAGAGAAAAGTTTTTCAAGGCGTAATCGTCAGTACCTTCGTATTTTAGACTGACATTTTTAAAGGTTAGCGAACCGTTTCTAGGCCACATCATATCTGTTGGAAGTTCTTTAAACTCTTTTTTCTCTTTATCCAATTCAGTATAGTCGATAACACGTTCGACCGAAGTAAACTAAAAGAAGAAAGAAGGAAAAACTTAGTTGGATGTTTCTAATTTGTCGGTTTTGTTTTTAATAGAAAACTAACCGCGTCTTCCATGCGGATAAACGTTTGAAATATGGTCTGCAGAGGTTCAGACACATGAAGGATATATTGTATGACCAAACCTAGGAGCGTTACTGAGAGAGTAGTAAATCTCAACATGATTATAGAAGTTGCCATTAGGATAAGGAAAACGATACTTGTTATCATTGTTCTCAGCCAGAAATAGGACGAATTCAACGCCAAAATCATACGATTATTCTCATCCAACAACTCTGAATACTTTTCCCAGAATCTCTGTTGAACATCGTGGCATCTAATAACGGTTAGACCGTCGATAGTATCGCTGACGTGAGAGAGCACGGGACTATGGCTGCTTGAGCTCAATCTCTTTAGGACAAAAATTGTTTTCGTTGCGAATTTGAATACTATAAATATGAGTATGATGCTTAGGGCAAAACTAATGCCAGACATAGGATAGACGTAGAGGGTAAACGAGACGCTAAAGCATAATTGCAGGACTAAATAGATGAAGGTGGCAAAAACCAAAAAGAGTACGTGATCTACGGCCATAATATCTTTAGAGAATCGGTTGAGGATTACTCCTATTCTCTGAGAGTCGAAAAACATCATTTTAGCCCTAATGACCTCTTTAAGCATGTCGGCGTGAATCAGTATGGAGGCTCTCGTATTAAAGGCGGCAAATATAAATTCAACGCCTAAACTGGCCAAAGTTAGAAATCCTATTCCAGCAGCGTAGAATATTAATGCTTGCCGGTAGGCGGCATAATTTCCAAAGTTTAATTCAATAACCTCGGCGGTATTCTTATCAATTATTAATGTTATGAAGAGGACGACCAGAAGAAAGAGGACGCCCAGAAATAGAAGAAAGAGGGAGCCTTTTTTCATATAATACCAATGAACACCCCAATTAACGAATCCCTGGCCAGTCCTCTCCAAGTAGTCTTTCTTTTCTGTTGCATCATCGTGTTTACCTACTTTGTAAACTTCTTTTGATAATATCTGTAGTTGCTCATCTTCATCCTTGTCGACAGTATACTCCGACATTTCTCCATCACTAATTATTAATGATTTATCAACATTTTTCAAATACTGAGTTTGGTGCGTTACTAAAAGGACTGTCTTTGATTTAAGATAATCTTTTATGGCAAATTGAAAGACGTGCTCTCCTATATTGGCGTCTAGAGCACTCAAAGGATCGTCTAAGAGGTATATATCCGATTCTCTATAGAGTGCTCTGGCCAGACTTATTCTTGCCCTTTGACCTCCGCTTACTTTTAAACCTCTTTCGCCCACAATGGTTTGATCTTTAAGAGGAAATTTTCCAATATCTTCAATCAGTTTGCTAACTTCGTAGACTGTTTGCAACTTGACCAAATCCAATGGCTCTCCAAATATTACATTTTCTCTGATTGTATCACCAAATACCCATGGTTCTTGGGGCGAATAATTAAGCCTTCCCTTCCTTATTATCGAACCACTAAGGGTGTTTAATTCGCCCATAAGAACTTGAAGAAGCGTCGACTGTTGTTGCGAAATAGAAGAAAGAAGAAGGGAGGAAGAAGAGAGAAAAAAGAGCGTATTAAACAAACAGTAACGAAAAAATGGGATTTTTAAAAAACAAATATTAACCTTTCCACATCCAATTGTACCTATAACGCAGTAGACTTGACCAGGTTTCATACTAAGGTTAATATTCTTTAGAATGGGAGTGTCAACGTTATCATCCCACGTGGCCGAAACGTCCTCCAACGCTATCGTTTGCTCGTTTTCGCTGGAATCATCCCTAACAATTTTATTCTCTCTATCGGGAAGTTTGAGAAATTCCTGCAAACAAAAAAACAGAGACGACGTTGGAGTTGTATGTTCTAATCTATAGATGATTGTCTATTTCTATACTAATCATTTAATGAATGAATGAACAAGTGCCGGTACATACCATAATTCTTTCAAGGCTTTCGTACGCTTCGGCTATGTGGAACATAGCGGTTGCGAATGTATTAAATAGATGGTCTTCGAAAGTTCCCAGCATGAGTGATATATATAAGAATTGAGCTACGTTCAAGTGCTCAATTTGTTTGAACCAGTACATGGATGCCAGAACTGCGAATAGGACGATATGCGGTGCAACAATACCCATAGCGTTTGGTATGGCTTCGATTATAAGCGATTTAAAATTAACTAATAGTTCTTTCCTCCTCTGTTCCTTTATTTTACCCTCAAAGTTACGTTCCCAGGCGTTCATCTTAATCAGCTTTATGGCGGAACAAAGTTCCCTAACGCTATTTACCCTCTTATCGGAAAAGAAGGTGATCCATCCGTAATAACTTCCAGAGAGGTAACTTAAGATAGTTTGAATGAAAACGATGACGGCTAATGTGATTATCATGACGATTGTGACGTTGAAACCAATTTCCATAGATATTATAATAACTAATACAATAGACATTACTGGTGAGGTTATGATAAACTGCAAAAATGATAGACAGTCCATAACTTGTTCCGTATCGCTCGTAATCAATGTTAGAATTCTACCGGAAGTAACGTTATGTTTTGCAGTCTTGCTAACGGAGAGGAGCTATTAGATGGAAAATAGACGTTGGTTAATAGTTTTGTTTTTTTTTAAGAAGCTAATTATCTGTTCTTAGCATATCGGATTGAGTAGTAATAATAGTAATCATAGCAAAGATCGTACCAACCTTCTGATAGATGACGCCTCTTATGATGGTTTTAGCTCGAAGACCACCAACAAGTTCAAGAAAATTACAATAAGTTATTAGAATATCGGCTAGTAGGTGTATTAAAAATATTCCAGAAAGTAGGCCATATTCTAAAGGAACAACCATCGTATTCAAACTAAACTGGCGCAAAAGCTGGTAATATGAAATTGTACTAGCCAAGACGAGTAGGTCCTGTAAAATAGAATCAACGCAAACCAGTTAATCAGCTAATAGTTTTGGATTAAGGAATTTAGAGCTTACCGTCATGCTATTTAGGAAAACGGACCAGGCTAAATATTTGCAAACGAGCTTTCTAACGGCATTCATTACAGTACCCATTCTCAGTTCTTTGTCCTTAATTTCTTCTCTGCGGGAAAATACTCTCGATTTAGAGGAGAAAAACAAAAAAACAAAGACAGAAACAATCTTTAAATCGACTCACCGGTATTCTTCGTAAGCTGGAAGTGACTTTAGTTCTGGTAGCGTTTCAAATACAGTCTCTGGTACGAGTTCTTCCTTTGCACCTCTTCTTATAAACGAAGTCATCCACCTAGGAATTGTTCAAGTTTCTTAAATGATTGATTAATCGGTTCCCTTCCATATACAGTATATGGAAGGATCTAGCTATACAATTGTGAACGTTAATTCCCTTACCAGAAACATAGTCTCGAAAAAATGTTGGCCTTGACATAAGGGCACTCTTGGCTCTTTTCAATAAGTCTGGTGGTCTCCATTGCAAACTTTTAAATCAGTTGGTCGATATTTTCCCGTTACAAACTCATTCTGTCAGGGTTTGAATAGGTTTGTTTTATTGCTTTTAGAGGAAGACGATAAAATTGATAAGTATACATCTATAAACCAAGGGAGAGAGAGAGAGAGAGAGAAGCGTTCTAAAAGTTCTTACTTACTTGAAAGATGAGGAAATGGTCGATTCACTTGTCGGTCGAACTTTTACAGAGTTCTCTATACTAACCTACGGTGGCCATTTTCATTCAAACTGTACGAATTGAGGTATAATCGGAAGCGTCATATTGTTATGAACATATGTTGTCTTACCAATTGTTTTATTCCTATTCATATTAATTCAAACGTGGAAACATCTGTAATCAGCCATTCTTTTTGTTTATATCATCAGTCATGAATTGTTGCTGTACTTTACTGCATACACGCATTTATATATAGGCATATATAATTCCCGCCTATAGAGCATATACAGTACGATTATTTTTCATATTTTACTTTCCTTATTAATATTCATAGAATTTTTATTAAAATAAAATCCTTATCAGTCGTGTTTTTGAAAAAACAAAACAATATAAATATTTATCAGGGTGGTCGTTTGGAAGATACCGCTAAATCGCTTCTGGCTAATTTGCATATATTCAAAAATTAACGATTTCCTCTACGTCATTACTACGTATATTGAAAATTGGATATTTTCCAACCGTTTGAAAAAAAGACTAATAATCAATAGATAGATAAAGATAGGGAAATTTAACGGTTGATTAGGGGAGTTGTTGGATCAATCGTAAGATTTTTGTTCCGTTATTTTATCGCCCATTTCTTTCTATCCCTCTTACTTCTCTTTAACACTTTTCGTGAATATTTTCTTTGCTATCTAGCTTTAAGAACATATAAGAAGATAGATAGATGAATAGAAAGACAAATAGATAGATAGATAGATAGATAGATAGATAGATAAAGAGAGAGAGAAAACAAACAGACAGATAGAGACAGGGAATAAGAATGAGAGAGTAAGACATAGGTAGATAATAGCTCAGAAAAGAGTTTCTCTCTCTCTGATTTAAAGAAGGATGCTAATTGAATTTTGTACTCTCAGTACTTTCTTGTATATTAATAAAAAAGAAACGCAAAATTAATTAATTAATTATATCATAAATCAATAAATTTGCTGGTGTTGTTGATTCTTCACAAGTTCGGCGAATATTCCTCCACTTTTAATCAATTCGATTGATGTTCCGCTTTCTACTAATCTGCCACACTCTATAACTAGAATAACGTCATAGTCCATTATCGTGGCTAGCCTATGTGCTATGGTAATAACCGTACAGTTGGCAAAGTGTTTCCTTACGATATTTTGTATATGCTGATCAGTTTTGTTGTCGACGTTTGCGGTAGCTTCGTCCATAACTAGTACACAGCTTTTTTTAAGAAACGCCCTTGCTAAGGCCATTATTTGCTTTTCTCCCACGCTAAAATTGCTTCCACAGTCGGTAGTACGCGTATAGAGTTGATCAGTGTAGCTTTTTACCTTTGTCGCCATTCCAACTTTCTGCAGAGAATCCCAGATTTCTTGATCCGAGTGCATGTTGAATGGATCTAAATTGCTCCTAATTGTTCCGTTATAGATAAAGCTATCTTGAGGAATAATACTTATAGCACTTCTGGCCAGTTGAAGTGGAATAAGTAGTAAATTGACATTGTCTATGTAAATTTCACCACTAGGTTCGTGAAGCCTAAGCAGAGCCGAAACAATCGAGCTCTTTCCCGCTCCTGTCCTTCCCACAATGCCAACCTATAAATCAACCATTTATTCAGTTAGTCAGGGCAAGTCAACTCATCGAACGTTACATAAAGACAAACTGACAAGCAAACAACTACAAACCTTTTGACCACTATCACATTTAAAATTTAAATTTTTCAACGCGTACTCCTCGCAATCAGTATACCGTAAGCATACATTCTTAAAATGAATAGATCCCGTTCGAGGCCAGTACTCGTCGTCCGGCATTAGACTGAAATTTTCCTTTTCGCCCTCTATATGCATATAATCAAGAATCCTTTCGACCGATGCGAACTGCAAGTGGCCAAGTATAAGAAAAAGAAGAAGAGGTAAAAAACGAATTACTAACCGCGTCTTCCATCTCTATAAATTTTTGAAAGAGAACTTGAAGAGGCTTCGATATGCCTAATATATACTGAACCACTAAACCTAATAAGGTAACCGACAAGTTCGTTGTCCTTAGCATGATCATAGTGAATACAAGAATCATTAGAAGGGTAAAAGTTGAACTAATACTTCTTAACCAAAAATAAGAGGAGAAGAGAGCCATATCTATTCTATTGTTTTCGTCGGTGAGCTTTTTCAACTTTTCCCAAAATCTCTCAGTCATATTATGACACCTGATCACTGATATTCCTGTCAGAGTATCATTGATATGCGATAATAGTGGCGCACTACTCGACAGTTCCAACCTTTTTAATCTAAATATAGGATTGGACGCCTTTCTGAAGAGTATATAATTAACTACTATACAAATAACATAGCAAATAGCCAAATAGGGATAGACGTAAGTGGTGAATGCCATTCCAAAGAAGACGTGGAGAAGCAAAGTGATAAAAGTGCTAAACGCTACAATCATCACTTGATCGACGAATAAGAGATCTTTAGAGAATCTATTAAGGATGACGGCAACCCTATGAGTGTCAAAAAATGTCATTTTAGCCTTCATAACTTTAACAAGCATTTCGTTGTGAATGTTCTTGGATGATTTGATGGTAAAAACCAATAGGAACAATTCGGAGGAGAAGGCAACCAACGTGGCAAAAGATACTGTGACCACAAAAAACAATAGAGCTTGTCTAAAGCTTTTCACGTTGCCGTAATGTATTTCAATAGCATTCGACATGTTTAACTCTCCTAATAAATTCAAAAGAAACGATGCTACGAATAGTGCAAATGCGATGAAAATCATCAATGGCGATCCTTTTTTTATATAGAACCAATGTACTTTCCAGTTGGCGGTACCCTCTCCTGTTCCTTCAAAGTAGGATTCGCCCTCTTCCAACGAGTCTTCCACTTCAAATTGTTGACTTTCAACTCTGTCCGTATTGGGTAAACTTTGAATTTGTTGAATTTCGTCGTAATTTTCAACACGGCCGTTGTTCAAAGTGAGCACTTTATCCACTTCTTTCAAAATATTTTGTTGATGAGTGACGAGCAAGACTGACTTTGATTTGAGATATACTTTTAGCGCCTTTTCAAAAACTAGTCTACTAATTTTGGCGTCTAAAGCGCTGAAAGGATCGTCTATTAGATATACGTCGGCGTCCCTGTAGAGGCATCTGGCCAAGCTTATTCGTGACCTTTGCCCCCCGCTTAGCTTGAGGCCTTTTTCCCCGACAACAGTTTGATCTTGTAGAGGCATAGTTTCGAAATCTTGTACAAGACCCGAAGCTTCGTATACTTTGTTTAATTTGTTCAAATCGAAATTCTCTCCAAACACAACATTTTCTCTAATTGTATCGTGAAATATCCACGGTTCTTGAGGTGAAAAGCTCAATTTTCCGTTGACAATCATTTTACCACTCCTTATCCTTTCCTCTCCCAAAACGACTTGAAGTAGAGTCGACTGTTTGTGGTTATTGGTACGTTGTCGTTTTTGAAAAAGACAAAAATTGAAAGGACACATTATTTTTAATGAATAAAAGAGAGAGTAAGAACCTTTCCACTTCCAATAACGCCAACGATGCCTAGTAGTTCCCCTCTCGACAATTCAAAGTAAACGTCTTTGAGCATTTTATCTGTTTGTTTCTCATCCCACGAAGTACAAATTTCTTGAGCTTTAACCAGTGTTAAATTAACCTTTTCGTCTATACAACAAACGACGTCGTTTGGTTTGTCGTTTCCCATTAAGAATTTCTATTGAAAAGGAATAGTTTTATTTTCTTTAAATGTTTAATTCTGTTAGAAACAAAAGTTTAGATATTATTTTGATATTCTTCAAGTCTAGCTTGTCCTATTCTGTCAAATTTTATGTTTGTTTGTTTATTTATTTCATATTGGATAGTATACTAACGCTGATCCTTTCAAGACTGGAATGGGCGTTGGCGCAACGATAAATGGCATCGGAGAAGAGGATGAATAGATGAACTTCTAAACTACCGACAAGCAGGGCGATGTAGAGAAATTTCGCCACTCCGAGCATTTCGATATGCTTAGTGAGATAGAGATAGCAGAGAATTGGTAAAAGAACTAGATTCCTTCCACTGGCAGTGATAGCGGTAGAAAGTGTATAAATAATACCCGAACCAAATTCGTAATAGAGTTCCGCTTGTCTATAAATGCCGATTTTTTGCATAAAGTTCTTCTCAAGAGAATTAATTTTAATGGCTCTAATAAATGAAAATATTTCGGCCATGGTACTCAATCTCTTATCCGACCAATCGGATACATTCTTGTTATACGTGCCGGCTAGCAGGTTAAAAGTACCTTGATAAAAAACAATGGCAATAAGAGTGCCGGAAATGATTAAAGTCATAATTAGACCAATTTCTAGACCAATGAGAATAACGACAATGGTTGCCATAACCGGCGAAACAACAAAATAAGAGAAGGTACAAGCAGTTTCAGTAATATTCTCCAAATCCCTCGATAATAAACAAAGAATGTGACCATTTGTTCCATTTTTTTGATGTCTTTGACTGGCAGTTAGAATCTGTTGGGATAGGAAAAAAATGTTAGTATACGAGAGAGGAGGGATGGAGGTAGGAAGGATGGGAGCGACTGACTGAGTGAGTGAGTGAGTGACTGAGCGAGTGAGTGGGCGAAGAGGCGGCGGTGTAGGAGGAAAAGCTCAGGAGGGAAATAATAAAGTGGAAGAATATTTTCTCTTCTTCTCCTACCTTATTGTAGATGACTGCTATAAGCGAACTTTTTATCTTGGCTCCCATCAATTTTCCAAGAAATCTCGAATAGTTGAGAATCAGTGTTGATATTAGATTTAAACAAAATATAAGAGCTAACAAATAATATTCCATATTGATGATTGTTGTTATTTCTTTAAAGTCTCTGAGGAGACGGTAGTAAATATAGGTCATACCTAAGTTCATTCCTTCCTTAGAAAGAAAAAGAAAGATGGGATTAAGGGCTATAGAAGGACAAATGAAAAGGTTCGTGTACAAACTCCTATGAAGCAAAAGATGAGATTGTAGATCCAGTAACTTTTCACAACGTATTTTAGGGATTTAAAGATGGAGAGGAACGTATAGTTGCGCTCTTTATGTCTTTCCCTGAAAGATGAATAAACTGCATTGATTAATTTGTATTTTTACTTGTCTATTTGATGGTTATTACATAAATTTACTAAACGTGACTTCGGTTTTCATTTCGTGAATAATGTCAAAGATATCGTGGGAGTTAAGACCTCTCTTCATTCCTTTCAACATCAACTCATTCATCCACCTAAAAAACATTTTCACAAAGTAGAACATGAAAAGAATGCTATTAAAATGGCGCAATTATATTCTGTTTTACTTACCAAAACAGCCATTTTGATATGCAATTAGCCTTCAAATAGAGACACTCTTTTCTCTTAGCTTTTTTAACTAGATTATCACTTTCCATAATCTCCTATTCAGTCTCTTTTCCTCCTTGAAGCGAGCATTTTTCGCTTTTTTCAACAATAGAATATTAAAAAATTTTAAATAATCCCGTTTCAAGTTGAAACAATTCAAGCTTTTTGTTGTTTGCCTACAAAAATCAATCAATTAGTACAGTCAATTCATCAGTGTTAATTCACAACGTTTCTCTTCATCTATTCTCTAAGCGAATATAGAATATAGTAGAATCAGGATTAGAAGAATATCATCATATTTTCTTTTGTTCCTCAGAATCGGAAGAAGGCGTTTCGCTATATTTTCTAATTGTTTTGTTTCGGTTCAGTTCCTTTTTTTTGATTTTCCGTGTTCAAAAAAAGGAAGAGAGAATGGCTATTTGAACATCTGTGACTTTTTTATTCGTATAATTGTTCTGTTAGATGATGATAGGACATTAAACGTCGGTTAGACATGACTGTTCTAAATTCAATTGGTAGTTTACGAACAATAGAGTTTACCCTTACATGCAACATTAACATACAAAACTATATAGACATGTCGAAATTGCAACCTGTTTCAGTTTTTATTGCATTAAACGCATGAATAATAATATTAATATAGTGTTAATGTGTATGAAATGTATATACTGTACGTGTTTGAATCGATGGATTGATGATTGAATCTATATATAGAATATTATAGGGTTAGATCGGGGAAGAGACGTAGGTATTCTCTGTCTTTCTCTGTTTTTTGTCTATCGGGCGTCTAACGCTTTCAGACACATACACGAACACTGGAAATAGGAGAGAGAGAGAGAGAGAGAGAGAGCCATGTTTACTTCCTTATTTAATGAACTATTGAGTAAAATTGTTGAATATGTTTTAAAAATAGCTTTTCTAAATGACGTATTGAATGAGAGAATCAAAGTGAAACATCGAATTTACTAGTTTGGTCAGTCTAAATATAGAATTTAGAATTGTTGAGAAAAATTAATGACAAAGCGAATAGTTGTTTTTAACAAGTGTCAAATCACTGATTGTTATTGAATGAAGAAATGAAAACTTGATTGATTGATTGATTGATCGATTAAACGATTACCAAGTAACTTTTTTTCTTAGCAGTTTCCCAGAGTTCTTAATTTGTTTGACTAAAAATATCGAATAAATCAATGTTCGTCTTAAAGTTCCAACAGTTCTAAAAGCTAAATTCTCTCTCTTGACGAAATAGTAGAGACGTTAAATCTGCCTATTGACAAAGGTAATTCCAGTAAATTTATTCCATCTAGTTGGATTTCATCAGTTGGCTTCCTTAATCTCTAAAGAGAGCCTACAATCGAACTTTTCCGCTTAGGATCAGTCGGAGTTTAAATCTTACTGAAGAGAGCGAGCGAGCGAGAGAGAGAGAGAGAGAGAGAGAAAAGAGGGGGAAGGAAGGCGCAAGAAAACAAGTAAATAGAAATGAGTTGTCTTTTCCGAAATGATGAACGATAGTATGGGTAAAACGAAACAATCATGAGCCGTTTTAACTGTTTCTCAGAATAAATATAATCCATTCATCAACTCTATCCTTATTTGTTTAAGAGACGATAAAGGCGAAATTTATTTTTATTTGTCTTTCAAGGACATCTTCGAAGGACAAAGACTAATTGCATTTTAAGAAAACAACCAAACTCGGACTTTTAATTAATTTTAAACTTTTTTCTCATCAACCAAATATTAATTATATCAATAATCAAATTGATAAAAACACGTCTTTCTACTATTTTCCTCTCTAGATTTAGCTTTTTGTGAGGAGTAAAAGGAAATAAATGCTCAACTGCCAAAAATAGAATAGGGTGAGGTGCGTGGGTGGAGGGGTGGATGTTTTTTTTTGAGGCTTGGAAAGGGGCAGCGAGAGGGAGAGAGAGGGAGTCGACGACGACAGCGACGGTGATTAAGGGGACGCTTCGTCGAAAGTTGGTTTTAACCGGAAATAATTTAATTTTAAGATGAAATTTGATCTCGGTTTGTTGGCTAAAGTTGGACGAAAATATAAATTTCATTTCGAAACTGTAACCGAAGACGGAAGACGGTAGAAGAAAGGAGAATAGCAGAATATTCTTTCACTGTTTACGGGCAGATCTTGAGAAGAAACAAGAAAAGGAGGTAAAGCGAGCGAGGAGAAGAATGGAATTAATTCGATTACGAATAGAAAGAGATTTTACGCCTCGATGCAAAAATTATAGAGTATATAAATGATATAAGGATACATATTTAAGTGATACGAATAATTTCCTTTCTTACAAACGTAATTTTATATACCAAGATACTCGAATACATTCAGAATCAATTGAGAAACGAACTTTTAAGAGAACGATAACAAGCTAATTATAATGAATAGGCTATCAATAGATCATAAACCCTCCAAATGAGACAAAGAGAGACAGAGAGAGAGAGAGAGAGAGAGAGAGAGAGACACAGACAGATTGGGAGAATTTCGACTGCGGTCAAGTGACAATATTTCGTATTACGTTTAGGGTTTCTATCTAAACGATTGCTCTAAAGAGAGATTAAAACAATGGATTTTACTTTCAAGTTCTCTACTATTACCCTTTCAAATATCGATTGACCTTCTCATCGAGGCCGCTGCTTAAACGGATCATCGGCGCAGTGAATAAATAGACAGGGATCTTTGGGGGCGGGGGACTGTTTTTTTGTTGTTTGAAGCTTCGTCTCTAAACGCACAACACCAATAGCAACCGCAATAAGAATAACGATAATAATTAAAAGCCTTTTCCCAGATGGAATCTCATCTTTTGAATGAAAATGTATGATTCATATTAACCGTACGATACAGCATAATCCCAGCCCTAACGTTGTGTCTATCCCTCTCAACGTCTCATAAGCGTTATTTTCAAAGACCAAGAACTACGTTTGGATTGATCAATCATTGTTTTCGTCGCTTCAGGCATATAAAAATTCTCGCGTTCTTTTCGCTCATTAAGCTGGTGGATGAATCTTTCAGAGTTATCATACGAATTAGAGACGGTGTAAATTTCTGCACTCTTAACAATAACAGATAGGCTCTTTTCGTTAGACATTATCCTATTAATATTCATAACGTCTCTTAGTATTAAATAAAATAAAGAGAGATAGCAAGTAAGGAAGGGTAGAGCTAAAAATTGCGATTGGAGATTATCTATTTGTCGAGTAGAATTGAGAAAAAGGACAGATGAGATAATGAGAGAGAGAGAGAGAGAGAGAAAGAGGGAGAGAGAAAGAAAAAAAGAAAGAGATAAACATATTGAATAGTTAACAATTAGAAGTTGATGAAGAGAAATTGAATTGTATTGAATTTGTATTCATTAAAAATGATATACAAGGTGACATCGAAGAAATAGTCTCTTTATATCTGAGACAATGATTATATTGCTATAAAGCGTGTACTGTATTGATTATTGGTCAAGGTTGAGGTTTGTATTGAAGAAAAACGTAAACAAAAATATTCATATTTTTTTATCATTATACAATATAATCTTTTTTCAATTTTTAATAATCTTCATTGACGTTGTACACTGCAAATTTGTAGAGCTTAATCTCTTGGACTTACTAATAGCGTTGCTATCTATTTTTGCTTCGCTTTCAATTATTTCGCTATTCTTATCATAGTCATTGTTGTTGTATCGGAGAAAAACTTTTAGGCACGCTATTACGAAAAGAGAGAAAGAGGGAGAGAGGGAGAGATTGGAGAGGGGGAATAGAAAGGTAGTGGAACTCATAAAAGAGATCATAATGGATTTTATTCCAGAGCCAATAAGTATTAAGACTATAATTGACACAAGAGGTGATACAATGAGGAGTTGAAAGAAGAAAATTGCTTATATTATTTCAGCACGATTAATCGATATTTGTAATATATTAATGTTTGGCAGTTTGTTTATTGTTCAGGTTGAGAATATAAATAAAATCTGTTTATATTAAAAGTGAACAGGATAGAAAGTAGTTTATATTCCGACAGCAAAAATCAATTAAGAGAAAGAGAGAGAGGAAAGAGAGTGAACTCACAAGTCTGGCAAAGAGCGAACGAGAATCTTTTTTACACAAGTTTGCCTTTCTAGGCGTTTAAATAAATAGCTTGGAGCTAATAACGAAGCGAGGAAACTATTCAAATTTCGTAGAATGCTTAAAAATAACCAGGGAGAGAAACTTTTCTACAATTGCCAAACTATCTTTCCCTTTTCATTTCCCTTTCATTCTGTTATCACTTTCTTTTTATTATCAATATTGTTTGAAAAGATGATGATAAGTTGTTGCATTGATCAAAGCAATCGATTTCTCTTCTTTTCACTTTTCAAGAGCACGATCTGCAATGTGTCTTTAAAAGTTTCTCATTGATGTTGCCATTTTCTTTCAAGCAGGTGACTAACCGAATTGGAATTGACTTTTAAATAGGCTCTAAACAGGATAAGAGAAAATTGTTTTTGACATCAACTATGCGTAAAGATCACATTGATAATATTTATCCCTTTCCTGTAAACCTATGTCTGTTTTATAAATATTAATTAATAATGGAAAAATCCCCATTTCTAGGAAAAATACTACTAGTAACTTGTTAGCATTAACAATATTATTTTCTAGGTAAGAAGAGAGTTGAAAAAGAGCGATTTTAATGTCCGACAACGCCTAGATTATGTTAGTTTGCTGAATAAAAATACAGTATAAGCTTTATTTGATAGGAAATTTTTGAAGAAACATTTTTTTCGGTTTTGTAATTTGATGTTAAAAATAAAGAGGATAAATTGAAGATGATTGATTGACGTGTCGTTTTAAAATTGGTTAAACTTGCTTTATGAAATCCTCAGGAGAAGAGAGAGAAAATAAGATATGTAATTTTTTCTCTCTCATCTCTCCCCTGCTCTCCGCTTTGACTCTACTCTATTCAATTAATTATGAGTTTTCCAGAATTGACCAAATTAACACAACGTTGGAAGAGTGAGTGAGTGTGTGAGTGAGTGAGTGAGTGAAAGAGAGAGAGAGAGAGAGAGAGAGAGAGAGAGAGAGAGAGAGATAGAGAGGAAGAGAAGCAAGGTTGAAAGGTCAGAAGGAGAGAAAGGTCAGAATGGAGAGGCAGAGGAGGGAAAAGAGACAACACTAAAATTTCGATCGAGGAAGAGAAAAGACAAAAGGGTTAGAGAATATAGAAATTTTTGATTCCAGTAAAGAGGATTAATATAAAGGATTTATTAATATTTTCTGCGAATTAATTAAAAAGAAGAGAGAAAAAAAAAGGATAGAATTTTTTTCTCCTCCATTTTTCGTATTAAATTCGATTGTTTTGGTCTTGAAAAATGTATTTTCTTCTATTAAAACTGTACTAATATTTTATAGAAAGAAACATTTCAATGCCATTTTCATCTTGGTTGTTTAAATATTTTGCTATAAACTATTTACATATTAATTAATTAATATGGATAATACATTTGATGGCGATTTAAGAAGAATGAACATTTTATATTGAACATATTTCATTCTGCGTGCATCGTTTATTATATCAAAAGAATGCAGGAATAGTGTTGACAAAAATGTATCGACCCAGTGTCAACATTTTCTAGCATACTAAAATGAATATATGTCGAAATGTATATATACAAATATATATACATTCATATATACTGTATATATATTTATATTAGGTTGTAGTTTTAAATATATTCATTTATATATACTTAGATATATATATATAAATGTTATATTTATATTTATACACACACACTTGATCATTATTGACGACAAAGACCTTAAAAAGGAAAAGAGGGGCAGCTCTGTGGTATTATTTTTTTTACATTTTTATACTTTTTTTCTTTTCAAGTTGAAAATCTGGAATGAAAAACAGAAAACACAAAAATTAACTATTAATTAAGTTCCTTTAAAAGAGAGAGAGAGTGAGAGAGAGAGAGAGAGAGAGAGAGAGAGAGAAAGAATGGCAATATTACTAACCGATTGTCCCACGTTTAATCATCCTTGTTACTTCTCTTGGTTATATCCCCTGTAATACATGAATAAATAAATATTTACACTGTATAATGTATACTGTATATATTGCATATAGGTATAGATATTAGTAATAGTTGGTGAGATTCTCTTCAAGTATACCTATTATTTTTATTGACAATATAAAACACTTCCAGTTAGAAAATTGTTACAAAATTCTTTGAAAAAGAACGAAGGAGATAGATTGATAGATGGAGAGAGAGAGAGAGAGAGAGAGAGAGAGAGAGAGAGGAAAAAGAGTTAGAATAGGTAAGTGACACGTAAAAGATGAAAAGAGAGAGATAGAATGAGACGTTTTTGATATGTCCTTCAACAAACGTAGATAGACAGAGTATTGTACAATGTATACAACTGCAACGATATAAATACGATATGAGGAAAATAGAGAGAGGAATACAAAACAAATATATCACGTATACAGTTTACTAAACACCATACTTCATATTTAAAGTACAAGGGATTTAGGATGTTTTTTTATCAATCGGTAGAATAGGATAAATAGGAAGGAAGAGAAAGAGAGAAACACCGTAAGGAAAAGATTTAATAAAGGAAAATAATAGACATTTATAAGGTGTATATGAGAGGAAGACTAAACGTATATAAGGGTCATTTTTGTGGAGATATAACACTACTGTAACTCACCGCGAGCGCATTAATTCTGAGAAATTATACATATATGTAAAAACAAAAAATATACATTTCTGCTCAAATAAAGCGCAGTTTGTCATTAAAAAATAAGAAAGCTGGTTTCGTTTGTTTGAAATTTGATTAAAGCAACAGTAGATGCAGAGAAAGTATTTTGCTTTGGAGAATTTTAAAAGCGAGATATAGGCCTATTTTACAGTTCATAAAAGTAATTGGGTAATAATGAAGCAGAAATTGCTAAACATTTGTGAACTTGAGTACCAGAGGGCAAATTTAGTGCAATTTTTTACGCTGATTAAGTGCAGTCTTTAATGTGAAAAGTGTAATGAAAGCATCCATCTAATCACTGAGATTAACTAGGAAAAAACAAAAAACTCTTCTAATATTATACAACTCTTCCTCCAAATGAATTCATCAATTGCAGTTAAGAGATCAATGCATGGAGATTAGTTGCCGCTTAAAAAAGAGTCTTTACTGACAGACTTTGTGAATATCAGATAGAGACGGAAAAGCGAAGAGTTAGAGAGAGAGAGAGAGAGAGAGAGAGAGAGAGATAGGCGTAAAAAGAGGAAGCGGAAGAGAGAGAGAGAAAAGAGAAAGATACTTTTTAAATCGTCTTTCAAAAAGAGCGTTAGGGAAAGGAAATATTTCTTTGTTTGGTGCTAATTAGTCAAGAAGAGGAAATGGCAAAAGTTGCATAAATACCATTAAACTAAACTACTTACGTTCGTATTTTAAACGATGCTGCCACAAAGATGGACTATTAGTTCTATCAATTGGTTGCCTCTTTTTGAAACCTGCAAATGCATTTGCACCAATCGAATCGAAAGATTTCTTTTTCATTCCTCCGAAAGCCGAAGATCCAATAGCGTCAAACGATCTCTTTAATCCACCGAACGCAGACGATCCAATGGAATCGAATGGTCTCTTTCGTAGAGCGCCAAAAGAGGAACTTCCTCCAATAGAATCGAATGATCTCTTAAAACCACTGAAAGCCGAATTTCTTCCAATGGAATCGAAATTTCTCTTTTTTAATCCTCCAAAAGCGGAGGTTCCAATCGAATCAAAAGTTCTCTTCTTAAGTCCTCCAAACGCCGAGGTTCCAATCGAATCGAAAGTTCTCTTCTTAAGTCCTCCAAAGGCTGAGGTTCCTATCGAATCGAAAGTTCTTTTCTTTAGCCCTCCAAAAGCGGACGTTCCTATCGAATCAAAAGACTTTTTGTCTATATCATTGGATCCAACATAGTTTTCTCGCAATTCGTCCAAGTTCTTCTGTTTAAATAATTAACATAAAACAATGGAATAATTTCTAACGCGATTGACTGATTGACTGATTAAATGATTGATTGATTATTTATTTACTTATCTGTATCAACAGATAAAATAGTAAGTAAGCTAGTTGTGTAGTTTTCTGTTCAATCAATCAATCAATCGAATAGTAAATTAATTACTCAAATGGATTATTTAAATGATTTAAAGAGAGAAAAGGGTTACATTTGTTTGTGTAACAAATTTATATAATCTTATGAAAGAATAAAGATAGAAGGGGAGAGGAAGGGGACGGAAGGAAAGAGGGAGAGAGAGGTTTTCTCTCCGCGTAAAACCAAATCAAACAATAACAGCGGGGGACAATCTGGGCTTTAAGTTGGTTGTATCATTAAATTTCCTGCCAAAATTATTGGCGTTAGATGAAAAAGTAGAAAACTGTTACAGATTCAATAATTAAGGCCGTTTTTATTTACAGAAGAGAGAGAGAGAGGGAGGGGAGAAGAGGAGGGGGGAGAGGGATGGAAAAGAAAAAGTAACAAAAAGTTAACAATTAACTTGAATACTTAATTAATTAAGCATATAAAAAAACCTATTGAATAAGTAAACCCTGACATTTACGACTTTGTTTTGCAAACTCTCTATTTATATAGTTTGAATAAAAATAGAAAAATAGCGAATTTTTAATGAGAAAATTATGGGAAAATATAATTTTTTCTGCGAATATTTAAACAACAAAAAAAAAATGATGGAAAACTTTCATTAAATATCTAATTAAAAAAATTAAAACGTTACAATAAATGATAATCAATACCGATATCAGAATGAATAGCTTAAATCGTCCCTCTTCCGCCTACTACCAATTTCCTCCCTCACTTATTCCCTCCCACCGCCCAGCTTTCGTTGCTCTTTTAAAAGTAGATTTATTTGTTTGAGTACTCTTATTCTTGATATAACGTAGAATAGATTAAACTAAACGTTATAGAAAGGGAGCAGTTTCAACCGGAGATTAATCCTAGATGAAATGAAAATACTATGCACTAAAACTAAAATTAAAAGTAGGAGAGAGAGAGAGAGGGCCGGGAGGTGGAGGAGGGTGGAGAGAGAGAAAGAGAAATAAAAGGAATAGATTACTAGTTTTGAACGTTAGCGAGAATAATGCGAAACCGTAGGAAATTATGAAGAGATGATTGAAATAATAGAATGAATGAATGAATGAATGAGGGGCTATTATTCAACGGAGCATGTCTGAAATTACACGATTCATGCATTTAGCAATCAGAAATGTTTGTGTCTATTTTTATCAAGAAAATCGCACTGGGAAATTGGTCAACGTCAGAACAAAGTGTCCGAATGAGAATTCAATTGAAAATGCTATTTCTGGTGGAATCGCTATCGTTTGCTTAATTAATTGAGAAACGAGTTACGAATTTCTAATGAACAAAAACAGTGGGAAACTTTCATAAAAACATATTCCACAAATCTTTTCCTTTTCCTTCTTCATCTTTTAATTGAGCGTAATTTAAAATTGTATGCAATCATTCATTCATTCGTTCGTTCATTCATTTGCTTATTCATTTGTTGTAGTATACATTTCTCTTCCCTCATTCATTCATTCATTCATTCATTCATTTAATCATACTATCTTTCTATTCTTTCTACCTTCTTACTTTGAGGCTATCGAGTTTTATTTAGCCTGAGAGTAAATCTACATCTTTCAACGATTTTTCGTATTCTATAAACTAGACGGTTGTTCGACGTCGCACGGTGTTCGATAAATGTATATTTATACCTAAAAAAGCGCCTTCGATAAATATTATTTGCAGTTTGGTGGTTGCCGAGTTATATAAGTGGAAATATATAGATTTTTCTCTTTCCCTTCCTCCTCCTCTTTTATCGGCGCTAAATGCCTAATAGTCAACAGAATCTATTTCTCTAAACATCTCTTTCGATCACTTTCTTTCCTCCTGTCTCCCTTTATTCTTTGCTTTTTCAATTAAGCAAATAGAGAAAACAATTATAATCTTTGATTTTTATGATCTGTTCTATTGATTTCATTCCTTACTCCTTTCTTTTTCCTCTTCCTGCTCCTGATTCTGCTCCTGCTCCTCCTCTATTTCCTATCTCACTTGCTTTTCCATTTCGTTTGCTAACGACTTGTTTTATATCATTTCTATACTTTTTCCAGTACTAATTCATTGATAATAAAAGACTTATATAGCTCAATTTTCCTTTTTATCTTTTAACTGTCGTTAAACATGACAGAACGAAAGAGGAAAATATGTTTAAATGACTTTTATATGCATGATTTTTTTTTATTTCTCTCTCTCTCTCTTTCCTTCTCTGTGTCTCTCTTTGGAGCATCTCTTTCTCTATCCTTTTCACTCTTTTACTCGGTCTCGTTTCTTTTTGTTAATTAATTATAATCTTTCATAGACAGCTGCGTAGTTTCCTCTCTTTCTTCATCTTTGCCTTTTCTCTCTTTTTTTTCAAATTAACATTTTTCCAACTCTTCTCCGCAGGATTAAAAGGGTATTTTCTTTCTTTTATACTTTCTTATGGTCGTATAATTTATGACGTAAATACATAAACAGATTGATTGATAGAGAGATAGACAGATAGATAGATAGATGATAGTCAGATTTAGTATTGTCCCAGTGGATATTTATGATTTCTTTTCCGTCTTTTTTATGTTTTTTATGTTTTTTCGTCCAAGTTTTTGAGAGTACGGAAAGCGTTAAATAGCTCTATGATCTTCTTTTATTGTTTTGGAAATATTTGAAAGGGAAGGCGAAGAGGAAAAAGGATTATATTAAATTATTTAAGGGCGACAGATATACGCAATCGTTGATACAGAGACGGAGAGGAAGAGAAAAAACAATACAACTCTATTGAACGCTTTTTAGTCTTATACTAAAGAAGAGATTTTCTAGTAAAATGTCTATGTCTGTTTGTCAGTGAATATTCAAGAAATGATAGCAAACACAAGAAGCGTCTATTCGATTAAAAGTGTTTCTTTTAGATTGTTTTCCTTCTCCAAGAAAGAATAGAATGTAAATAAATTATTTATTTAAATAGTGAAAGATAATTTATTTATATATTGGATCCTTTCAATGTTGACAAATAATTTTACTTTTCTGATGTTTGTTTGCCTAAATACTTTTTCTAGTTTACTCCGTAAGGAATCTCTTTTCTAGCTCGTACCTACTCAGACAGTTGCGTCGTTTTGTCAGGAAGGCAAGTCGGAAGAGAGGCGGGAGGTGGGAGTAGAGAAAAGTAAGGGGTCGGCTGCATAAGGGGTAAAAGATATGCAGGGTAGCGAATGGCAATAAAACAAGAAGATTCGCACATGAATGGTAAGAGGTAGAGAAAACTTTTCTTTTACCTGTCGGGTGTGCTTTTTGCACCCAACACCCTCTATCATCGGCATTATTCTCCCGCCCCCTTTCTCAAGGACGAAGATTTTAACTATAAAGAAGCAATTAACTCGTCGAGGGCCTTATTATCACCCAACTTCCAGTGTTATATATCTTTTTTGAGCCACCAATAGAATGGCTCGGGGAAACTAAGAGCTTTGCGCAATCAACTCGTATGAATAGGGGTTAATCGGTGTGGATTCGATATAATTCAATACAATCAAAAAGAAAAGGGCATCGTGTTCCTATTATAGTTGTCGTATGTATTATATAACGAAAGACAATACTCATATTGTAAAGCGATTTACTATCTTTTTATCTATTCACTCTCCAACTGCCGCTTTTTTTCTATTGCTAACAGATTAATGGCTGGATAATGAAGACGGGATAAAAAAGACAGGGTGAACGAGTCTCATTCCCAAGACCGAAACTCCGAATAGCAACGATTCGGACAACTTTTCCGAAACGAAAGAGCGGAAGGAAAGAGTAGGTAGAGGAGGATATGAGTATATATTAAAAAAAACACATACAGACACACACACACACACACACACACACACACACAATCGTGTAAGCTTAAGCGTCTCTAAACTAAAAAATTAGAAAGCGTTTCTATGTTGTATAGAATAATAAATGAATGATTTTGGCAAAAATAAGAACTAAGGCCGCTATCTTTGTGATTGTTATCTGTTCAGTCTATGCTTAGATGTTGCTTTGAAAGATTGAAAAAACAACTTTCAATGCAAAAAGATACGAAAAGTTTGTCCTCGTTTTTGCTGTAATCTGTCTCTTTCTGGGTGTTTTTATAAAAGTATTGAAATAAAAAATTGCTTTGACATTTTAGCGACTGTTCTAATAAAAAAGACAAGAAGAGGAAGAGAGAGTGAGAGAGCGGGCGGGAGGGGAGAGAAGGGAAAAGAGGGACAAAGAAAGAAATAATAAACTATTGATAATGAAATATGAGAAATAAGAAAATAACACTGTTAACGTGGAACAAAGTTATAACTATCAATTGCACAATACTAACCTTGTTCTTTTCTAAACTTGCTGCGGAGACGCTAAGTAAGCAGATAAACAGCGCCAGGCGTCTCATTCTCGGTGTGTTGCAGTCGAATGCGGTCGGTTAGAAAGTTTAGAGAGTATTTGTAGGGGAAAATCGAGTCGTGCAAATGATATGCGCATTTGATTATGAAAATGGCGTAGGCGATTGGAAAATATTATGATCATTAAAATAGTAGTTTTGTTTCTTTGGGGTGGCTTTCTTCCGCCTTTCCAACCCGATTCGATAGATAAGATGAATAGCTTAAGGAGCAATTTCATTCGTTGAATCGGTTAAATCCCATTTGATACGGCTATATTTATTCTGCTACTTTCTTCTTTATTTCGCTCTTCCTCCCTCTCTCCCCGTCCCTCCGCCACTGCGTTTAGTTTATGGAAAAGAGGGGAGAATGACTATTACATAATACAAAATACTTTACTTGCCTAGATGAACCTCTGACGTATAAGTTCTCTTGAATATTTATAAGAGAATTGAATAATTGAATGAAAACAACAATCAGTTAAGTGTCTATGACGCAGAGGACAGACATAGAGAAATACATGGAATTATACAGTATACTGTACGCATACATCAAAAGCATCCGCAAATAGTAATACAAAAAGCCGTTAATGAGAGATTTAATTGTAAACGTCGATTTAAAACTCGGTTCAACTGGAGAGAAATGAGAAGGTGAAAACAGATTAAAGGATAAACGGTTGTGGAAGAAGAATGACAGGGTTAGGGTATTAAATATCGAATTTATGAAAAGTTCTATATTCATATTTACATACAAATTTCGTCTATTGACGCGAAAAGATGGAAAGAGATGGAACTCTGGCCGTTCCTTCCATTATTCGTTTACGTTTTCCCTTAGGCAGTACGACGGGGACGGGAAACAAGAAACGGGAAGTAGAAGGAGGAGACGATTTAAGTAAGCGTCGATTGTTAATTGAAAAATTTCGTTTCTTTCTCCGTTTCTTAAAAGTAATTTAGGTCGTGAAAACAAGGCTAGACGTTACGGCTAGACGCTTCTTTGAAATGCATTAATAAATTCAACGCAATCGTTTGAGAACTTGAATAAATCAACCGTTTAACAGAGCATATCATTGCCTTATAACAGTTCCATAAAAACAAATTAGACAGATTTTCTTCAAAGACAAATAAATACCTCTCACGAAGAGCTTTATAACAGGAAGTTCCGGAACGGAAATTTGTAATTTTTTCAGATAAATACTCAATCCTGCCATTCTCTATTATTCCAACAACAAACTAGATTCCATTTATGACATCCATCAAAAATAAATGTATATATTTACATAATAAATCTTGTCGCTAAACGATTATTAGTAATAAATAAATAGAAATTAAATTTTTCCTATGATTTATTAAAATAATACGAGAGATAATATCATTCTCCTCCCTTCTCGCGTTCTCTTTGAAAGTTGCAGTTGTTGGAGGAGGAACGAGATGGATTGAGGGAAAGGGTTTAAATTAATCGTGGCTCTGTTGCTCATCTCTCCTCCACTTCCTCCTCCCGCTCCGTTTGCTATTTTAACCTCTCAACAAAACTATCCTATGACAGACCAATAGATTTAGATAAGACGAATTTCTTGACAAACAAGATGGAATTTATTTAATAGCTTATCAAGTCCACCAGATAATACAGACAAATGATTTAATCCCATTCGATTTATTATTTTAACCTTTATCATTCATCAAAACGCATTAACTAATTGCTACATTTAATAAATACATATTGTAAAGAACATTTTTTCACTCGATCGTCTTTCCATTTCCATACTTTCTCTCTCTCTCTCTTTACTAAATAGGCAAGTCGATATTTATTTGTCGGTTCAATCAACTTATAAAGCAGCAAACAAACGTAAAGTTGCGAACAAATTACATAATTTCCTTTTCCTGGAAGAGCAGTGTAGTCATTATAATTATACTACACTACCACAACAACCACTACCACTACTACTACTTCTGCTGCTACTCCCAATAGTAGTAATGGTAGTGGTTATAATGAAACAGCGCTTGAATTCTTTAGTTTCTGAAATCGTATATGGGCAAATGTTGCATATTCTCCTCATCTTTTCCTTTCCTTTCTTGCCACTTCCTCGTATTTTTTTTAAATAGAGAAAAGAGTATATTTACACAATTTTATCCAATTATCACTATGACAATAAGAATAATTAAGAAGATAGAGGAAATTCAATAAAGTGGGAGAGAGAGAGAGAGAAAGAGAGAGAGTGAGAGCATGAGAACAGAAAGAGGAGAAGGGCAAAGAAAGATAGAGAGAATATCAGTCGTTAGTACTCTGCTTTTTTGTATTGCAAGCGCACTTGCAAGAATTATCTTTATTCCACTACATTTTGTCTAAATAAAGAAATATTGAGTGTATCGAGTTGATTAAGCAATAAAAAGCTTTCTTAATTGACTAACCAAACCCTTAAGGAGATATTTCTATTTATTCTATATTCTATATTTTTCATAAAGAACGCTAAAATAACACTTTCATAATGATTATGCTACGGGAGAGAGAGACGAGGGAGGAGAGGCGAGAGGAAAAGTAAGGGATTAAGGAGAGGAGAAAAACAAGGGAAAGGAAAAGTGTAAATACTTTTTGAAAACCACAAAAAAAACCTTTTTTATTAGTATAATCAACTAAAGTAGACTATTTTTGGTATATTAATCAAACATTTATAGCTTTATCAACGTTTCGATGGATTTATAGACGGAAAGATCGATAGATGGATGGAGGGAGGGAACAACAAGGCTGCGTTAGGGTAGTGTGGGTAGAATTTAATTCTGCGAATAACCTGGGGGGAAAATGATATTGTCAATGACAGATAAAAATAAACGATGAACCGTTTGACACAGTAGGATTACTGATTCGTGATTCTAACATGTACAGTATATATCATGTACAAGATATAACATTTACACGTTAGATAGTTTAAGAATGAGTACAAGAGAGGTTTTCAAGTGTAAAAATGAGTAGTCAATTAGGGTGTTGAAATACGAAAGGTGATCTTCTAAAAAGAGAGCGTGCCTTTTTCTACGGCGAATAGATAGCTAAAGAATTTGAAGAGTATTGAATTTGAGCTATCAAATCCGCTTACCATTCGTTGATTCTTATTTATTTCCTCGATAATTTCATTATTTTCAAGTAAAATGTAATTTTTATAGGTTTTCTAGCAAATTTTCCTAAAATAGACGCTATCAGACGCTATCTTGTCAACTTTTATTTAGACGGAAATCTGTATTCAATCAAATTTTCTCTCCTCTTTCTTCTTCTTCTTCTTCTTCTACGCCCTCCCCTTCCTCTGCCACTTCTCGTAGTTGAACTTTTCTTTTCTCATTGTCACTCTTTCCCCTTTCTGGGAATTGTCCTTTTGAAGACAACTATATTTGAGAGGAAGCAACAAGAAATATAGAGCAAGATTAAATTGAAAGGTCACATGACATAATTCGTTTGTTAAAATTTATACCATCATTTAGTAGGATGAATGGGAAAATAAAATAATAAAATCTCTTTAGCAGTCTTTGTTTATGAGTTCTTTGTATAAACATTAATTTAGTAGAGTTTACTTAGTGAATTACACTCAAATTCTAATAATTACCTATATCTATTTAAATATTTAATAATAAACCTTTATGCTACTGATAAAAGTTAATAGACCTTGTTTTTTTTCTCTTTAAGGGATTTCATCTTATTTCCTGAAAAAACTAAGGACTGGCTAAAGGGTCAAGGCTCCATCGAATAAGACGGGAAAACTTTTTCCAAAAGCCAAAAGAGACGGACGGATTATTGGACGGAAGAACGACTGGATGAAGTGAAGGGATTGGTGGACGAATGGATGAGTGAATGGAACTTTTGGATGGAGAATAAATGATATTCTTAATTTTCCCTTCTTCAGCATTCAAGTTCAATCCAATTTGTTGTTTCGTGTCTATGTTAATACTTTTACTAGATTGCGTGATCATGGGACTTTGTCTTTCAATATAAATGGAAAATGGTGTTAATTAGGAACTTTTGTTTTTATTCCATTCTCTTTTTAAAGGGAATTTTAATTAATAAAAAGAACACATTAAAAACATAATAGAAAATATTATACTAAATTTAGTGCAGGAGTTTGAAATTTGTACTTGATTTTTTCCTCTCTTTTCCCACTCTCTCTCTCTCTCTCCCACTGCGATTTCTCTTTCTATTTATCTTTGCTGTCATGGTCTTTTTTGTTGTAAAAAAAATGTCTCTTTTGTTTCTAGGAAAAGTTATTCATACATGTACTGTATATACACAGTATACACGGTACGCACTGTACTCTCTAATAGGAAGACAAAATAATAAACACAATGAATGACAGATAGGATTGCTATGAAAAGATTCAGATGAAAACCCCTTTAATGGTCATTTGTACATTCTTTTCCCTTTATATGCTTTTTATATTCATATTGTATCGTAGTTGGTTTTTCTTTAGTTTACCAGGTTCCCCCTTCTTTTTACTTTTCTCTCCTCGTTAACATTCTGCTATCGGCGGAAGAAAGCGAAAAAGATATGGAGGTGGAAAATAAACAATGGGACAAACGGAACAGTGAAAGCTATAGCTTTTCGTACTAAAATTCAGTGTATTTGTCAGTTGTTCTACTCGGTTCATTGGGTGTGACAATTGTTTTAATGAAGAAGAAAAATATAGAAAAGAAACTAAAAATATTACGCTTTTCCTTTGCTTCATTCCTTTGAAAATTAAAAGGTGGACAGATACTCCGACCGACTTTCAGCGTTTGAGTGAGGGAAAGAGAGAGAGAGAGAGAGAGAGAGAGAGAAGTGGTGTACGTTCACATGTACAAGTGAAAGAGTTAAGGGAAACCAAATTCTTATTTGATTGAATTCATCTCACACTACGAGACTTTTATTCTAAATCTCAGTTGCAAAGGGAAAAAAACATTGCGTTGAAATTAAATTGCTTTCGAAAAGAGTAAATTGGTCAGTTTGTTTACAGACTTCTTTGATGAATTTTCTATATTAAAGGCTTACAAACTGGACAAAAGGCAAGATTTGTATTCTCACTTGATCTCTCATGATTTTTTTCTCCGTTTAGTTTCTCGTTTTAGTTTTCTTTATCGCCGATTCTAATTTTAGAGAAAAATTAAGAGATACAGAGAGGAAAGAGGGGAAAGAAGGAGAGACAGAAAGAGAGAATGAAAGCGGGAAATAGTCGCCTAAAATAATGAATATGTGTAACAAAAAAAAAATTACTTGTCGAGTGAAGCGAAGGGGAAAACTGAACTAGGAAAATGAAACAGGCAGGGGTAAGGCTAAGCTTATTTATTTACAAAACCTTACCAAAGTGCAAACATCAAAATTCGCGTCACTAAGAAGAGATTAAACCAAAAAATGGACTAGATTCGCAATGTCTCGTTCGAGTATTTTTAGTTGACGAAAGATGATAGAACGTGTTATAAGTCGTTTATGGGACTATATTAAGATATAAGTAATAGAGAGGGGCGAAGGAAAGGTGAAAAAGATAGAAAACTCTACTCGGGCGGGTAGCTTTGATAGAAAAAGAATGGTATTAGTGTATATATCACGGAAAGTTTGCTATAGCATAAAAATTTGAAAGAAATCAATTATTTACTTGCTTGATTTCCATTCTAAGATTCTAATACCAGCACGAAAGTTTGATTTTATCGAAAGCGAAATGACGATGAGGATAGAGGGGTATCGAGCAGTGAGAGAGAGAGAGAGGCGCGCTGAAAGAACAAAGGTTACATTCTGATACCTGGATACGTGGATGGATGCATGAATAGAAGGCGGATGGGTAGATGAATATATAGATCTAAAAAGATAGATAGATTGATAGATATGTAGAAATGTAGCTATATCGATGGATAGATGAATAGATAAATTGAAAGATAGCCAGATGAATAGCTAGATAGGCATGCACATGGTGTAGAAGGTGGGAGAGGGGAGCCGGGTGGTTCTGTGAAAAAAAAATGAAAATAAGCAAAAAAAAAACAACAGGGAAAAGACATATATAGAAAGATAAATAGCTATAAAGGCTCATAAAGTTAAATGGTTCAAGAAAAAGAAATATATACCGTATAAAGTAGTTAATTATTTTCGTATTCCTTCAGAAATACTGATAATCACTTGGGAGGAAAGAGGGGAGAGAGAGAGACTACTTTTTAATAGAAAATCTACTGATCGTTTCATCCATTTTTTTTTGGCTAAAAGTCTAATAAACTATGATATTTGCCGCCACATTATTCATATTTACTCAACGCCCTAGTAATCATCAAAAATCGTCATCTTTTTTTTATATGAAACTTTTTTTTCTTTCCTTTTACCATTAACCTTTCCTCTTCCTTTGATTCTTTTCTTCCTTCCCTCTACCCTGCCTCCCTCCCTTCCTCTCCCTCCCTGTCCCCCTCTCTCTGCCCTTCTTCTTTGTCGATAATTGATATAGTTTCTGTTCTCTGCTAGTTAATTATTGTTTGTTAATAAATTTATAATTATTTGATTACTAGGAAATTTAACAAGGCGATCGATAGGCGCTTTTAAGAGTTTCGTTAATAATTGCCTAAAGATTTTCAATTATAAGAGATGCAAAGACGTAAAACGGTTCAATTGCAACATATATAATCATTACATTTCTACTTTATTATATTCTTTTATACAACTGTTATTGTAAGATAATATACTGTATTAGATGATGTATAGACGCAATTTGTACCATCAGATAGCCGTGTATTTCGCAACATGTCGTCATTTTAGGAAAATCTATTGCGTTATTATAGAATATTGTATATATTAAGCATACGGTAAATAAACCTTCCAATAGTATATACATTATACATATATACAAATAAACAAATACGAAAATCTCTGTTCTAATAGTCAGACATGGATTGTTATTTTAATACTAGGATATGCTAATGAGTCATTCAAACCAAGTATCGTTACGACTTTTTGACATAGCCCCGTAGACCTTTCACTTCCATTCCATTACGCGTTGACACCTCGCCAGAGACTAAGTGCAATTTAGGCGTATAAATGTGTCTGCGTGCATTATTTATCTCTTTTAATCACCCTATGTTTCTCTATTTTAATATTAATATTATTCTTTTGCTAATCATGCTTTTATTAACTTGAACGACAAAACTTTCAATCGATCGATTAGTTGATAAATCAATCAGTCAATCATTTAGCCAATCATTTATTCGTATCAGTCTGCAGAGTGAATAGTATAGTTGGAGGTGGAAAAGAAATATTAATTCCTTAATTTCCTCTCCTCATTCATTCGATTACAAAGGATAAAAGGGGTTAGAATTTAATAGTTGGTCAATAAATATGTTTGTTTATTTACTTGTTTGTGTTTTCAGTTGTTTTGTGTCTGGTTGCGTGCAATTTTGTTTCTTTCCTTTGCCCTCTTTTCCTTTCAGATTAATTGAAAGGGTTGTTGAGGCGAAAATGAAATTTATCTCTTAGGGAAAATGTTCCAGAAGAGAAATATCAGCTCCATTGAAAAAAGCACCACGTTCAAATTATCCCCTGTGCCACATGTTGGTATTACTAAATAGCAAACACGTGTTAGATGTAATGATTAGTGATTTGCCAATAAAATTTATTAAACGAAAATACAGCTATTACGTAGGACTAAAAGAGGGAAGAAAGTTAAGGAGAGCAGTCTTTGTCGTCTTTTTCATTAAAAGCTAGGAAGAGAAAAGAAAGGTGATTGACTTTTTATTTACTTCTCTAAATAATTTAATGTTTTGTTTTCATTTATATACCTTTCTTTCCATTTTCTTTTTTCGAAAGAGAGAGAGTGAGAGAGAGAGAGAGAGAGAGAGAGAGAGAGAGAGAGAGGGGAAGAGAAAGATTCAAAACTACAATCAAACTATAAAAGAATACTAGTGAATGGAACAAAGAAAATATTAATAGTGCCTGATATCTCTCTAAACATTGTTATACATATCTATTTATACATTCAGTATATTCAGCCCGATTGAAGATGTTTATCGGCTTCATTTTCTACTTTTAACCATTCGAATACGAATATCTCTTTTTATAGTTTTTTAAGTTGATTCTTCCACGAATCTATAAATAAAACATTGTTGTGTTTGGACACAGAGAACAAGACTATGGCGAGTGAAAAAGTACCATTTTCCCTCGATGACATTGAGAAAGCAGCCAAGAAAAAAATGGAAAAGGATGTGGCTGATTATATTTATGGAGGTGCCGATCAACATCAAGGAGTCGTTAGAAATCAAAAAGTCATGAAAGAGTAAGATAATCATTTATTCTCTCTTTCCTATCTGATCCAGACTTTTTTGAGATATTGTTCCCCTCTCTCTCCTTCTCTTCCTCTTTATTACTTGCTATTGTATGTTTTATTCCTCTACACCTAGAATACTTCTAAATCCAAAAGTATGCGCTAATCTTTCTACCAGAGATTTATCAACGACCATCTTAGGCTATAAAATATCAATGCCCATAGGCTTTTCACCCACTGGCTGCCGTGAGTGGGTGATAGATGACGGAGAAACCTATGCGGCAAAGTCGGCCGCTTCCTGGAATATACCATTTAGCCTGAGTTCATTTACTGAGATACCTTTGGAAATGGTTAATGAAAGTATGAAAGAGTTTGGCGATCCCCTAAGAATAATGCAAATGAGTGTTTATCCAGAAGAAGCGATGACAAAGGAGATCATTAAGAGGGTGGAAAAATGCGGCTTTCAAGCTATTGTATTAACTCTTGATCATCCGGTGCACGGAAGGAGAAGCTTTGACGGTTCGGAAGGTGACGATCCATGGGAGGAAACTGGTCTACCTAATCTACCCGAAAAGCTATTGCTCGATTATGAAAAGTCAATAAGAGACGGTACTTTGGAGGAAATCGAAACCAGCACCGAAAGTTGGCAGGATATTACGAAGATTAAAAGAATGACCAAATTGAAAGTAATAGCTAAAGGTATTGCCCGTCCAAACGACGCCTTGGAGGCTATAAAAGCAGGAGCCGACGCTATTTGGATATCGAATCACGGAGGAAGGCAATTGGGTGATGGTCCCGCCACAATCGATTGCCTTCGGCGAATAGCTCCAGTTGTCAAGCAGTTTGGGGTTGAAATATACATTGACGGAGGCTTCAGGAGCGGAAACGATGTATTAAAGGCTTTGGCTTTGGGTGCGAGGTGCATTTTTATTGGTAGGCCTGTTCTCAGTGCTCTGGCAGTCAAGGTGAGAAAGAGATATGTATATACTGTATTATATGTATCTACATATATACAGTTATATTTTATAATATCTATTGTATTATATGTAAAAGTAAAGGCTGGTTTTTCTTTTCTTCAAAACCAAAAAAAAACAGGGAGAAGAGGGGGTGAGTGATATGCTAAAGATTATGAAGAGGGAATTGGATATCTCAATGGCTCTCTGCGGCTGCAGGAATATCGAAGAAGTAAGCGAATCGATTCTTTGGACTTGAATCTTCTACTACGTAGAAGAAATAGAGAATAGAATAAAAATGAGGTGAGGATGGAGAAGAGGAGAGAGAGAGAAAGACAGGTGATAATATTAAGGGAGAAGAAGAAAAAAAAAAGAGTAGGAAATTAAACGCAAAAGAAAAAGAAGAAAAAACTAAAAAATAGAAAATATAGTATCTTTATTCCTTCCAATAAAATATCAATCATAAATATTCATAGATCAAATATTAATCTTGATAGATTATTCGTTAAATGTGATACTTAAAATATAAATCTTTTAATCGTAAAGAATAAGCGTAAGTAGTAAATACACCTATATTTATGCATACTCTCTACAATCTATATATATATATATATATAAAACAAGGGGCAAAAGAGTGAAAAGCTTTCTGCAGCTAGGAAGAAATTCTTTATTTTTACCTTGCAGAAGATCTTATCCAAACCTCATTATAACAATATCGTACTCGACGTTGTATTAGATGAGAGACTCGCTAGACGCCTACTTATTCCCCAGTATTGAATCTGACCTCGAATGGAAGTTTGCCAGACAAACTAAGCCGGTTTTAAAAAGAGAGCGGAAATAAAAGAGTACATACAAACATACATAACATATAATACATATAGACTAATTGCTATTATGTATATATTTTACATATCAATATCAATGTCGCACTAATAGAATGTGAGGATTAATGTTTATCATATAGAAAAAGCAATGAATAAAAAGGTTAACTTTCATCTGGATCAAGCATTTAGAATAAAAAAAGTAAAGAAAGTAATAAGAGAAACATTCGTTGTTGAATGTAATGCTAAGCGTGCAAACTATAGATATACAGTATATATGGAGAAAAAAAAGCGAACCTATGAGAATCGATTCTTTGTATCTTTTGTACAAATTTAAAATATTATTCTTCTACTAGAATCAAACTTTATTTTTCTCTTTAACAACTTTTTTCCCCTGTTTGCAATCTAAAGTCTTGCGGCGTAGCAGTTTACAGAATAAAGGCAGCGAGCAAAGAAAGAGTGAGCGAGTGAGTAAGTGTATGTGTATATAAATATATATAGATATAAATTTATGTATATATATATATATATATATATATATACATATACAGTATATATAATGTGTATATACGCGTGTGCGTATATGTGTATGAAAATAAAGAAAAGACAATGAGAATGGTATAAAATGCCTCCAAGAATAATTTTAGTCTAAAGAGGAAGGGATTACAAGTTAAAACAAAAAAAAAGATTCACTTGACCTTGCTGTAATACGAAGAGTAGATAGTAGGTGTTACATAGATTAGTGGAAAAGTAAAAATTGACAATAATAGATTTTAATTAATTTTCCTTGGAAAACGTCAATTAATAGCCTTGAAATAATTACCGCAGCATTCTCTTAACGATAACGTCTTTCTCAATTCCTCTTTAATATTCGTTTAATTGTTTTCCCCCCTCCCAAAACAACTTTCTCTTTCTTCTTGTCATCGAAAAAGTAACTACATCTCCATCTAGCGTATACTAAGGGAATGACGTATGATCAGCGTCGTCTGGTTGGAGAGGGTTTTTCAATAGAGAGAAAAACGAAAAGGACAAGGAATAAGGAAGAAAATGGAATAAGTAAGACGGAGAAGAAGAAGAAGAAGAAGGAGGAGAAGGAGGAGAAGGGAGAAAAGAGCAAGAGAAGGAAGGAGAGGCCGTAGGACGGAAAAATAAAACACAAAAGATGGAGAAAGAAAGAATGACGGAATAGAACGGAATCAAATAACAGTTATGTAGTATACAGTACAAGAAGAGATTGTACATATGTGTGTATTATGTAAAAGGTAATTAAGCTTATATGTTCTTATTATCAAGCAAAAGAGAGAAAGAAAAAAAGAAAAAGAGTAATTTCTCGGAAGTAAACATATTTGGTTGAAAAAAAAAAGACTACAAACATTTTGCTAACAATAAGATATACAGTATATAAATATATTCTCTATTTTTTTCTCTTTTTGGCTCACCTGTTCTCCCCGATACGCCTATTATCAATCGAATAAAACATTGACAAGCAGACAAAAAGAGAGAACTTAACTGTTTTTTTTATATTTGTAATTTAAGCCTACCACTCACATACACATTTATATATACTGTATATATACTAATATATTAGTATATATACATATATGTTAATACTTGGATGTTTAATTTTCATCATCCATTCGCCCTCACAATCAATATTCTATAAATGGGTACAACTCCATTACAAACGAAAGCATGGAAAAGAAACGACACCCTATTACTACCCCTATCTTTTATGTAATCGTTCTCTTCGTCAATTCCCCCACCCATCTTCTTTGTTAAGAATTATTAGGAGGGGGCAAGCGCTATTATGGCTGCTTTCTTTTGTTCACAATAGAAAAGAGTCAACCGATACAATGTTCTACGTGAGTTACCAACACGTAGACGATAATCGATACTACGGGCAAAGAGGAGGTATGGGAGAGTGCGAACAGTAAAAGGAAGGAAGAAGGTATGGTTAGGCAAACCAACAATACATTAATACACGTGTTACAACTAATTAAAAAAACGTTATCATTCATCGCATCAGAATGTGGTAACCGCTTCATAAATTAACCTTTTAAAAGCTATTTATAAGCGACAGCAAATGAGGGAATGTATCTCACAATCAACACACGTGCCGCTATATGAGGGAAAACGTGTTCTTTATAAAATTCGATGGTTGCAGATTATACCTTTCACATCCAAATTTGCTTCAGGTCGGTAGACAACTACTTTTCCGCTTTATATTTCGCTTTTTCCCCTCTCTCTCTCTCTCTCTCTATATATATATATATATATATCTTTTCAGGTTCTACCCAATTTGAATACACCCAACTCTTCACTCCGGCGAAATATACTTTTTCATTAGAATTCTCTTAAAAGAAACGCAACAGTAAAAATGGAAGAAACTCAATCATGCTTCTGCTTGGAAGAAATGGAGAAGATCGGACGTGAAAAAATGGACAAGTCCGTTGCTAAATACATCTACGGCGGAGCTGATCAACACCAAGCCGTATCAAGAAATAGAGAGGCGATAAAAGAGTAAGTTTTAAAGTTTTCACTTTTTTTCAAATACAATCTCTCCTATGATGGTAAAACGTATCTATAATTTCCGTTCTACCCTTGTAAAATAGGATTCTCTTGGCACCAAAAGTCTGCGCCGGTATCTCAAAGAGAGATCTCTCAACTACCATCCTCGGACAGAAAGTCGACATGCCTATCGGATTCTCTCCCACAATGTGCAGAGCCTGGATCACTGACGAAGGTGAAATCTACGCAGCCATTGCCGCCGGCGAAGCTAACATCCCATTTGGCTTCAGTTCATTCACCGAAACATCTATCGAAGACGTTGGCGAATCGATGGCTGATTTTGAAAATCCTTTGAAAATTATGCAAATGAGCATTTATCCTGAAAAGGAGATGACAATGGAAATTATCAAAAGAATTAAGAAAGCCGGATTCCAAGCTATTGCTGTTACCGTTGATCATCCAGTTCACGGAAGAAGAGACTTTGACGGCGGTGACGACGAAGAACCAGAAATCTGGCAAGAAACTGGCCTACCCAATTTCCCAAAAAAACTTCTCTACTTGCATGAAAAGGAAAAGAACAATAAAGACCCCGACGAGATTGAAACCACTCACGAAACTTGGCAGCAAATCACTGATTTGAAAGAATGGAGCGGCTTAAAAGTCGTCGTCAAGGGTATTGCCCGACCAGAAGACGCCGAAGCAGCAATAAAGGCTGGAGCCGATGCTATATGGGTATCAAATCACGGTGGTAGACAATTAGGAGATGGCCCAGCTACAATTGATTGCCTTAGAAAAATTGCACCAGTTGTGAAGAAGGCAGGAGTTGACTTGTACATCGACGGAGGATTCAGAACAGGATCCGATGTCCTTAAAGCTTTAGCTTTGGGAGCGAATGCCGTATTCATTGGAAGACCAGTTTTGAGCGCTATAGCTTATAACGTGAGTAAAAACAACAATTATTAGCTTTTCGTCCGTTTATCGGTTGCTTAACCAAACTTTTTTACAATTGAAACAATAGGGTTACGAGGGAGTAAAAGAAATGCTCGGTATCTTAAGAAAGGAATTAGACATTTCAATGGCTCTTTGCGGATGCAGTAAACTCTCAGACATCGACCAATCGATTCTATGGGAGTAACCGAAAGAAGTACAAGAAAAAGAAGAAGAAGAGGAGGAGGAGGAGAAAGATGAAGTGGAGGAGAAGAACGAAGAGGAGGAGTAGAAATAGTAAAAAAAAAAGATAATCGAGAGATTTAGGAATAGATTAGGAAGAGAATTTAATGAAGATTTAAACCTAACCGAATTCAAAAATCAAAAGCCAAAATATAAAATTACAAAAATAAAAACAACTGCAAAAGCAATTTATTAATAATATTAATATATAGTTAACTAATTAACGCAGCAAACACTATTTGAATGTTAACCATAAACATTCTCTTCTTTTCCACCTGTTAGAATTTTTCTTTTCTTTCTTTCTTCCTTCTTTCTTCGTTTTCATACCCTCAGAGAAGAGGGCTTTCTGATTACTTACACGTACTTGTTCCCTCTTCATCAGTCCTACTTCCGTTTTAAATTAGCCATGACCAATATCATATCAAGCTACAATTAAATTAAAGATGGCGCTACTAGTTTCAATATCTAATGAGGATTGTGGCGACGACGACTGATGAACAAAGTTTTTCATTTCAAGAGTAGCTAACATAAGCGAAGACTAAATGAGAGAGAGACAGAGAGGGAGGGAGGGAGGGAGGGAGGGAGGGAGGGAGAGAGAGAGAGAAAGAAAAGAAGGGTAGTACCGGAAATGAATAATAATACGATAGAGAGAAAGCGGAATCAAATTAAAATTTGGATTTGTTGTTGTTATTGTTTTCGCTGCAGTGCTTTTAGAGTTGTAATTATTTCTTAATGAGAGAGAATTTTCCGGAAGAGTTTAGCATGTGGGCAAAACTGAAAAATAAGTTACGTACAAATGTCTTTTAATAGAGGGAAGAAAAATGAGAGAAAATGAGAGAAGAGAGAGAGAGAGAGAGAGAGAGAGAGAGAGAGAGAGGGAGGGAGGAGAAGGAGGTGGAGGAGGAGGCGGATAGACTGCGGCTGTTAATCATGCAAATAGTGTAGACAGAAAAAAGAGACAAAGAATTTAGACAGATATTTTTATCAAGTGTTTTTATAGTTTTTGAAGAGAAAATTTACGAATATCAAGTGGATTTTGAAATGTAAATAATCTTGTAAATAGATGATTTAATGGCAGTTTGTTTATTTGCTTCTGTTGCTTCATTTTACTTGTTATCTTTATTGTTGTTTGTTGTTGTTATTGTTGATGTGGATGTTCTTTTCATTTTCCCTTTCTTTTCTTTCTACTTCACCTTCTTTTTCAGTTTCCGCCTGTTTTTCTTATTCTTCGTGTTCTTGTTCTTATTCTTCTTCTTTGTGAAAAAGAAAAGTTTTTAAGGAAAGATAACGAGAATCTTGTTGTGAAAAGTCTTTTGAAAAGGTTGTAATTAATAGGGAATCCTCGAAAGAACCGAGTGGCAACTGTTTACTTTCTATAATGTTCCTGTACCCATTGAAAAGCGTCATTAAACTGGAAGAAAGTTCAAACGATATAAAGGGGCTTATTTAGCCTAGTTGCCTTGCGAATGACCCAGTTTCAGTGCAAATTCGTGCTAGGATATTAAATTACAAATTTGTCGTTTACAAATATTTTATAGGAAAGGTTAAAGAAAAAAAATATTACAAACAACAAAGAAAAACCGGAGTCAATAATTCCAACTTTTTTTCTTTATTATTATCTTTTATACAACATAACTTGAGAGTTTGTCCTCAGTCTCTTGTCTCACTCTCTCTCTACACCTGCCATAAAACCGACGGGAACACTTTTATTCATCAATTTAACACTTACCTAGTTGTTCTTCTCTTTCAACTTTTACATATTATATACTGCCTATATGATAATGAATATGTACAAATATATATACTGTATATGTATACTTGAGGTGCAGGCAGCAAATGGGTGGATGGGTGTAGAGGGAAATTCTATAAGCCCTGTAAAAGTCGTACAATTGTGTATAAAATGTACACGTTATATACGGTTAGAAAAGAGGGAAAAACGAAAAGAAAGGAACTGTTTGCATACGAGTTATTTTTCTTCTTCTTTTCTTTCTTTTCTTTTTCTTTTTACTCTTTTCTTCGCTGTTTTCTTCAAACATTTAACCAATATAATAAGCTACAACACTGTAATTTTGACTATATACATCGTCTAAAGTATTATATACTCTCAATATAAACATTGCAAACAGTTTTTATCTTAGTCTCTTGTTTACTTTCTATAATTAACATTGAACATTTAATAATTTCTCTAATCGCATTACATTTTCGCTTTTCTCTCAGTTAATCTTTTATATCTTTAATAGTATTTTACTAGTCTACAAACATTGATGTTTTTCCTTTTCCTCTCCCCTTCTTCCCTGTCTCTTTTTACCAATATTTTATCATTTTAATATCTCTTTCCCTCCATCCCCTCCTTCTCTCTCGGCCTTACTCCTCGGTAGTTCTCCACTGTATCCCTGTGGTATAATGTTTGCTTGTTTTTAATTATACTCATCGAAGGTGCGATAATGAATGTATAGATAAGTAAGCAGAGGCAGGGATTTTTTTAAAGTTCTGATTAAAGTAACAAAAGAGAGATAAGTAAAAAGTACTATACTGTTCTATTGTTGTTTCAAATGAAAAAAAAACCCTGCTTTGAAAGAATATTCAGGTTGTCTGAGGTTAATTTTTAGTAGTAATTCAAGGAGTTTTAAGGATATCCGTTTCCTATATGAACAAACGATTGTCAATAATAATAAACATTCTACTCTTATTAAGACAATCACTTGTTCTTTATCATTTATACTATATATATATTTATATATACAATATATATTAGTTTCTTAGATATGCGCTTTAAAACAAATCTTGCTTTTCAATCATCTCTTTAATTAAAACTTTTTTAAATCGCTCTTTTTTCCATAAGTTACTTTAAATAAAAATTGTCAAGACGACACGAGACGAGACGGGTGGAGGGAGATGGAGAGATAGAGGGAAGGGGAAGCGGGTAAACTGTGTGTGTGTGTGTGTTTGAGTAAGAGAGTGAGAGACAATGACTTGTATATCGACGGTAAAGATGATGACAACGAGGAAGAATAAAGAGAGCATGAAAACAAATTAGTCAGTAACATCCTGCTGTGACATTGCCAATCTTCAAACATGTACCTTATTAGGCATGTGGTAGCTATTCTCAACCATTGCCTGTGAAAATCATCGAATAAGACCAACTCAATACGACCATTAGTCAAGATTCTGTTGGAATGTTGGTAAGAGAACTAGAGAAATGTTGCAATAGTAATAAATATAGGCACAGATTTCTAGCCAAAGAGAAAGATGAAGAGAACACTTAATAAAATACAAATACTGTAGTTTGTTTTACTTTTTAATGTAATACATTAATAAACAATAGAACGTATATTGACTATCTATATATACTGTATATATATATATATATATAGATACATTTAGATTTTTATAATATACTACACGTACATACTGTACACTGTATGTCTTATGTTATATAGAATTATTCTTCAGAATTCTAATCTTTCCTTGTACGAGAACATGTAATAACAATTATTAGACATGTAGAATACATATATACTGTATATCCTGTATATATATACTCTAGTATACAAATTTAACAGCAACGCTTGAAACCGACACGGAAAGTTCAATAGTAGCCAAACAATACATACATGCATATATATACAGAAAATAGGATTTATACTTTGTAAAGGAGTTGGGACGAACGTAAGAGAAGATCGAAAGAAATTAAAAGTATTGCAAGTTTTACAAATTTACATATAGAAAATCATATACTCATTTCTTTTCCTTGCATTTTGTATATCTAACCAATTAAAAAACTAAAAGAAAGAAGAGAGAGAGAGAGAGAGAAAGAAAGAAAACAATGAAAAGCAAAATATATTTGTTTCCTTAACAAGTAACGATTGAGAAGAAATTTCTAATATACAAAGTCCTGTTAATTGATTATGAGAAAAAATTCAACGCTTTTCAAAGTTAAGCCGTTAAGCAGTTGTAATAATTTTATTCTTATTCCTTTTCTTTTATTCATACTATCTTTAATCAACTTTTTAGCATAGGAAAAGCGAAAAAAAAGGAAAGGAAGGTAGAAAGTTTAGAGGTATAGTAAACTTAAGGAAGCATAGTAAAGGGATTTCACTCATTAAGCTACCTTGTTAATTTAGTTCAATAAAAGAGAACAAATAATAATTGTTTGTTTCTTCCTTTCTCACTTTCTCTCTATCTATATCTTTCTCTTCTTGTTTTTTGTTTTTACTTTCAGTCTGTTCGCCTGCCAGCTTTTATCTTTTTATTTAACAGTTACAGCAAATAATAATATACGTATTTCTCTTTCTCAGTCACCCATTCACTCTCTCTCTCTCTCTCTCTCTCTCTCGTTTTCTATCTCTACAGCTATCTCTCTTTCTTTCTCTCTTTCGATATCCATCTAATTCTTAATTTTTAATGAAAATCGTTCTGAATCAGGAAATGTTTCTTTCGAATTTCACCTATTTACATTGATATTAACATAAAATACGCCTATGATTAGATAAAAAAAAATTTAATCTCACAACAGTTCATTTTTAGTATCCTTGCCTTAAATTTTTGTTTCTTGATTCCCTCCGCCTTCGGCGGATGAGGATAATTCTTCCCTGTTTAGCTTCTGAATGTTTGAATGTCGTCTACAAAAATCTTCGTAATTCTCAACATCTTCTATGGTGTCTGGTAACGGTTTGTTCTTTGTTTCCGGTAAAGGTAAAGCTAGCAAAGAGCATATAATTGATAGGACTCCGTAGACAAATAGCGGTAGATCGGGACCTATCAGCTTTCCGGCATTCAATTTCGACATATAGCCTATAAAAGGGTACAATATGCCTCCTATCCTGCCAGACGAAGAAGCTAAGCCAGCGCCTGTATTCCGGCAAACTGTCGGATAAATTTCTGGTCCATAAACGTAGATTACGGTAAAAGACCCATTAAAACAGAATCTAACAACGACGGCCAAAGCAACAGGAATATAGGCAACAGTCCCTGTTCAAAAGTTGAAATGAGAGAAAAGAAAGGAAAATGAAATGGTTGATTATGATTATGAGATTAATTGTATAATGTATACATGTGTAATTTATTTACCTGATTTTTTGGGTATAAAAGGTATTATAATGCACATTATACCGCCAACTATTTGCATCAGACAAAGGGGCCATCTTCGTCCAACTCTATAAAACGGTAAGAAGAAAAGATTGAATGATGTAGTTAGAATGTTTCTTTTCCTAATAGGTCATCTTGGTTTTTATTATCGGCAAACTTTTAGTAACAGAAAGGAGAAGAACACTAAATAAAAGTCTGGTAATAATCTTTTAAGCTCTGACTCTATTTTTTGAGAGAAAACAAAAATAAGAGGTTAGCACCTTTTCAGCTTTACTCTAAATTTTCCCTTAATTAAAAAGGTTAGAAAGGGAAAGAGAGAGAGAGAGAAGCAGAATAATAATAAGAAGAGCATTACGTAAAAGTTTCACGTTAGCTATTTAGTTCTCCTATTAGCCTCACCAACATTTTTTTAAACAGGAATGAAGATCGATAGAGCGCTTAAAGAAAGGATCAACACAAAGGATATTTGCCTTTAAAAATTATTAGGCAATAATTAATGTTCAAGGTTAAAATTCTATGATTTTTCTATCTATTACATTAGCTAAAAACTAGACAAACAAGAAGAGAGAAAGAGTTAGAAATGATACAATATTAGAAAAAGAAGGAAAAAATTAAAGCAGAATTTTGTAAAGAGTTGAGACGTTTCTCTTCTTTTTGTTACTCCTTCTTATTTCATCATTCTTAAGAAATCATTGTCAACATATTTCAAAGGAAGTTAAAACATGGTCGTAAAGTTCCATTAAATAATCGTAAATACAGTATGTACAGTATATATACTAAATATATTAGTATATATATATATATGTACTGTATATATATACACTGTATATGTATATATATATATATATACATATATATATTACTTAGTATTAGAGAATTACTGTACAATGAAAAAGCCAGGAAGCTCATTAAAAAAAAAAAAGTACAAAGTTGTTTGGTGTAGCTATTCATACTAAAAGAGAGAGAGAGAGAGAGAGACAGATAGACAGACAGACAGATAAACAGAGTCCTAGGTTAAATATTGATTTAGATTGTTACTTGTTCTTCTTTTTGATAAATAAACACAAAGAGCTAATAATAAAAATAGATGGGCGACTATGTTTAATAAAAGAAAGAAATAAGAAACAAACTTGTATAAGAGAAATAGAGTTACGGCTACTGATGGAATTTCAACCAAACCTCCAAGAGCAAAATTGATGTATAGATCTCCGTATAAATTAGGAAAATGAAAACAAACTCCGTAATAAACCATTGTATTGACAAGCCAAATTCCGTTGACGCAAAATGTTATTTTTCTTAGGTTTTTCGTTCTAAATAGATCAATTATCGTGTATGTTTTTCTTTCTTTTGTTGATTTTTTATTCTCGTCTTCTTTTCCATTCATAAGTGGTTGTTTATCGGAATCCGACAAACAATCGGCAGGTAACGGTCGTCTATTTATTTTAGCAGCCTTTTCTAGAATTTTCTCCGCTTCTTTGACTTTACCTTGAGAAACGAGCCACACAACGGATTCGGGTAGAAACCTAGTTGAATAAAACTTAATAAAGATCGTCTGTCATTTTTGTAAGAATAACGTGGAAACTCTGACGTAAAAATAGCTTGAGAAAAGACAAAAAAATATGGAAAAGAGAAGCAAAAACTTTACACCTGACCATGATTAGCATCTGATTACAGAAAAACTCATCTAAAATGTCTAAACATAGCAACGGAGTTTCGTTTAAAACAAATTAACTTTTAAACCATTTAAACTTTCCTGCGGAAATTTTAATTTCTTTTCTCCCCATTCGTCGGTATTTGCAGTGTCAAACCACAAAATGCTACAGATCTCTGCTAGCAGCGCAAATGAGACAGAGAATGAGAGAGAGAGAGAGAAACGAAGAAATAAAGAGCGAAAGACAGAGAGAGAAAAAAAAGAGCGAGGAAAGGGTATGTAGTGACAAAGAGAGATTTAGCGTATGTATATACTAACCACCAAAGGCATATACCAAGGACTGCTGGCAAACTTATACATGTTTGTAAACTTTTCCAGTCTCTCAAAAAGTACGCAAAAAGTGGTACCATGCACCCGCCCACCGCCCAAAAGAATTCGTGCGCTACTCCGAAAATTGTTCTCTGCTTTGGGGGGAATAGTTCTGTAGCCATAATGAAACCAGTGATATTAACACCCTGCTCCAACATTCCAACAAAGAATCTAAGAAATGTAAAAACGTAGAAATTGGGAGATAATGCTGTCAATGATCCAACAATGCCTTGCGTAACAAGAGCAAAAATGAAACTTTTCTTTCTCCCAAATTTATCGGATAAAAATCCAAATGCTACTGCTCCAATCATAACACCAACATTAAAGAAAGTATTAGATATTTCTGGCAAGTAATTCCTCCCGCAAACCAAATTCCACTGAAATGGAGAAAAAAAACATAGTTGAATGAATGAATGAACCAACGACAAGATGGATGGATAGGTGGATGGGTGGAGAGAAGAATGAATGAAAACGTAATTAGTCTTAATTACAAATTATTAAAGTTATTAAAACTATTGAAATGTATTTTGATAGCTTTGTAATACTCTTCAATATTCGTTTAATGTACGCATTATAATCAGCCTGGAAGCCCCTAAAGATGTAAATGTTTGCCGTGAAGGTCTGGAGTAATTTGAAACTTAGAATACCCTTGAATAGGCCTAGTATAGCAATAATTGCAAATTACTTTTCTTTCAGAACATTGAAATGGAGATGGAAAAGACAAAAAAGAAAATAGGAGAGAGAGAGAGAGAGAGAGACGGTGAGAGTGAGAGAAGAGAGAAAAAAGCGAGGAGCAGAGACAGACAGACGGACAGACAGTAAGAAGAGAGAAATGAGAAGCCTAAAGAGAACTTTTAAACAAGTGTTTAAATATCTATAGGAAATATTGCAACGTTAGCAGACACATGCACACGTATATACACTTATATTAGTATATGCTGTAATTAGAGCGCACTCTTCGAGCATGTTTTCAACAACATTTTATGATAGGAAATGAAGAATAAAGTAAAACTGTTCAATTTTATGTATCTCTATAAGGATCATTTTCTTCATTTACATAATATATACAACAATCGAAAAATTTAAAATTCAATTGCAACAAAGGAGAACTTCAATTTTTGAATTCTAGGTTAGAAAACAAGTTGAAATGATTAATATGCGCATTATATATTTATACAATCCTTCTTTAACTCTCTAAGAACCATTCACTCAATCAATCATATATCAAGCATACTGTAACTGCTTATAGTCCCTCCTCCTTCTCCTCCTCCTCTCTTCTTTCGTATCGTTTTACCCTTTTCTTACTAGCTACAAAAACTTGCCTCGCATCTTCTCTTCGGTATAGGATATTAAAAAGAAATGTCAATAAAATAACCATCTCCTAAAACTCGAAAAGTCTTTCTAATAGAAAGAATAGAATATAAGGTGTTTGTTAAGTTGTTTTACAATAGACTTTTGAATGCTTGTAAGCAGATAACTGGACGAAAATTTAGAGATTCTTGTGAATAAATCTTAAAAATATTCAATGCGCATTTGCTTTGCTAATCCTTAGGCGTAAAGGAGAGAGGAAAGGAAGGTTAGGTGGATGGATTGATTGAACGGTTGGATGGATGGATGGATGGATGGATGGATAATTGGCTGGTTGATTGGTTTGTTGGTCGATCGGTTGATCAGTTGATTGGTAGATCGGTAGGTATATAAGTAGGTAGATAGTTCGATGGATAGATAGGTAGGTAGGTAGGTAGTTAGAAAAGTAGGTTGATTAGTTGGTTGGTTGGTTGGTTGGTTGGTTAGTTGGTTGGTTGGTTTGTTGGATAGATGGATATATGAATAGAAGGAAAGACAGACAATTAAATGAGGTAGAGAGAAAGGGAGATGGGTAGATGAATTTGTGAACAAAAGATAGATGGACGGAGAGGCAAGTGATGGGTGGAAAAGTGAGCGGGCGGTTGGTGATTGGATGAATAAATGAATAGATTAATTAATTAATAAATGCTTAGATAAGAAATTATATAGATTAAATAATAGATAGGCAACTAGTCAGAGACTAACATTGAAAACAATAGATAAAGTTTGGGAGGCAATTTTTGTTAAAAGAAACTTTTGTTTACGGTGAAAAGTATATGTTTCTCTAAACATTTTGTAGAAAAACGAACGAAAAAGTGGATGGGAGTATAAAGTGTAGGGACTGCCGTATATAAAATATTCCAACTGTTGATTTTATTTAGTCTGAATACAGACTTGCCACTGCTGATACGAGAAAAACAAAATAAAACACATACAAACATAACAAAAGCTGTTAAGTGTATACCGGTCCAACTTTTTATTGTATATGCTCTTTTTTAAAGGTGGAAAAGCAAACTCTTTATTCTGAGTGTTTGTAAAAGATTTTGTACACGGACACATTCGCACTTTTATCTCTTGTCATCTTTCCTCACCATTGACTTGTTCATTTGCGCAATCTCTCTCTCTCTCTCTCTCTCTCTTGTTCTTTGACCAAAAACAGTACAGAACAATATTTTTCTACCGCGGTCTCTCGGTACCTATAACCCCCTTTGCTGTGAGGTTCACCTAACCCCAGCAAGTGTATAGTTTTCCTAAAAATTTTTCAATAAATAGAGTATTTTATTTCTTTTGTAAAAGCAAAAAAGAGAGGCCTCGAATATTATTATACAACCTTATCGGAGAGAATGTCCTACATAGTTATTTTTTTAAAAGAAAGAATTAAGACTAGCGCAGTTGTCTTTTCCTTTTTCTCTTTTATGTTGAAATAACATTTGAAAAGTCTTACCTCTGAAACGATTGATTGTTTAATGGGCGATCGTTCGTATTCCCATCCATTAGGGCAGGTAATGGTTTGATTACTGTCAAAGGTTCCATTTCCCAAATATTTGCTCATTGAACACTTATCAGAATTTGATAAGTTTTGCGCTACTCCATCTGGAATCTGTTTTTTATGGAAACATGATTTAAATGAATCGAGAATATTTTCAATATATTATAATAATAATATTAATATTTTTATTAAAAATGGGAAAAAAGAGAGGATACTAAATAATAACAATAATAATAAAAGGGGTTTTTGGATTGTTGCCGGCAAGATTTTCTCTCTTTTTTTTTGTTGAAAAGGGAAATTGAGCGTAAGATTTTTTCAGTTGGTTTCATTTCTATTTTCAAAAGAATTTTCTATTTAAAGGGAATAATATAGTGTATATATCTATACTGTACTGTATATACTGTACAGAGGACACTGTCTGAATCCCGCCTGTATACTATATACTGTCTATTTACATATATATCTATATATTTCTTTCTCCACGCTAAGAGGGAAATCTTTCGTAGTAAGTTGAATAAAAGAAATGAATATGAATAATAAAAGGCTGGAATATAATGAAGAGTTGATAATTGAAAAGAGCTACTTAGATGAAAATTCTCCATACTCATTCTTTAGCAACTTATACCTCACCTGGGTTCCTAATTAGAAAAATAATAAACAGAAAACAGAAAAGAATTTATCACAATGTGGGACGTTAATTCTCTTCTTCTTCATCATCATCTTCTTCTTCTTCTTCTCCTCCTTTTCCTACTAATGCTACTTTCGCTCTTTCTCTATTCTATTCTATTCTTTATTATTTTATAACAGGCGACATTTTTTTTTACTTAAAGACTCTTGTTGTTTTGTAATAGAATAAATTAAGATAATATTTGGAAAAAAAAGGAAAAACGACGTATTTTAAATATCAACTAATGAATATATTCCTACTAATTAAAGGTGAAAAACTGCTGCAGGTGAGAAATATAAGATGCTGGTAGAAAATTAGCTAAATAATATGCCAATCTTCACGTCTCCTTCCTTTTGGCGTATTTCTAATTTAACTAATTTTCAATGTATTTCTCTTATATTGCTGTCTATACTCTCTTTGCAAACAACATAAAGAGCATCTTTAGTTTATACACTTGAAGGGAAAAAAAGAAGAGGAAATAATTTAACAACTAACGCAAAACGTAGGTAATAAAAAGAAAGCATTTCTCCTTAACAGACACAATACAAAAGAGACGAAGAAAGCAAAATAGCAAACAGACTGATTTTCTTTACTGTGTAAGAAGATGAAGGAATGGATGGGACAGAGAGATGAACCAATACGAGGGAGGGCGGGTGGGGAAGTGGAGGATAGATGAACGGGTGGATTTGCGGATGGATTGATGGATGGATGGACGGACGGATGAATGAATGAATGGGTGGGTAAATGGATGGACGGACGGACGGATAGATGGATGCATAGACGGATGGATGGATGGATGGATGGATGGATGGGTAGATGTACGGATGGATGGATGGATGGATCGATGGATCGATGGATATACATATACATATATATATATATATATATATGTATAAATTTATATCTAGATATGAATATCTAGACAAATGAATGAATGAATGGCTGAACTTGAGCACAACTTTAAAGAAATATTTATATGGACAAACCTTGCATTTATGTTGCAATTCATAAGCCAAAAAAGGATAAGAAGTCATATGCCATATGGACGGCAGATTATCAAATAGTGAAATCCACATGAAAATCCACATTTGATATCGACCATAGGCGCCGAGAGAAACGAGAGCATCGTCCAGATTCATTTCTAAACTCCTTTTGGCGTCGATCACCTTGCGTAAAGCGCCACTGCGCGTCAGGATTGTTAGATACAATTAAAGTTTTTTCCGTTCGCTATCTTATGACAAAGGTTTGTTTTTACAAAGTTTGTTATTTGTTGGATAAAATCGAAAAAGATAGAGTGTCAGTCAATTTAAACTTTATTTAAATATCGTTCACTTTTCGATTACTAATTGAATAGTAGGACATTTTAAATAAATAACAATTTGCCTTTATCACAAAATCTACAAAATTAATACTCTTCCTAACGAAAATATTGCTATTTGATATTTAGCCAACAGAGTTTTCTCTTATCTTTGTCTTCTTCCGTTTCTTCCTCCTGCTCGTCCTGTTCAGTCTCCTATTCCTTCAACCATAATATTACATTATTTTTCGTGTGCTTTCGCTATTTTGCACCTTTTTCTCATCTGCTTACTTTTCTCTTTGTTCCTTCCTTCTTTCCTTTTCAATTCTATGCGTTCTCTCTCTCCGACATCTCAGGAAAGAACAAACATCTTTTTTCCTAATTTTGCTCCAAGAGAACAGGAAATTAAAAAGGTCTAGTAAATATTATTAGATTTTCTCCCATATTTTCCTTTGTACTTTTTTTTTCTATCTCCTTTTCTCTCCTTGTTCGTTCTTCTTATCTTCCTAACAAAATCAACAGTTTCGCGGTGCTGACATCTACTGTTTGGATAGAAAAACAAGTGAGACGATATTATCTGCTTTGACTGAGAAAATGATAGTTGTACGTAAGAAGGGGAAGAGGCGGAAAAGGAGTAGTTTTCAAGAGTGATTATCTATGTTTAAAAAGAAATATACTGTATATCTTATAGAATAGTATAGATAAAAAATGAAAATGAAAATATTAGCCAATCCGCAACTATAAAAGTTTTAATACAACTTCAACAATCGTTGAAATAAATACGTTTGAATATTTAATAAAAACACTAAAAGAATTTTATTATCAGCGGCGTCACTATCGGTGTCGGTGACGTCTACATTTGCGTAGTAAAAAATTAACTATTCTCTACCGACTGCCGTATCAGCTTGAACAAATTTATTAATTAAACCAAACTAATGATCCGTAACCATAAAGATTTATGTTCTCTTTGAGAAATCATAATACGAATAATATTGGTTACAATAATCCACTAGTGATAATCCTTTAGTATATTCTTTGTTACAATTACGTCTATTACCTATATTGTGGAGGTAGATTTTTTGAGTGAGAGCTCTAACAGGCAAAGTATAAAGAAAAGGGAGCAAACCGTGGATTAAACTAAAAGAGAGAGAGAGAGAGAGAGAGAGAATAAGGTTAAATCGTTATAGATTTATGAACAATAGCAACAACAACTCTTAAGTAAAGATTATTGTTTAGAGTAATTAAAATGAATTTAATATAAAAGATTAAGCAATAAATAGTTGATTTGGCAAGTTACAAGTCAAAGTTGGAAATGTCAGTTTTGATATTTATTAATATTCTATATGGTAAAGTCATGGATTAATCAAATGTGTGTGTGAAATGTCACATTGTTAAAAAAGGGAAAAAAGGAATTATTAATTAGTTTTATTGTGGGGCGTGAAAAGGATAGAGACCGAGTGAAGTTGTTGCAATGACATAGAGAAAGAAAAGGGGCCAGACGATACCGTATTTTAGCAACAACAACTTATTTTAATGCTAATATCTTTTTCTTAAGTGCCAATTGGCTTCTCTCTCTCTCTCTCTGGTCTTAAATAGCAGGAGAAAAAGTGGAAAGAGAGAGACAGAGAAAATTGTTGAGAAATAAAAACAGTCTAATATTTACTTTGCTAGTTTCCTTTATTACATTTCAATCTATAAGACAGACGGGTTGAGTAAAGAGCCGTAGACAGACAGACAGACAGACACTTTGTAAAACCGATTATAATTTCTTTACTTGAAAATTTTTGCATCAATGAGATTGAATTGAAATACCATGTTCAAAAATATTATATTCAAATATATATAAACATACAGCTTATATTCTTTACTTTGACATACTTTTTCCTATAAAAACAAGCGTGTTTTTATTTTTTTACAATGATTTGATTACATTCAATGAATTTTAATTGTCAATGCTGCCATCTATTATGCATTATTTAACTCTCTTTTCTTTTTACAAGCCAAAGTTTAATAAATGATTTAGAGTTTGCGATCGTAGAGAAAAGGTATAATTCATATAAATTACATTTCAAGTGTCGAGTACCTATACGTTAATCTTGGATTTTATGATGCTTTTGGATGGAAAAAATAAACATTTTTATTGAAATTATCATCGAAAAAAAAAATATTACTGTTTGTTGGTTGGCTAGCTAGTTAGTTGGTTCGGTTAGTTGATTGGTCAGTTTGCTGGTTAGTCGGTTTGCTTATTGATTGAACGAAAAAAGTATAAGGAGATCAATAAACAAAACATAATATATATATGTTAAATCATTCTTCCTTTATTTCTTTCTTTATTTCATTCTGTCGTTCTTTCACGATTAGACTTGAAAATTTTAGGTTAGTTTAATCTTCCTTCCTAAATCCCCTTATTCATCAATCAATCATTTCAATACTAAAAAGTCAAATGACTAGGCCTACTAATCGATGCGATCGATTATTATTGGCAATGATCTCTTATTCCTCTCTGCGGCGTGCGGTTAATACAAACTGTTAAAATTTGGCGAGTAAACAAGAGAGTGAGAGAGAGAGAGAGAGAGAGAGAGAGAGAGCGAGAGAACGAACTCTGTGCAGATTTTTCGTGGGAGGAATAAAATAAAAAAAAAAAACACACTGCATGGACATATGATTAACGGATACGCGTTTAAACACGTTCCGAAAAGAGAAAATATTCATTTTCACCTGAATCGATCGAGCAGGTAAACGGCTATTACTCTGTACATGTTTTTCTTATGTTGTTTAATTACTAACGTTCAAGACAAACTCTCCGGTTGGCGGCGTTTAAGCCGGTCACGTGATTACAAACAATGAAATCTCCATCACTCTTTGTGCGGGGCATATTTCGTACTGTACGCTTTTAACTGGAATATTGTGTTTACAGATAAGATTATTTGACACTTAAGATAAGAGCAATGGATCGAATCGGCTTGTTATAAAAAAAAAATCGACCTATCGATTGGCACAGGAGCGTGAAGATTTAGTTATGTGCAGCCAATTGAAACATTCGCCCGATTACGAGGCTTTAATTAAGAGACAACTGGAAAGGGAAAATGTCGACGAACTTTCCGACCGACCAAAGAGTATTTTAAAGAAGGAAGAAAAAAATTACGAGGTTCGTTCTGTGTTTTCATTTATCGTATCTTCTTTCACGTTTTCGTATTTTCGCTCATTAGAGTAGCGAGATTGTTTTTTAATACTTTGTCTTTTATTTAACCTGTTTTTAACAAATCCCTCTTAATAATCCAAACCTCTAACTCGCTCTGTTTCCGACCATGCCAGCTTAAACAAGATTTAGAAGACAGGATATCCTCTTTACGCAACGTACTGTCGCAAAGGGACAGAGAAGTTCACGAGTTACGCAAACAATGTTCCAAGCTCGAGGCGGAAATTGGTACTTTGAAAAAGGAGGCTGACCCCGGTTCTATAGCTGCTTTTAAGAAGGTTATTGCAGATAAAGAGAGGCAAATTGAAGATTTAAAACGTACAAAAGACGAAGATAGAAATGAAAAGAATTGCGATACAAGTGAAAAAAGATTTAATGAAATTTTATTAGAAAAAGAAAATCTAGCTACAGAAGTATATAGGCTTAAAAAAGAATTAAAAGAAGGATCTATAAACTCATACCAAGAAGATAGATTAAGTAAGTATAAACAATGCAGTGTTAATATAATGGGGCATATCAATGGCAGTGTGTGCATATATACAGTTCATATACTCGTATATATGTATGTAAGTGTATACTGTATAGGCATAAATGTCTAATTATAAATACTGTATAAATGTATATATAAGCAAACTATAGATTTGTACATAGGTGTACATAAGAAAAAGAGAGTTAAAAAGAGTAAAAATACTGTATATATACAGAATATCTAGCGATATAAACATAGCAAGAATACCTATTTACTAGGTCATCATTTTTTTTAAATAATTGACATAACACGTCTAAATAATAAAAAATAAAATAGATAAAATTATCTCTTAAACTGTGCGTGTGTGGTTTCTTCAAATGTATAAATATTTCATGCTTTTCTCTCTTTCTCTCTCTCTCTCTCTCTCTCTCTCTCTGTCTCCTATCCTCCGCAAAATGCACCTGCCCGTATATATAAAAATGAATAAACGACTGAATGAGTGAGCGAGAGAAAAACTTTAGCCAAATCGACATTTCATTACTTATTTGCATAAAGTATTTAATTATTATAGACCTATTTTTCTTTAATTTTATTTCCTATTCATAATTTCTTTATGATCTATTATTAGCAAATTTACGTTAGAAAGATCTAGTAATAAAAGAAATGGTGTTGAATTCTCTCTTAAGCAAATAATAAAAAAAAGAGCGAGAGAGAGAGAGAGAGAGAGAGAGAGAGAGAGAAAGAAAGAAAGAAAGAAAAAAGATTATAGAGAATTTTAATTAAATAAATTTTACACATGATGCTATATTGCTTTTTCTTATAGAAGAATCGGAAAATGACTTGGAAATTGCTCAGAATACGATTATTGCGGCGAGAAATGAGATCAAAGAACTACAAGATAAATTATATTCGGTTAATGATTGTTTAAAAACGTTAGAAAATGAAAAAGATGATTTACGAAAAAAGAATAATTTATTAAAAGAAGAAGTCGATAGTATTCGATCGGAAAACGATGCTTTCCAGAGAAAAACTCCAATAATCGCTCACGATGTTAATGTAACTTCGTGCATTAAGGAAATTGATGATTTAAGAACAGCTTTAAAGAATTTAAGGGCAAAAAATCACGAATTAGTAGAAGATAATATTCAATTATGTAATACGATAAAAGATATGCAAAGGTGTAGATTTCTATCTTCAGGTAAGTTGTCAATATATAGCCGGATTTCATTTATTTCTCTCTCTCTCTGTCTCTCTCTTCTTTTGTTCGCTTTCTCATTCTCTTATTATATTCAATTCTTGAACATATTGTGTATAAATAGTGCTATAATCTTCTTAAAACAACAAACTAGAACAAAGAAAATGATTGAAGCTTCTGTTTTCTGTTAACATTTCTCTCTTTCTCTCTTTCTTTCTTTCGTTCTTTCCATCCATCCTTCCTTTTCGTGTTAACTCCTTTCGCATTGCTAATTTTTAATTTTTAACACAACTTTCTCTTATCCATTCAGAAACTTCCAATGATGATTTAGGCTTGACTAGCCGCTATTCAGCTTGTAGTGATTATGATTTTAACGATTTTGGCGTGGTTCAAAGGTCGAGGTCATTTGGTACTATTAACGGTGACGGTATATATCCTTATCTTTTATATATGTTTTTTAAGGAATTTTGTATTATATTTACAAGTTGAAAACGAGGCAAATTTTCATCCATCGTTTTTTCTTTATATTTCTTTCTTTCACTCCAAATGGCATCGATGTTATCAACGCCACCTGAATTTAATACCGTACCTAATTAATTCTAGGGAGACAAAAAAAACGGAAGGCTAAAGGGGTATTATAGGGGGATGATGAGCAGAGGGGTATTAGCGTGGTAGAGAACAAACAAAAACATACACTCACACACACGCGCGCGAGAAGGAAAGAAGGCAATACATAGATAGTTAGATAGATAGGAGAGAGAATAGAAAGAAAGAAATCAAAACTTGAACAAAAAAGAAATTTTTTATCCTTTGTCCTTTTACTTATGCCTTTAAAGAAATCGAAGGAAAATTAGGCATATCCTATTAGAGCCTTGAACTAAATGAGGTTCTTTTGATCTGTTTAAAAGTAGAGGTGAAAAATCAATGGATTACTCTTTATTTTATTTTCTCTATTACTTTTGTAATGAAATATTTCAATTTAAAAGGAAAAAAGTTTGTTAATAAAATAAAAAAAGGAACTATGAGAGAGAGAGAGAGAAAGGGGGAAGAGAACAAAAAGTGGGAGCGAAACTATTAAATATAATAGAAAATATTGCACTGATAGGGGGAAATCAATAAGACTTTATAGAAGACAAACTATGGAAAATTACCACCTTTTTTTGTCTATTACTATTAGATTTAATTATGTAGATTCTTGATTGACATAATTGATGTTTATATATGAAAAGTTTATTACCAATTAATTAATTAATTTAGTTTGCGTTGTGTTAAAGAACCGAATAGAGAGAGAGAGAGAGAGAGACAGAGAGAGACAGATAGACAACCAGACAGAGAGAAGGATTACTTTTGTTTTTAGCAACTCCTCTTTTTCTTTTCCTCAAAAAAATAATTCAAGTTCAATCGACTATTTGAGTTCTTTTTAGGAAAAAAACTTTAAGGCTTTTAATCTCTGTAAACGAATTCTAACGAAAATGTTTGTTTAATCAACAGCCGATACAAAGGAGCCAAAATTGAATGGAAAGGAAAAATGGCATTCTGAAAGGCAAATTGAAAGGAAGATTAGGGAAAATCGTTAGTATTTAATTTACGATTATAAATCCCTTTAATCTAACTTGCCTTCCCCACCTTTTTTTTTTACATTACTTTTGTTCATGCTCTTTCACTTTTTCTCTTTGCTTTTTGTCTCTTCTAGTACCCGAATACAAGCCAATGTCGAAGAGACAACCTGACATCGTTACAGATGTTCTAGACGATGTTGAAGCGGCTGAAACAATCGAAAATCAATCGAGTATTGAACATGTTCAAGAGGACAAGGCGCCATCTACTAGACCGGCTTCCACGAATAATTCTTGTATATCTGACGAATGGACGCCACCTAGAGGAAAGACGAGAAAAATGGATTACCCCGAGTTCAAAGAGAATTCCAACTTGAGGGGAACGAATCAGATTCAAACGATTGATGTTCAAATGACAGACGACAGAAGGCGGCACTCGCGTCAGAATTCGTTCAATAGCGATAGCACCGATATAATATTGGACGCAGCTCAACAGGTGTCCTTCCAATCGTCTCTAGTGGATACAAATATGGCACCCGAGCAAATAATTGAGTGTAAGTAGATTTGTTCAGCGAATGCAAATTGTAAAAGTCTTATCGCTGAAGATGAATTATACTAGATAACAGACAGGAAATGTTGGTTCGAAATAGGTACAAAATAGGCAAAACAATTCTGTCCTTTGTTCTTTTCCTCTAGACCGTAAAAGGGGTAAATGTCAACTTGAGCTTGCTTTAATACAGCACGAAGGTAAATGCTCCAATACATTGTATGGTATATAACAGTATTGGTTAATCAGGCGGAAAAAATCTCAGACAAAGAGCAAGCGCGTAAGAGAGGATTTTAGGGAGAGAGGGAGAGAGGGAGGAAAGGACGGAAGGAAGAGATAATGATATAGAGATAGAGAGAAAGTGTGAGCGACGTAGAGAAAGGTAGTAGAGGCTATAAGTAATTTGTTTTCTTTGGTCTAGAAAACGATTTAGTGTTCAAAAGTAGTAATTATATAATGGGGTATGATCGATAGACGGTAGAAAGAATGAGTAGAGAAGAGAGAGAGAGAGAGAGTGAACAAGTGAGGGAAAGAATTAAGAATAAATAAATACATTATATGTTTAACAGATTCTCCTCCTGAATCGCCTTCAACATTAAGGACAACTCCAATTCCGACTCAACACAATAAACATTTGTACAAACCACCAACAAACAACTTATCAACCTTTTCAAAACGCCCTTTCGCTCCCCGATCACCGGCGGATATTCATATCGACGACGTTGTTAAATTCACAAGAAATGGTGGTAAAATTTCTCGAGGCCTGGTAAAATTTATTGGCCACTTACCAGGCAAAAATGATGTCTATTTAGGGGTAGAATTAGAAAAGGAAGAAGGACGACACGATGGTATTTTTCAAGGACACCGTTTTTTTAATTGTAAACCAAAAAAAGGAGTATTCGTAGCTTTTTCTAAAGTCATATTAGCCTGGGGATTGTAGAAGGATTTCATAGTGTTTTTTGTTTGTTTATTTTTTTTTTTTTAAAAAAAAAGAAAAGGAAATATCTTAATATAAAATATATATAAACCAATATAATTTATACGCAGTATATAATAAAAATATGTCTTTTTACTGAATTTTTTCCAATGTTTCTTTCTTTTTTTTATCATTTCAATAAAAAAGAATTTACGAAAAGAAAAACGAATCCAACTTTCTTTCTCTTTTTAGACAGTTTTATTTCTTTTTTTTTTTCAAACTAAAAATCAATTATAAATAGGCCTATATATAAATTTATATACATATATAAGTTATATAACTTGTATAAATGACTTGGTTAAACATACAAAAAAAACATATATAAAGAAGCGTTATCAATAATATGTATAAATGGTTTATGCATAATTATATAAGATACATGCATACATACATAAATACATAACATATATATATATATATATATATATTGCACAAAGCCTGCAAAATTTCACAGAATGAATTATATATATATATATATTAAATCTGTTTTGTTTTTTCGTCGACAGATAGATGGCGACACTTGTGTTTTTCTAATTCAATTCTTTTTTTATTTCTATACATCTTTTGAGACATGTTCCTCCAAATGACAACATTTAAGAATAAGAGAATAGAATGTAACGTATAAATAATATGCATGTATAAATTAACGATAGATAGATAGATAGATAAATAAATAAATAATCTGTACACCATATAGCACAAGGCAGGTCGTCTCTTTCTTTCAAATAAATATTCATTCGTTCATTCATTCGTATTCTTAAGAAAATAACAGATTCGACGATATAAACTGAAAAGTAAACTGGTAAATTTTTTAACATGAATTATAAGAATAGAAAGAAAAGAGGCACGTTTTAATTTGTTCAACATTCATTCATTCATTCATTCATTAAATCTTTCATTCAGTCCAGCTCTCAATCATTCATCTTTCATTCCGATAAGATTATTTTCTGTACAATTTTGACTAGATTCCTCACTCGAATTCTTTTTCTTCTTCTTCTTCTTCTTCAACATTTTATACAGTATATATATATATATATAGATTATAGATATAGATATTATGTCGTTAAAACGAACATCTGGAATGTATAAATAGTACGTCTTTCGTATACTAATCTAATTGTTTATATACACAAATATGGCAGATTTCAGTTGTCTTATAAATAGAAATTTAAAGTGACTTACTGACTGAATAATTAAAGAAATAAATTAATGATAAATGACGTAATAATAACGTTTTCCAGGATAAGATAAAACCTTCATTACAAATTTAGTATAATATAAAATAATATAATTTTCCTCTCACGACCGCCATGTTGGATTTCGAATTTCCCTTCACAGTCCTTCTAGCTAGCTGTATGTGCTTTTCGTAGTATTTATTACACTTTTCTCCTCTCCAAGAATTCATCATCTTTCTTCTCCGTGTAAAATCTGCACGATTTCATCTTTCTTTCTCTATCGCTCATCTTTTCCATTCAATTCATTTTTGTCGATTGTTGATTTTACCGATTCGGCTATTTCTCTCGTTTCTCTTATCTTTGCTCTAGATTGGAAAGGAGTAGAGGAAGAAAAAGGGAAAAATTAGGTTAACAATTCTAGTTCTTTGTAATAATTAAAAACAATTCCATTGAAACGTTTCTTTCATTTTTCTCTTGCTTTTCATTCAAACAAAAATTGAAAAGAAAAATTGAAAGAAATGTCTTTCGGCTTTGTTTCATACCTCGATCAATGCGTCAGCTCCTTCTACATAAATTAATCGATGACGCCTACTGCAAAAATTTTGCAGTTTTTCTTATTGATTAGTTTTTTCATCAGCATGTTTACTAGTTTTTTTTTCTCTCAACATCAATCTCTCTTCTGTAGTAGATTTTCGTCTTTTCTATTCAAGCGTCATTTCCCGTTGTAGACGGTGAGGAAAGCTTCGACCGTCCAACACGACGGCCGAGAGAGGAATAAAAGTGGCAGCTGTGACGTCCTTTGTCGTCGAATTCTAGAACGATTTGTGCGCATGCGCAATTCATGAATATGAACGAGCACCTGCCACGCGACTTCTAGAGGAGTGGTTTCAAGGCGGGGTTCGCTGATGTAACAGTCGCGTGCCCGACAATTATTACGTAAAAAATTTAACTAAAATTATGGATCAATACCGTAATCGCTTATTCAAAGGTTCAATTTGAGATTTGAACATCATTAACTGTTGTTACATTTATATCTAATTAAACTAATACTATTGAAATGGGGGAAAGAAAGAACGAGACAAAAGATCTGCCCCCGCACACTTTTTTTTTTTTATTTCTGTCGCTCCCCCCTCATATCTCTCTCTCTCTCTCTCTCTCTCTCTCCTTTCTACTAACCCTACTTTCCTGTCCCCCAGGAAATTTTACGATATTGTTCAACTAGCGTTCTTTGTGCTCTTTGTTTAACATTTAAATAGTCTATAACAAGGACATTTATTTTGAACACAATGATGTCAAAAATAGAATTTTCCAATTGAACAAAGACCATTCAGATGTTCTTGTTCATGCGGATGCTGGCGGTTTATCTTTTTCTTACCGTATGTTTTACGAATTGAAGAGATAATTATTTAACTTTCAGATAAAATAAAAACTTTAATGAATAATTGAAAAGTTAATATCCTTTCCATTTTTTCAACAATAAACCGTTCTTTGCCTCGATTAATGTTTTCTTTTCTTCTCTTCTTCTCTTTTGATGAACATGTTTAATTACTTCTATTGAAAAACGTTCTTATTTTCAGTAATTTTCTTTCGCTTTATCCCCAATCCTTCGCTCTCCTACACTTATTCACCTACTTATATACTCATTAAGTCGCTGCTTTCATTCCCTCTTTCTCCCTCTCTTTCTCTTTCTTTTAGAAACAACTATCTAAGAAGAGTATTTGTTTACATATATCTATCTATCTACACATCTACCTACCAATTTCTTTGTAACCAGAGCAGTGAACGATAAAAAAGAAAAATCTCTTAAAAAATTTACGAGTATAAAGGTTAAAAAGAAAAAAAATAGGTGATGGGAGTGAGGAGGTGGGGGGTGTGGGAGGGAAATTACGAAATCCTATAACATCTGTTCAACCATCAGAAACAAGGAAAGAGGAATCTTTATTCTTTTTTAACGACCTTTATTCAGATGTTTCATAATAGAGCGTGTTATGTGTTGGTTAACAGAGGGGGAGAGAGAGAGAAGGGGAAAAAGAGAAATAGAATTAATTTAGTAATACGGGTCTGATATAAATTTATACTGCTGAATAATTATACTAAAGTAAAAATGTATAGGTCTGCTATCATTCATTTCTTCTCTCTCTCTCTCTCTCTTTCTCAAATATTTGAATATTTTTTTAAATGATTCTCTGTTAAAAAACGTTCAAAAAAAGTGACGTCCTGAAAGGAGAAAGAGAAAAAGATTTTTCATAACGGGAAGAAACAAGAGCGAAATTTTGTAAGATTTCAGCAAAACCCTACATGTTTAAAACAATATAGGAATAATAAGGTTCTAATAAGGATTCTCTTCACGAACAACTTTTAGACCTAAGGCTATTTATAGCACACTAATACGGCGTTTAAACGTAACGCAAACGACGGAGGAGGGTGGAAGGGCGAAAGAGGGGCGGAGTGTACTTTTCAAGAATATTAACGCGTTAAAATTTATGAGGTTCGTTAAATAATTTATGGTTTTTTTTTTACTTTTGTTTTTTTAAAGAAATTTCAAAGTTAATTCTTGCAAAATGAAAGAAAAACAGCTAATTTATTCTCTTTTATATACCACGTGCCATAAATTTTAATCGTGATTTTTCGCCCGCTCTACGCATTATTTATCGTTAGATGTCGTTACGCACTCGATAGTGGTGCTACCTACAGCCAAAACGGGAAATACACAAACTATTATACGCTTAAGCTTCTCCGCTAAATTAAATATGAATCTTTTATAATAAAAATAAAAAGAGGGGAAGAAGAATTTTTCCTTTTTCTTCTTCTCTTTATATGGGAAAAAATATCGAAGTGAAACCATTGTGTGTCGAATTGTATTAGTTTGTTCTGGTTGAAGGAAGAGGGCAAGTAAGGGGGGAAGGAAGGAAGGACGGGCGGACGAACTGATAGGTGAATGTGTTTGAGAGTGAATATGACTAGTATATGGGAGTTCTTATTTACTAAATGACATTTATTCCCACGGCAATAGACTTGATGAAAACGCAAAACTATTTCTGACTGTCCTCATTACGTTGATATACACTGTGTGTCAAGAAGGAATTAAGGATAGAGGAAAAGGTGTCTACTCTTCCCTTTTTTCATTCGATTGTCATTTATTTCATCAAAACCTACGGTATACATTTTCATTGTTCCCGTTTCATTCTTCCAACTCGTCTTTTCCTCTCCTTTTTAATTAATCGAAATATAGAAAACTGTACGAAGGAATATAAGAATAAAGATAGAATTGTTTTCCCTAGCCCTTGCTCCTTCTCTCCTAAACTCAATTATCGCTTTAATTAAACGAGGAAAGCTTGATTGGAGGAGAGAGAGAGAGAGAGAGAGTAGATTTTAAAAAACGGTAGAAAGAACTGGAGCTCTAGCTAATAATGAGAATATTTAAATATAAAGAGAGATACGTAGAGACTGGCAACGTTTTACAACTTTATCAATAGAGAATTCTTTGATTAGCCTAAGTATCAACCGTTATGAAATCAGAGACAGATTATCATCTCTCCCCTTTCCTATTTAATATTTTCATTAGCAACATTAATAATAAATTTCATATTCTTAGGACAACGTCCTACATAAAGGCCTACACCAATGGGAAAAGGCGCATGGAAGGATGTCCTGATTTGGCTATCACTTGTTGATATTTTAGAAGGAATAGGTAATGTAGCAGGTATTTATACAAGTTTAATTGTATATAAGCCTATATATAAGGAAACAATATCACATGTTTAATGACATTTACCATCATTTTACATGCAAGAATTAGACAAAAAATGAAAAGAAGAGAGGAAGGAAAAAAGAGTGAGAGAGAGAAAAAAAAGGAAAAAAAGAGAGAGAGAGAGAGAGAGAGAGAGAGAGAGAGAGGAGAGAAAGTTAGCAAAAAACAAATATAATAACGTTAAGTAATAGTAATTAAGTGAAATGAAAAAATCATAATATTCATGAATTTGTAATCCTTATGTTCTATTGTTTCCGATGAAATCAATAATATATCCTAGCGTCGCAAAATCGATTCGACCGATTAGCCACTAGGGGACGCCATCAATCTCAGGCGTTTTTCCCTATCCAGTAACGCAGTCAGTCTGAAACCATGTACAAATACTTTTGGAAGCCATTAGAAAAGGACCAACGGGATGCTGTGGAATGTGAAGTAAGAGGTAAGCATTAAATGTATGCAACAACAATTGTTAATTAATTAGGCGATTTTGTAAAGTTTTCCGGTAAAAACAGTCGTCAATATGTCAAAAAGTGTGTTTACTCTTTGGGTGATAAATAAGAAATTGAACCTATCGCGTTACCTTTTCTCCTTCTCCTTTCTCTTTTTCCTCTCAACTCATTGGGATAGAGAGAAAGGAGAGAGAAAAAGAATGAAAGAAATGAAACGCATAATTCATCGTATTTATTTACTCTTCTCTTCATGTTCTTAGAGCATTCTTAAAACTCTCTTCATATACGGTCAAACCGTAGTTATACACTTAACTATATTAACTGTAATTCTGCAAGGTACAAATATCAGAATTCTATAATACACAGTCATTCAGCGCCAAAGTATTATTGTAAGAATTGAATAAGCAAATAGGCAAACACAAATCTTATTTGGGGGAGGGGGTTAGGGGTGGTAGATTGGTAGATTGAAGAGAAAAAAAGGGCTGAAAGACGAAGAGGAGCAGTGAGAAAGAAGTAAAGAAAGATACACGAAAGGAGAATGAGGGATAGAGAGACATTTCACGAATAGATTGGGAATGAGAGAGAGAGAGAGATAAATATAGGGGAGACTATCAATTTTCTTCGTTCATCTAACCTTAAAGATACGGATAAATAATCTTGTAAAGTTTAATTTATTTTTATCTATCCTCTTCTCTACTTTTCATTCAAACGGAATGAGCGACAAAAATGCCATTACCTTATCATTTCCTTTTACAATATGTTACACGTATGGATTTTATTTTATTCATTATATCTTTTTATACTTTTGTTTTTATATAAAAACAAAAAAGCCTTCATATTTTTATAGAAAATTTTTCGCAGAATTATAATAAATAAGAAAAGACTTTTGACCTTGAAGAGTAACCTTTTAGTCCTGGTAGCATTATGAAGGGGATGGGAGAGGAGCAAGAGGAGAGGAGGATTACAAGCGAAATATGAAGTTATAATAACTCTTGACACGATATATACCATTTAAGAATTACAGTATTCACAAATAAAGAAACGAATAAATATAGACTCTATCTATAAATGAAGGATTTATATTTGAGATAAGCGTACACAATTCTCTTCTAAACTCCAACGTAGAGTGTCCCATGCTATTTTTTTTCCCTTCAATAGTCATCTAAAGCATTTCGTTGACTATATAGTGAGTAAAGAGTAAACCAGAGTGTTTTCCGTCTTTCTAAAAAGGTTTTTCCTTTCAAGTGCAGTACATAGAAATAATATACATATATACTCTATTACACACATGTAGAAACGAGAATGTCTACTTTGACTGTGAAGAGAGAAAGGAGATGTATATATATATAGGAGAGGGATAAAGATCCAGTGCCATATGATTTAGGAAGTACATCAAATTGACTTTGGCAGTAGTCTTTTCCCCTCTCCAATCTATTGTATTGTTTATCAGCGGGAAGGAATAAAGGGGGAATAAATAAGCGAACGAGTAAACCACAAACAAACAATGGAATGGAAAGACAATGAGAGAAAAAGATAAAACAAGTGTGAAAGATCACGTGAAAAAACCAAGTATCCAACAAATAAATCTAAGAATATTAATGCTATTCGCATAAGATAATGAAGATGAATAAAAAGTTGGATTTAAAGCTTTTCATTTGACTGTTAACCGCTTCGCAGTAGTTAAGGGAATAATGGAATGGCAAAGAGTCTTGACTCATTGCAGAATTATATAGCATTAAGAATATGTGACTTGAGTAAAACGAAATTAAAGCATGGTAGTGGCGATGAAGAAAGCTTCGGCATATATGCGAATAGGCTTAAAAAGTGCATAAAACTATAGATTATATATGCTGTACAGAGCGATATTCTGTATATATCAGTATATACATATATGGAAATATTTATATATCTGTATATTTATATAATACTATACTAAATAAATATATACATTTTTGGTGTTATTCCCTGGCGTCATCATAATACAGTTTTTTTTTTCCCTCTTATTTCTTTCGAAAAAAAGGAACCATCCCTTCGTGGTTAACCGGAACTCTATTCCGCAATGGTCCTGGAAAGTACGAGTTTGGTGAAGAGCAGTATAATCATCTTTTTGATGGAGCTGCTGTTTTGCACAAGTTCGTCTTCAACGAAGGGAAAGTTATTTATCAAAATCGTCTTCTAGACACGGATACTTATAGGTCTAATATGGCTGCAAATCGTATTGTCATTGGTGAATTTGGAACAGCTGTCGCTCCGGATCCTTGTAAGAATTTATTAAATCGATATTTTACTCATTTTTCCCGAAAAATGGAACAAACCGACAACACAAATGTAAACGTTGTGGAATTTTGTGATCAAATATATGCCCTAACCGAAACTCCTTATATGAACCGAATTGACCCAGAAAAATTGGTTGCAACTAAAAAGGTTTTTATCTTTTATTAAGAACGTATTCATTGCGCAATTAACCGTGACATATGCGGCTCATTAAGAGAGTGTGAGTGACCGAGCGAGAGAGAGAGAGAGAGAGAGAGAGAGAGGGCAACAGATAGAAAAAAGAGAAAACAAAGAGTAAAAGCAAGAGAATATGAGAATTTTAAAGAGCATAAAGTATATTTGCAAGAAAAACAAACAAACACCTTGAACAAGTAGATGAATTGTGTTATAATGTACAGGTTAACCTTCACTTAATTCATGAAAGGAATCTATCCTTGTAGATTCATGAATAAAGCATAAACGTGTACATAGTTTATTAATTTAAAAGGCCGAATGACCAGTTACATATTTAATATAAAAGTTTTCTATAGTTTCAAACTCTGCTCTGTTATTGAAAAAGCAATAACTTGACAGAAATACCTTATTACGTGTGAATCTATCTCTGTTGGATCTCTAAAATAGACACAATCAGATGGGTTACTGAAGAGTTTTCTTCTTTCTCATTTTCTTGCTCTCCTTCTCCTTCTTCTTCTCCTTCTTGCCTTTCCTTTTTAATCAAATGGAAATTGCACTGTCTTCTATGACATATTTTATATCCGAAGACGTTGTCCAGATAGAAATGACTTGTTGAGAGGAGCTGGATAATAGATTACATCAACTAGATGATGTATAATATATACAGTACAAAGTACTATTGTAAGATTAGAACTACGGTGGATTATTCATGCAGTAGATGTATAATTGTCTTTAGATTGTATACTACTGCATATAAGACGAATGAAGGAGAAAAGAAAAGTAACTTAGTAACATGGAAGGTAAAATAGATAAAAGAAATCAAGTCGTAAAGGAAAAAATTTCCTATAAAAGTAATAAATTAAAGAGTTTTTACCTAATTTATTACCTCATTAATCTACATTTTGCTTATTTCTCGCTGAATTAAAGTGCAAATAAATTTCCTTAAATTTTCCTTGACTCTTATTGAAAGGCAAAGAAAGGCGGACTATTCAATCAAGAAATAAGGTTAATGAGTTTTCCTTAAGGAGTTTAGAAGCTAATTATTTAATGATCGAGCATATGAATATTAATTAAATTTAAAAGAATTAAAACAGAAAGTGAGTGAGTGAGTGAGTGAGTGAGGGAGGGAGGGAGGGAGTGAGAAAGAAAGAAAGAAAGAGAGAGAGAGAGAGAGAGAGAGAGAGGGGAAATGGCATATGCATATTTTAATTTATATTTATAAGGGCTAGCCCTAAATGAAATAATTGTTAGGAATTAACGAATTACTCTTTGCTTTCAGGTTGAATTGGACAAACTAATTTCAGTCAATCTAAGCACAGCACATCCCCATTTTGAACCAGACGGTTCAATGATTAACTTTGGAGTACAATTTGGGAAGAGTTCCAATTATCATGTAATAAAAATTCCTCCAATAGACAAAGGTAAGATAATAGAAGAGAGAGAGAGAGAGAGATTATATACAGTACATATATAGAAATATAGAAATATAATCGCTTGTTTATTATTTGAAAGAGAGAGGGGTGGGGGAGTAAGAAATGAGAGAAATCTTCACTATTATTATATACACAGTAACACTTATACAAAAGTGGAAAATAGCAACAAAAGAAAAAAATGATATATAATTAATAAAATGACTTGTAATACCTATAATTTCTATTTCTATTTTAACACAGAATGTACGGACTCGATTGATTATGCTGAAAGGATTGCTACTCTTCCTGTTCTAACATCACCAACATATTTTCATAGTTTTGGTATGACGGAAAATTATATAATATTCATTGAGCAACCGTATTACCTAAATATCCTATCAATACTATCGACAAGAGTGACAAATAAATCCTACCAGGATTGCTATGAATGGAGACAAGGCATAAAAGTGAGTATTTGAAATATCGTATAGTATTTTACATAGTTTATAAGCACTTTACTCTGCTTATAAAAATGTAATTGTTATGAAAAGTTAATTGTTATGAATAACGACAAGAAATAATTGAAAAATATGAAAAACAACCTCTAATGTTAATATTATACAGTATTAATGCTATTATTAGTAATAGTGTTTTTATTTTTATCTTCTTTATCCATCTACCTATTCATACTTCCTTTTCTGCCTCACTTCGTGACTTCCTCTCCATGACTCTCTCTCTCTCTCTCTCTCTCCCTGCATTCGCCAAACTAAATCAATCAAATTATTACTTTCCTTACTTTACTTCCACTTCTAAAAATAATTGTTAAATATACTTTATGGTCTTTCAATGTAAAGAATTTAATTACGCAATAATTATGGAGAGTAGACAGGAAGAGGATTATTCAAACTATACAATTTAAAGCATATAATTTGTCCTTGCTGACACTTTCTTATTAAATATTGATGTTTCTGATGGAATTTCTAAATGGATAAGCACCTGAAACTTCGATAACGTGATTGTAACTTTTTCTAATAATGTTATCTTGACAGTCATTGTCGCAAAATTATAAATAGTAGCAAACTTGACCTTTTGTTTGCAACAGGAATTAGAGAGGATATTGCAAGAAATAACAATTTCTAGCCGTAGGCCTGTTTGATTTATAACTAAGAATTGTCGCAAGGCTTTAGATAAATACTTATAATGGTTAAATAGGAGAAAAACTAATGAGAGAGACGAGAAGAGGAAAGGGTTAATTCTAATGAATGAATGAATGAATGAATGAATGAATAATTGCAATAATTAAAAATAAACGATATTTAGCAACATACGTAAATCTGTATGATTTCTATTTCAGAATGTTTTCCACGTTATTAACAAGGAAACTAAAGAAGTTTCTCAAGTGAAATACGTTTCCGATCCCTTCTTTTTCTTCCACTTAATTAATGCGTACGAAGATGAAAATCATATCGTTATCGACGCCATTTGCTATCCTGATGACAAAATTGTTAATGCTTTCTTTCTAGCAAATTTAAGGCAAGGTCCTCACGTCGAAGGTAATTAAACAGATATTCTAATTAAATCAATTAGTTTTATTTATATCCTTGCTATTTACTAAAGGTTATGAGAATTTTCCGGCGCCAGATGTAAGGAGATATGTACTTCCTTTAAACGTTCCGGAAGGTGTTCCAGAAGGCGCCAAAGAGAATTTAGTATCAATCGACAGTAGAGCATTCGCCAAGAAAAAGGATAATACAACAATCTTTCTGGCACCAGAAAGATTTGCTCACGCTTGTAAGTTAATAATCTAACAATTTATTGACGTATTGCAGTCGACTCTAACCGTATTTTACATGTTAAATTACTGTTGCATTTCTATTGTAAAGAAACCCTCTTCATCTTCTTCTTCTCCCTCTTCTATTAATTACCAGATATAATCCTAGCCTTTGTTATATTTTATTCATTTCGTAAAATTCTGTACGGATCGATTGGTTATTATTATTATGATTATTATTCTTATTTGTCATGGTATTAAACTTATTAATATTATCGTACGTTACCTGTTTGCCAGCGTTCGAGATGCCCAGGATAAACTACGATTCGTACAACACAAAGAAATATCGTTACGCTTACGGAGCCAATATGAGAAAATCAGAGATGAATGAGGTAAGAAATTTGTTTTTATTTTTTCATACGCCGTTTACGAAATAGAGTACTTTAGCGGAAATTCCCACAATAGCTATTACCTTTCAAATGTTGGACGTTTTTTTTTCCTTTTATTCACCTTCCTTCCTCTCTCTCTCTCTCCTTCCATTACCATCGTCGGCGTCGTCTTGCGTGAAAAACGCTTGTCTGTAGGTTTTAGTAAATAGTTTATCGACCTGATGAAGATATTTTCAAAGTCAGGTATTTGTCTTCTATGTCGTACGCCCCATTTTCCATACTAGACGAGACATAAACAGTATATTTTTAGTTTATACACCTATGGGAATATTTATTAGTTTAGAGATTCCCTCTCCATATACGGAGAAAAGGTTCGTCATCATTTAAGAGAAGAAAAAGTTGATATGTCTTAATATCCTATCTTCTTCTCTTCCAGTTTTATATTTAGATCAAGTTATTAAATTATTCAAGTTGAGTAGAGATAAGTAAAGAAATAAGATTTCTATGTAATGAATAATTATTGGCAGTTTAAGTGAAATAAAATCTTTTAGCAGTTGAACTTGTCTAGTGTAGTTTTTTACTTTTCTTTCCTCCTTCTCCTTTGCTTTGCTTGATTTATCTTGCTAATAATTATTACTTTCTCTTCAAAACAGTTGGTTAAAATTGATTGGCTAACAAAGAAAGTTAACAGATGGTATGAAAATGAGGATTGGATAGTCGGTGAACCAGTTTTTATTCCGAAACCTAATCCAACAGCCGAAGACGATGGTAAATATTACTGCAGAATATATAAATATATTCGTTTATTTCCAGTCGATAGATGGCGTCAATATAGTTGTTCTTACTCTTTTCTTGTTTTGCTAGGCGTGGTTTTATCACCAGTAATAAGCTCTTTGCCAGGAGAATCGGCGTTCCTACTCGTTCTGGATGCTACTTCCTTTACAGAACTTGCTAGAGCGGAAATTCCTTCCGACGTTCACGTTCCATTAAATTTTCATGGTAACTTTGTAAAAAAGTGTTATCCAGCTCCTCCATCGTCATCCGTCTAACTAGACTTTTAATATTTCCCTTCGTCGAGTACTACTACTACTACTACTACTACTCTTCCTTCTTCTTCTTCTTCTTCTTCTTCTTCTTCTTCTTCGTCTTCGTCTTATTCGTCTTATTATTGTTACTATTATCCGTCTTTGATAATCGTACACTAGGGTTGATAGCGTACGTAAATCAATTAACATATTATACAAGATATCCTGTAAAAAATGGACATGCAGTAGGAAATAAAAAAAAAGAAAGCGTCTCAAAACTTATAATATACTGCATGTACATTTAAAAGAGAAAAAGAGAGCACTTGTACTGTACACGCTTTTGTCTACAGTATTATACTATCTGCATATATATATATATATATATATAGACATATAAATGTCTTTTCACTGTATAAGGAAGGAAACTATGAGAGAAAATTGATTGTAGATAGATAGATAGATGAATCGATAGATAAAAGATAACTTTTTAAAAAAAGTAATAAAAGAAATTTATTCATTCTATTAAAAATATTAAAAAAACATCAATAAAAAAGAAAAAATCTATAAACAAAAAGAAAATCCAACTCAACCCAACAAAAATAGAGACCAACCCCTACTGCAGTTAGATTTATTTTCAACGTTTCATTTTCTCTTAATATTGTACTGAAACTTAACAAAAGAGAGAGAGAGAGAGAGCAGAAAAGGAGAATATAAAAAACCTTATCAAAAAAAGAAACCTTTAAAAGTAACATAGTTTTAAAGGGAAGGCTTTCAGATAGCTTTAAACAATTTACTTGTCTCTTTCTCCTCTTAATCAATCAATCAATCAGCCCCACCATATTATTTTTTTATTTTAACTTTGCATATATTATGCAAATGAATTTATGTCTTATGGGAAATCTAGTGGATCTATTATATAATATACTTGTAGGAGTATACGTATAAAACGTTCTCTATGTGTCGATTGTTGAGTACGTAATACAGAGAAAAGTGGCTGTAAAGGTTTAGCAAACGTAAGAAATAGTGTTGAAATAGAACAAATTCGACGAATGAACTGCAGTGTTAAGTGTGTACGAATCGTATCTCTGTTGTATCTAATTGTTTATATTATACACAGTGTTTATGTTCAATGCCAATATATAAAAATGTGTTGATTGGTGGCGACATCTTTATTCCTTATGAGGTAGCAAATTACAATAAAGACTAAAGTTATTCCATTGTCTTGAAACGTGTTAAATAATATTGTAAAGAAAAATTAAAAGAGAGAGATAGAGAGAGAGAGAAGAGAATACACTGTGTAGGCTTAAAGTACTGGTAGGTTGAATTAGAATGAGAGAAAAAAAGGTTAATTACTAATACAAAAAAAGTAATTGTAGACTTTTATACACAAATTTAAGTAGAAATTAACGAAAATAAAAGACTAAATTCAACAATAAAAAACCTATTATTTTCATTTTAGAAACTACGAAATAAAATTCCTTTTCCTTCTCCTCCTTCTCCTTCTCCTCAATCTATCTTCTTCCTTCTCTTCTCTCCCATTTCCCTTATCGACATAGAATCATCGCACAAAATGTTTAATTGGAATACGGAAAGGTTACAAGGTCTTTTTGTTTTGTAACTGATAGGATATTTTTTTATCTGTGTATGAATGTGCGTGTGTGTGTATGTATGTGTGTGCGCGTGTGCGTGTTTGCGTATATGTTGGTGGGTGGTGTGGGTGGTGGGTTGATCGGTCAGCCGACTGGCGAGTGGGTGAATAGATAAGAGCAGAGGAAAAGGGTGTAATGACGAGAATAGGAAGTATGAAGACGGATAAGTAAATAATAGGCGAGGGAGAGAGGAGAGAGAGACGGAATGTATTAATTACTCATCAAACAGTAGGACATGGCTAAAAACTTTCGTATGCTATTCGCGTAAATGATTTCTTGGGAATGGGTTTTCTTTTTGTTTTTTAAATATTAAAAAACCTTCTTTTTCCGGTTTGGCAGCTTAGTAATACAAGCAGCAGTCAGTCAGTTTTCATTACCAGTCAGAAAAGTCTGTTAACCAGGCGTCTTTCCTGCATGAATCATACGTTTTACGCGTGCATCCAAGAAAATTTTCAACCTATAACAATAGGCTTAATTGAAAAGGTGCAGAGAGACCCGTAGCAGTAAGAGAGAGAGAAAGAGAGAGAGGGTCGCTGGGTAATGAATAAGAGAAAGTTGTACATTTAGAAACCTGTTTCACCAGTTGTATTTAATCAGGAGAATGATATGCTAATATTGCCCTTAAAGCTATAAGGTTAACAAGTGTAAAAGGAGAATAAGGATAGGTTTTTTTTTCGTTTTCACACCAAATGTTTCTTTTAGTTTCATAAGGAGATTTTAATAATAATGAAAGATTTACCATAAACCAAAAGCTATACATCATTGATTTATCTTTGTCCTTTCTATTGGATTAAGTGATTTTCTTTTAAATATAACTCTGTTGTTATTATTTATTACTAGCACCTTTATCTTATTTTTCAATAGAATTATTCATACAAATTTTCCATTAATAATTCAATTTATATCTTATCAGTGTTTGTCATGATATGATTGGATTTTTTTCCAAAAAAAAAGAGAAAAAATTCTCTGTTTTAGATAAATCATTTATCTATAAGGTTCATTGTACTTTGCTTTAAACGGTATATTGCCAATTTCCTATCTAATTCTCCTCTTTTTATATTTTTATCTTTTTTGTTGGCAATTGGAGAATAAAAAAGAAAGTTGAAGAGAGAAATTACAACGTTCTCTTACTTCGTTTAGACAATTTTTTTTAACATATCTTTAAATTATTCAATTTAATTTTCGCGAGAAAAACGACCCTTTTAACATGCTTATTTGGATTTTCACTCTTCTTTACCCTCTCTTCTCTCTGCCTAGTGTAATTGCGTTTTTATTTATAGCACATTGGGTTACTACTTTTTGAATATACGCAACGTATTCAATAGGTGGTGGACTATGACTAGACGCAGGAGACGAGGGAAAGAAGGGCAAAGATAATGGAAAAGATACGAGAATAATAAAGATAGTTTTCTTTTTTATGTCGAACAAATGAAAAACAGATTTAAAGAAGAGAGACAAAAAATGACCTAAAGAATATTATTCGTCGATTTCTTATATTGCATATTTCTTTGCCGTAAGGACAGATACTTTACTCTTCTTCTCTTCTCTTCTCTTCTCTTCACTCTTCTTTCTTATCCTTTCCTATTTTCAGTCTTTCTCTTTTATTCTTTTTTTTCCAAACGAAAGGCTTAAGGACAAACTACTATTGATCCGTTGCCAAAATTTAACGTATCGATTTCCGGGACTTTCCGAAATCTTATTGGCTAACGCCCAGTCACGTGACTATAGCGAAAATTTTATGCGACGACAGTCGAATCTTGGGCCTCGTATGTTGTGCACGTTTTTTTTTATAAGTAGATAAGTACTTGTTCGGCAACGTTCTTTTGGTTTATAGAATGAATAATGGATATAGATAATCTGGAAAAATCTCCTGGAAGAAGAGCAGATGCAAGTTATAAGCCGTTTAAAAGTTCAAGGTCATTCTCCAGTGGTAAGGAACTAGACGACGCCGAAGTGACGTCGTTGGATAAACAACGTGTGGAAAGTCAATTTCGAAGTCAGAAGAGTAAAGTTTACGTTTGCAATTGCCTGGCCAAGCTATATGAAACTTCGAAGACTTCTTCAATCGAACTAGTGACGTATAAGAAATGAAGAGCTTTCCACCAGAAATACTTAATAGCAATACAAAAGAAATATGCCATCATTATTTCGGCAAATATTTCCACTTGACCAGTTTCCCCTACTGAATTTAGATAAGCCAAGGAAAATACTCTATTAACCTTTTTATTCATTTTTTTCATTCATTCATTCATTCATTTTGTCTATTTATTTTTCATACTCTTTTTTCTGTTATTCTCTATTGTTCTCAATCTCTTAGCCTCTACCTCCTCTCATGCCTCTCATCCTCCCTCTCCTCCTCCCTCTCTCTATCTCTTTTCTCTTTTCTCTTTTCATTCATCTTTCTCTCAATCATACAAATTAGATTTATGTCATCGTTAAAACTACATTTTATATTATTTATTGATATAGAATAATAAGAGAGAGAGAAAAAAATGACTTTAGCATCCTACTAAAAAGCATCCTTCGAGATAATTAAAGGTGAAAAATGTTGTTTTTCTAAGCGGCTTTCCAACATATTCAGCTGTTTATCTTTTATTAAAGAGACAAAGATAGAAGGAAGATAGAAAAAGTATGATATAAATATATATCTAATCCGTTTTGTTTTTAATTAAAGGAGGTGATGTTAATTACAAGTATATATACTAATATATATAAATTTAGATATATGTATATTGTATAATTTAGTGTTTTATTAAAGAAGCTTGCCTTTACGAGAAAAGCTCTTAGAATGAAATCATTACATTTCTTAAACGTCACTAGAATAAACCGGGAAAATGGAACTTTAAATGCAATGGAATTCCTACTTTACTACTTCAAACGATTTATGGTAAAAATCAATTGCAAATAATTATAGCCAATAAGAGAACGGGTTTTGAAATGTGGAGAGAGACTGTTTTGGAGAATTCTAGATACTTTACAGATTCAGAACTATTTCATTTGTTTAAAAAGAACGAAAAAATCCCAGGACTCTTTGGTATAACGTTCGAAGAGAGAAAATCCGCCGTAGAATTTTTTACAATGTTTCAAGAGTTTCTTAGGGAATCCAGATCAACTTCATCAATTGATAGAAGATGTAGAGCAAAGAAAAAGGTCATGAAAGATTCAATATCTGTCCCTTGCTGCTTTAATCACGTCTTTTCAATGAATAGTTCTGAAGGGTTTGATTTATTAAGAGAAGTTAAGAAATAATGAAGAGAAATGAGAGAAATTTTATGAATTTTTATCATCAAAAATTCTTTTGTTTCTGTCTTTCTTGAATTTATATAAAAAAGAAAAAACAACTTTTATGCAAAAACAAAAAAAAAGGAAAAAAAAAGCAGACTGATTGATTGAAAAAATGATGGAAAAAATGAAAGGAGAAACAAACCTCAAACTATAAAATATCAGGAATAAAATCTGAATATATATAAATATAAGCTTTTTTCATTTTTTTAAGTGAAAAAACTAATAAATTTGATAATATTTGTTTCACATTTTGGAATTAAATGACAAAAGAGTAACGAAATTGAATAATAAAGAATTCTTAAGTAGACATACTTCTACAATAACAACAACTGTCACTAAACTACTAAATATTCATAATGATAAAACCTCAAAGAATCGATCGATAATTCATTTATTCATAATTCTACTATTTAATTTAATATACTCTATCGGTTATAAGATTAAAAGGACCAACAGAAATTACTAATTACACATACATATATAATGTATATATAGTGTATATACTGGATACTGTATATATATAATAAACACTGTAAACCTAACCTTCAATCACTATTGATTAGGAAAAAGGAAAAAAAACCCACACAAAAAAATAAGTATTGCGTAATAAGATTAAGTTTCTATTTTTCCATTTGCTCTAGTTATCTTCTTTCTTCTTTATAGTTTGATTCTTTTATTTATTGACAATTAACTTAGAAAATAGGACTATTCTTTAATTAAACTATCTAATAGATAGATCAAATTAATTAAATATTTTACAAACTAACCAAACTAACTAAACTATTAAATTAAGTATTAATTAACTCTCTTATGGAACTTTCCAACAAATACATTCATTGTCACAACGAATTATATAAGCTATATTACTAAGTTTTATTTCATTTTTCATATTTTCTTCTTTAATCTCTTCTCCTCCACCTCACACTATTCTTCTTCGGCTTCTTCTCCTTTCTCCTCCCCTTCTCGATAGTTCAGTACCTAGACAGTAGGAGAGAGACGAAAGGGGTAAAGAAAAAAATTAATCGATTAGATAAAAAAAAAAACCATAGAGTATAATTAGCATGATTTATTTATAAACAGAGAATTTAAAAGGGAACATCGGCAGTATCTGTACAGTTGGGCAATGTACAATATGAAGACAAACCAAGAAGAGGGGAAAAAAGCGTAGAGAAGCAACTTAGATCGTATGATAAAAATAGGGAAAATGCTAAGGCTTTACTATGACATTTGGGACTTGAGAATTGTCCATTATATAATTATTCGGCATTTGATCTGTATGTTATTGGTGACTAGCGTTAAAAGGAAAGCTTCCATTTCCTTATGGTTTCCTTCCATCTCTTACTTCTTAATTATTGATATTCGAAGAAACCAACTAATTTTTTGTTGCTTATATAATAAAAGTCATACCTTCAAAGTGAGAAAATGCGTTAATTTTTCACTTTCACCGCTTGCTTTCTTTCATTAAACAGTTAAAAATAGATTATAAAACGGATTATTTGTCTCTCTCGTCTAATCGAATTGATATATGCTAATATCGTATATGCTGTCTTTATAGACATCGATGATGTTGGTAATGATGAGGGAGGATGGGAACAACGATTACAATGTTGCCAGTTTAAGGGAAAAAAACCCTAACGTCTAGATTATATCAATATTTGTTTGGTAATTATCGTAACGAGTTTTTCATTTAACGATTAATAAAAGTCTATCCAACAGCAACAACGTTCATACGAAAGGAATAAAGGGGCTAACACAAACCTGTAATAGTTGGGTTTAAAGGGACCTTGCTTGTTTAAACCCAAATATTTCGTCTGCTCTTCGCTCAACTCTGTCAATTTTGCCTGGAATATTGGAAGGTGTAAAGCTGCCGTATACTCGTCCATCTTTTTAGGTAGAAGATAGACGTCTTTTTTATATCTACCAGATGGCGCCACATATAGTTCCACAGCGGCCAAAATTTGGGTACAGGCAGAAATAGATATGACTAGTGACGGTATATTGGTAAATGTCATATTAACGAGTTGTCCATCCGCCAGAACAATTAAGCGTTTTCCATCTGGCCATATGGCGTGTTCAACGTTATTCCTAACCATTTCGAATTTAATTCCCTTCGAACTCTTTAAGGTTTTTAAATCGATTTCGTTATTCGAATGTCCCATATTACAAACAACGCAACCGCTCTTAGCCTTATCCATGTGAGCTTTAGTTACAACATTCTTATTTCCAGTACACGTTATTATTATGTCAACAGACTGAATGACGTCATTTATTCTAACGACTTTATGGCCGTTCATGCAAGCTTGCATTGCGCAGATTGGATCTATCTCCGTAACAGAAACGATACAACCAACCGCTTTTAAGGCGTTAGAGACGCCTTTTCCAACGTCACCATATCCGCATACTAAAACCTGTTGATGAAATTGAAAAACGTTGATTAAATCATTATATTTAAATAGAGGGAATACAGAATATGTTGAAACAAAAGAGCAAACTATTAGGCTCACTGTTTATGTCAGAATATAGTTATTTATATTTTCATTATGTTAATTTATTAGACGCCTTTTCCCTTGTCCTATTCCATTTCTCTCTCTCTCTTTCTTTCTATTTCTTTTAATAATTAATCGGCATAGAAAAATAAAAGTAATTAAAAAAAAACACTATTAAAATAAATTGACGCCTTCTATAGCTTAGTTTTTGTTTTTCAAACACATAACAAATCTATACACAACTACAGTATTATTAAAAAAACATGAATTTTATGGATTAGAAAGAAATATACTAAAGTCTCTTATTCATTCAGTCATTCGATCTATCCCTGGCTACAACTATTTGTAATTATTAGACTATAGTATTAAGGAAATGAATGGAAAAGGAAAAGCTTGTAGTTGATTTTTCTGTCCATTTAAGAATTCGACTATAATAGCATAAAGACTTAAAGAACATTTTCTACTGTAATTGTCTTTTCCTCGTCTTTCCAGTCTCTAAGAGCATTTAAACATCTATACACTTCAAACATTTCAAATATTATAATTGAAAGTGTAGAAAGTAGGTTTTCTTTCATTAATTCTTCTTCAATGGAGAGAATAATAGGAAAAATAGTAATAAAAAGAAGACACATACAGTATACTGTACTGTAGATTGCTCAGTAGTTTATACAAGCAGGTGGAGAATGACGATAGTGAATTATTCAAATCAATATAAAATCTTGTATCTATCCGCCGAAAGAGGGGGAAGAGAAGTGAGCAAAGTGTAGGTCTACACTATTTGGAATACTAATAAACTATACTAAATATACAGTACTATCAACAATTTACAGTTAATAGTTTGCAGTTGACTGTAAAGTATATAATCTGAATATAAATTGAGTATATAAAGTATCGTTAAACGCGCAGAAATATAATTGATCTTTTATAAATTTATTGTAAATATTGTAGGAGGAGTGTATATACTCTACGGTAAGAATAATATAGAATACACTGTATATTCGTATATTATAATATTCTCTTTGGTATTGGGTTAGCTGCTATATTTCCTGTTTACACTATGGCTATACAACTGCAGTCTACTCGCTAATCATATATTCAATATAGTATGTATTGCACATAGTTTACGCCAGAGTAGAAATTTTCAAAAACTATATTAAGAATAGAGCGTTAAATTAACGCTGAAATTGAGACGGAGGAAAGACAACTACATTCCTCTGTCTCTCTCTTTCTTTCTTTCTTTCTTTCTTTTGTCAGGAAAGAGATGGATTAACTCTTAAGAGATTTACTCTTTTTGTTGTTTTTCTCTTCTTTCTAGTAGAAAGTGCTAATTGTAATGTAGAATACTTGTGTCATATTTTCAATGAAGCACGGGATATAGAAAAAATACAAAGAGTAAAAAACTAGAGGAGATAAGAGCGGAAGGGAGAAGGAAGAGTTGACGATGGGTAAAGACAAATAGAAGAGAACATATATTCCTATTATGCTGTCCGTGTTTATTTAGTAATATTAATATTAGTAAGTATTGTTATTGGTTTTTATCAATGATTTCTATAAATAAAGGATGCGTAGCTAAAAGTAATATCTCCTTAATTTTTTCCTTCTTATTCATTAAGGAACTTTGCAATTAGCAGTTGAAGAACGTAAAATATTTCAATAGTCTTATTAATAAAGAATTAATCTAGGGGAAACTCATCTCTATCGCCCCCTTTCCCTCTCTTTCTCTCTCCCTTTCTGTTTTTCTTCCCTTCTTTCCCCACCTTCTTATTTCTCTCCCATTTACATCGTTAATTAATTTCATTTACTTTTTTATCAAATATGTTATAGAAAAGATACTTGAATTTCCTTTATAAAATGCTACCTTGTGTGTTTCTTTTTGTTTTTCGTTGTCGTCTCCTCGTAAAAGACGAGCGGGCAAGTGGGATAGTTTGAACTAGCTGGCTAGCTAGATAGATAGATAGATATATAGATGGAAGGCAAGCTGGCTGGCTTGCTGGCTGCCTGGATGAATGGATGGATGGTTGGTTGGATAGAGATATAGATTAAGTAGAGAAAAAACATAGCTGAAAGAGAGGGACGTTTATGACTGTAGGAAGAATATTAATAGAAAAAAAGTTGACTAAATAAATCAAATTGGTTACAATTTGTCAAAGTAGCAAAAAAATGTAAACCCTACAATCCATGGGTGGTAAGGCTCATGTCTTTACGCGTAGGCAGGTTGAAAGATAGAGTAACAACTAGTAATAGTAATGGTAGTTGGATTGAAAACTTATTACTGTTTGGGAGAGTATATGGAATTTCCTTCGAGCAGGTACAAATTAATTAAATAATATTGAAGTATCGTATATACTATTTATAAAAAAAGAGTATTAAGCGAAGAGGCTTGTTTGCCAGTTATATTTGTCTGTAGATGGCAAATAATAAGAGATAGGCTTAAGTCTAGGTGTTGATTATCCCCTTTTTTGTAATTGTTAGAAAGCCAAATGAGATTGTGGTGCCTTTTTCTCGTCACAGTTGCCTACTTGTTTGCTTGTTTGTTTATGCTAGAATTTGTAAAGGAAAGATTCTCATGTACAAACCTGTTTACCTCCAAGCATTGAATCGGTAGCCCTTTTCAAAGCATCCACAATAGACTCCCTACAGCAGTAATAAGAGTCGAATTTACTCTTCATAACGGAATCATAAACGTTCATGGCGGGGGCCAGCAATTTTTCCAATTTTGATAATTGATAAAGTCTATGAACGCCTGTGACGCATTGTTCAATAACCCCTTTTAAGTATTTAGAAGCCGTTGGAAATTCTGAAAGCATTCTATGAGTAGCATCTCCACCGTCGTCTAAAATGATATTGGGTTGCCAATTATCGGAATGCAAAGTTCTATCGATGCACCACCAAAAGTCTTCTTCCGTTTGATTTCTCCAGGCAAAGATCGATATTCCAGCTTCGGCAAGAGCAGCAGCAATTTGGTTTTGGGTTGAATAAATGTTGCAGGCTGCCCAACGAACTTGCGCTCCCAGGCTAATTAGAGTCTCAATTAGGACAGCAGTCTGGATCGAGATTCACAAACTTTTATATTTCTTAATATTAATTACTGTATAAAAACTCATCGGCAACCTGATTAATAAGTGTAACAATACTAAACTAATACTAATACTAGCTTAAATTAGAGTTAAAGATAAGATAGAACGCTAACGTATTACTTATTTTATGTTAAGGTTAAGCCCTAATTCCCTGCGTAAACACTAGAGTGTATAGACTCTTGCCTGATCTACGTAAATCTAGTTGTTAGGAATAGATAGAATAAACCTATTAATTCATCTTCCTATTCAATTATCATCGTATAAAACAAATATAATAAAAAACAGGGAAGGTAATCAATCGATTAGATTGAGGAACAAGAGAGTTTGACTCCCTTTTCATAGAAGATATCTAAAATTGCCAAGATTTTACAGGCTAATCTATTCAATCGTCCTTTCCCCCGTATAATACCTACTACGTACGCTAATTGCTATTTATATATCTGATATATGCAAATTATTTTAGTTGGTAAATTAACTTCCATAAGAATACGAAGCTTTGAGAGTGCATCTTTCTTTGATAATATATTTTCCATTTAGATTTTCTGCACTCCTCTTTCTGATTTCAGCTCTAAGATAGACAGGAAGGGAAGAGTTAGAGAGACAAATTCTAAATGTGGTAAATGGGTAAGAATGGCTAAAAGCTTGTGAAATTATTCTTTGTAAGCATATACCGTTTAGAAATCGGTTAGCTGACCTAATTGTCTAGGCTTACTGTTGAGTCCTGAAAAGATAATTCATTTGAATACTAGTTTATCCAATCATTGTTTGGTATTTCTTTTCCTTTTCTCTTTTATTTTTGGTGTTATTGTTGAATTAATCCTTTTCACCTGCGCGAAGAGACTATCAAAGGATAAAAAGTCTGCTTGTAGAGCAATATCAACTAGTGTAGGGAAACAATAGGGGCCACATGCTGTTGAGTTATTTTAGAGAACTTGTTGTAGATTCTTTTACGTAGCTACCTAATAAATTATGTTCACCTTTCTCAACTGCAATATGACTTGTAAGAGGGCGTCTCTACAATAGAGCTTTATTGGATAGTCTATTCGCAGTTCAGATCAATTACAGCCTTTAAAATTCTACTCTATTGTCAATTAAATAGCGTAAAAAGAATTAAAAGAGCTTTTCTGTCCTTTTTATTCTCACCAATTTCGCTTTTCTCTCTCTCCGCCATTTGCGCTTTATCCTCCTTCCCTTTATCTGCGTCCCCTCGACTAGCCTCCCCGCCAATTCACTCCTCTACCCATTTTAAAGTCTAATAAGGAATAAAATACTATACTGAATACATCGTAATAAAGTGAAAATTTCTAAGGTTATGCAATTACTATGGAAAGGGTCTGTGCATAAATAGATCAGTCGTCGTGAGAAGGAAATCAATTAACAGTTTACTCTTTTAATTATTTATCCTAGAGTCTTTTAAAGGGCTGTAATGTCTTTATGGATGTTGCATAACTAAAGTTAGGGCGCAAAATTGGGACATGTCGATGAAAAATGCATAGATGATTGGATGATAGTCATTTATATATATATATGTAAATGCAAACATATATTAATATATTTTCAAAGAGAGAGAGAGCGAGAGAAGGAGAAAGCTAATCAAGTTAGAGCGAAGGGTTACTTAAATTGAAAAAAAAGGGATAGATTAAATAAATAAGTAGATTTCACCATTTTTGAAAGTATGTGATTGCAATAAACGCTAAATACTAAAAGTATTTCATAGAGAATAATCTCTTTTAAAAGGATAGTTTCTTTTTTCTTACTAGATTAAAGTTAAAATGTTTCTCTAATCATAACCGAAATGTTTTAGCTTAAAAGAAATTAGACAGCGAAAGTCTGTGGTAGGTAAAGAGAGCAATAGAAAGCGGCAGAAAGAGACTGTGGGAGAGGGAGAGACGGGGGAATAAAGAGAGAAATGAGAATATTTCTTTTTTTTTGTTTTTCAACTACTTGGCACTGAAAGGATTTGCCTATAGAATGCTCTAAGAATTTTATGATATTAGTTTCTTTGAATCTCGTCCCTGAGCTGTGACGTGAGTACAGCCGACAATCTTTGCTCCTTGTAATGGTTTACCGCTCTTCATGTTTTTACGTAACGAAATCAGACCCTGCATCTCGACTGCAATGAAACAAGAAAATAAAAAACAAAGTAAATTACGATAGTCTTTTTTCCGTGTTGAGAAAAATGATTGATAGGTTTACGTAACGATAGTAATTAATTGGCTGAAACCCTTATTGCCCTTTGAAAAGTCTTTAGCAGGGTATCTACTTATAATTAGAAATTAACAAACTTTGTTCCGCAATTTCAATCTCCTTCCTCCCATCAAAATGCTGATTTATATCCCTGACTCTAAAATCTGAAAATCCTTTGCTGTTTCTCTGAGTTTGGTCTCTGGGATTTGCCTCATCATCAGATGACGAATAATTTGAAGCTGTTTTGGAGAAAAAAGCAGGATTAGACTTAAGATTTATGGTAAAAGAGAGAGGTGTGATGGCATGGGAGAGGGAGGCGGTGGCTGAGAGGGATAGAGATAAAAAAAAGAGATATCTAGTTAGCTAGCTAGCTAGATAGATAAAGCTAGATAGCTAGATAGCTAGATGAAAGAGAGAGAGAAAGAAAGAAGATGAAGAATACCATTATTTCCTGTTAAAGGCTTAAATACATTTCTAAAAAATAGTAAATTTTTCCAATTGAATGAATGAATAAGCCACATGTCAGTAGTGTTGTTGAATTTTTCAAAATGTCTACCGAATCTGAATAAATGTATAAATACGGATTGAATTGCTCTTAATGAAATCGTCACGAAAGCTAGCGGGAACACGTATCTTATACGTGCAAGATTATAGTTGACGTATACGTTTCCACGTCTACCATAAATTTCATGTTAATTTACATCGTATTTGCATTCGTTTCAGACTATTTTTAAGAATATATTATTGTTGTCTTTGACATTTGAAATGAATATTTCGAAATTTTCAATTGTAAAGAAGCAAGTGAAAAGGAATTAGACATTGATTATAGAATATTATATAGAGTATCTACTGGGTATACTGTATACTATACAGTATATATACTAAATATATAGTTATATATACATTCCTATTATATTGAAAGAAGAGTACTTGGAAATTACAATATCATTTATATTAGCGATAGGAGCATTAATCGTAGTCTATGATTTTTGTGTACTACAAACGATGTACCTATTTTTTTTAACTGTTGACTGACGTATTCTAAGATAAAGCATGGTTTTTGCATTATACACGATACATATATACATAATAGTATATACTGTATTGTGCTGGAAATTATGATTTAAAGGATTTCATTGGATTAAAAACATTCTGTGAGGTTTATTCTAAAAAACGTTTCCACTTTGCTATTAAAACAACAACAATTTGATAAAATGAAGTCTCTCTTTTCTTATGTAATAATTCATTCTAACCCTTAGCTAATATATGTAAATTCTCTGAGGTAAATCTTTAACCCATCAACCCTGGCTCTCTTTCTCATCTTTGCTTTCTCATTACCACTGCTTCCCCCTTTCACTCCCTCCCTGCCTCTTTTTCGCTCTTCTTTCGCCTCTACTCTTAATTTATCAATCCCAACTTTCTCTATTTTCTTCACCTTTCCCTGGCTCGTTTCTCTACCCCTAAGGCCTAGTGGAAAACTATGTATGTCAAATTCACCATTAACTGCAAAGACAAGAAATATCCCTGAAAGAAAAACATATAAGATTGGAATTTTATTCTTTCTTTCTCCCTATCAAATTTCTTTTCCTCTTCTTTCTCTTCTTTCCCTTCCTCATCTTTTTCGTTTCATCTTTATACTTTTTTAATTAAAGAAAAATATGGAGAAAAGAGAGGAAAAGAAGGAATAGAACGTGAAGGGCAAAACGAGAAGAGGAGTCGGTAAAAGAAAGACACACGGAGAATAGAAAAAGAAAGAGAATGAGATAAAAAGAAAGAAGGGGAAAGGAATGCAATATTACATACATATGTATAAATTTATTAGAATATTTAACTATTGTACTTTTGAGGAATGGACTATTGAGAAGGTTTAAAGATGTACTTGAAGAGGAAAGAAATAGCATATATACAGTGTATATAGCGTATTTCACTAGGCAACTATAAGCGTTATAGAGTAAAATATTCCAGATATAAAATGATTCTCTTTCTCTTTTTGACTTATAACCAATAATTGAATTTTTGTCAGTTTCGTAATTTACTAAATTTGGCTTTTGCGACTGAATAAATTTAATAAATACAAATTAACTTATCAATTTTCATGCAAGAGAAATAACTAAAACAAAGGAAGCAATGGTAACGACAATGCTTACTAACAATAGTTATTATAAACGCATTCAAAACAACAATCATTCATTTTTAATTTTCAAAATTGTCTAGTTGGTATTAGTAATACCATTATAATTCATTATAATGACTTTAGTATTCAAATAAATATGACCTCATGAGCCACTTATTAGCATATTATTGAATAGTTAAATGGATAGAGAGAGAGCGAGACAGAGAGAATCGGTTCAGAAACTTAAGTAATAGGTGGAAGAAAATCAATAAATTATATATATTATATATACTGTATATATATATAGAATATTATTAATTATCTATTATATAATTAGCTGAATATGTTTTCTTATTTTTCTCTTTGCTTATCTTCCTTTATAGAAGAATGACTATGAGGAAAAAACGAAAATTATAGAGGCAAAGAAGGCTTTTCTAAGTGACTTTTATTGGCCTTTTAAACTAGTTTAAGTACCATAGAATCTATAGATATTTATCCAGGTGTGTTTAGTTGCATTGGATAGGCAAAAGAACATGAAAGCAAACAGGTAGAAGTAAGGGAGAGGGAGGGAGGGAGGGAGGGAGAGAGAGAGAGAGAGAGAGAGAGAGGGCAAGAGAAAAACGAAATTTCGCAAAAAAAAACTCGTTTATAGATTATATCCTTGAGAATACCTTAATCAGTTTTCTACCTGAATGAATACTTAATTAAGAACCGATCGCTAATTCTGGAGTAATAAATCAGCAAATATTTGCAGATTTTCTCTACTGAAACTACCAGAGCTTAACGTGTGCATAGTCAAACATACAGTATACTTTTGACAGAAAATAAAGAGAAAAGCCTAAAGCCTATAAATATTCTAGCATAGATCTTTGCTTTTTTTAGAGGCAAAGTAATTAAATAGATCGAAGAAGAGGAAAATTTGCATATTTTTCCAGAAATTAACCATTTTGGACACAGTAATGAATATAGAAAGGATATAAATACATATATCTGTTGCTATTTTTAAAATGGTTGTGAATGAAAAATTCATTCAAAATATGGGCCTAAGCTAATTGCCCTGCTTTTCGACTCACTTATTATCCTTTCAATATATTGATATTCAAAGAAGCGTAATGTTTAATAGCTCAGAGGATTATAGGCTTAATATTTAACTAGCGAAAATGATTATGAAGCATAGGTAAACATGTATCTGCAAAATAGATTTTACACTAGCTATTATCAATCCAAAGGTAGATTTTTAACATGAATGTTTTCTCCAATTTCTTGCCACTTAGCTGATCTCTTTGCTCTTTTTATTTCTTTCTTTCTTACTCTTACTCTCACTTTCACCCACTCTCTCTCTCTCTCTGTCGCTCACCCTCTTTCCCTGGTCTGTGTCTCGAGAGACTACTAGATTTTGCGTCGTGTTATAGCTTCTAATAATAAGCGATCGGACAAGCGTCCATTAGAGTTGTGGACGTTTGATAATAAGTGGAAAACTCATAAAAAGTAAAGGGAAAATATAGAATGAAGCGAATGAACGCAATATTTACTGACTTTCATTATATTTCTAATCAATAAAACCTTTCTTTTATAGTGTAAATAGTAACCAACTATTGGTAAAGTATAACACATTTTTCTCCTTTTTTTCACTGACCTTCTCACTCCCTTCTCTTTCCTCCTCCTCCTCCTCCCTTGTCTTTTAGGGACTAAAGAAAACTATCTAAGAGATAATTAATACTTACAAAAAGAGTCGGAGGAAGCACACGACGATCTTCTTACATTTAATATTTGAGGAATGGATATGCTACTTTTCCTTCTCTTTTGTTGATTTTTAAAGCTATCCTTCGACTCTTCGTCAAATTTATCACTCATTTCACTGGCGCAGTCGTCCATGTTTAGTTGTTATTCTGCAGGGAGATTATTTTCCAGTGCAAACAGAATAATAAACATCAAAAATGAAACAAGAAAATTTTCGTCGCTCTTCTTGCTAATTAAAATTAATCGATTGTTTGTCCATTCATCTTATCCTATAGAGAATATACCGCATAATCTATATTATACAGTATATTTAATATTAATGCACATATACTATATATACTGTATATATATATATATATATACAGTCCCGATAAAAAGTCTCGGCCAGGGTTGTTCTCAGAGTGGAAAAAGTGAATTATTTAACTAACAGGACTTGCTTAATTATCTTTTTTTGTTTAGAATGAAGGATAAGACATATATACAACCGAATTTATAAATAGAATTCATTAAAAAATTTTTCCTGCTTTACAGTATTTTTTATTTAAAAATTTTCAAAAACAAGGAGGAGAAAAAATTTCGGCCATGTTCCCTGTTCCTGCCCAAAAAATAGATAATTATCAGACAAAAACCCCATTAATATTTTTCTATGACATTTCCTGAGTAGTGTTACACAATCAGAGAACAACAGAACAATAAAAAATTAAAAAATGGGCAAGATAAGTCTTGAAATGAGACAGAAAATTGTACAATTAAATAAAAGAGGGCTAAGCCAGGTCAAAATATCGAAAGAGCTAAATATTCCTCGTACAAGTGTGAGATACAACCTAAAAAAGGCAAAAGAATGTTCTTCAATGGAAGACAAACCAAGATCTGGTCGTCCAAGAAAGATATGCGAATCAGATAAGAGGAATCTTATTATAATTCAAAAAAAAAACCCATTTTTTTCTGCCAGACAGGCATACAATGAGTGGAGTATGGCAGGTAAGGTAAGTTTATCTTCTGCTAAGAAGATCCTTTATAATTATGGGCTAAAGAGCTATGTGGCAAAGGTGAAACCATTGACTAACTCAGGTAACCGAAAGAAGAGAATTCTCTTTGCCAAAAAAATTCTTAAAAAAACTGAGGAGGAGATAGAAAGCTACATATTTTCGGATGAATCAACTTTGGAGCTGTACCCAAAGCAAAAGACAAGAGTCAGATGCAAAACAGGAGATAAACATCTACCACAATATTGCAGAAAGAGCTTTAAAGCAAAGAACTGCAAGGTAATGATTTGGGGAGCTATAAAATGTGATGGTTCCAGAGCTCTTGCATTTTGTGACGAATCCATGGATTCACAGCAATACATAGAGATTCTAAAAGATCATCTATTGCCTATATACACTAGACAAAACACATTTCAGCAGGATGGGGCAAGATGCCATACCTCGAAAATTTCTAAAACATTCCTCAGAAAAAATAAAATAAAATTTATAAAAGATTGGCCTGCCCAAAGTCCTGATATCAATATAATAGAAAACCTTTGGGCAGTGCTTAAAAAGAGGGTCTATGAAAAATTACCCAAAAATTTGAATGATTTGAAGATACTTATAAAAGATGAATTTTTTTCCATTTCTGGGGACTACATAAAAAATCTATACAGATCAATCAAAAAAAGGTGTCGACTAGTTATCCAAAAAAAAGGTTATGCAATAAACTATTAGTTTAAAATTGACATTTGATAAGTTTTTTGCAAGCATGGCCGAAATTTTTTCTCCTCCTTGTTTTTGAAAATTTTTAAATAAAAAATACTGTAAAGCAGGAAAAATTTTTTAATGAATTCTATTTATAAATTCGGTTGTATAAATGTCTTATCCTTCATTCTAAACAAAAAAAGATAATTAAGCAAGTCCTGTTAGTTAAATAATTCACTTTTTCCACTCTGAGAACAACCCTGGCCGAGACTTTTTATCGGGACTGTATATATATATATAAATATATCGAAAATATTCCTCTTCTTATTTATTGTTGTTTTCTCGTTCCTGTTGTCCTTCGGAGTCTTCTTTGTCTTGTTGTCTCTCCTCAACTAGTTCTTAGCCTCTTCTTTCATATATACAATTTTAGCCTCTACTGGCTTTTTCCAATCCTATATTGCCAAATTTTTGTCGGTGACAATACGATTTTATTGGTCCAATCGATTAGCAATCTTTACAAACTAATCGATCCTTTTATATTTAACTAGTTTTGCACGTGCTCAACAACCAAGTGTTAAATAAATAACATTAGAGAATTTCTCGTGTTTACTGTATTTATCTGATATATGGTTTGTCAATTTTCCGTTAGATGGAGTTTTACAGCTGTAACTAGTGGCCTCTAGGCTTATTTTACTTTAAGGTCACCTTCTAAAGGAAAATAGCGCCTTAAAACGAGTATAATAGCTTTTAGGAAGTAATTGGATGGTCCTGTTCCCATAAAATTTTACTTTCTCTTGGTGTAAACTAGAAAAAAGCAAATTTTTAATAAACTTTTCCCCTTTTCAAACATTTCCACTCGATAGAACGCTATCTATTGGCTAAAAATCTAACTACTCAATAAAATAAAAGACAACAACGTATGGATAAAATGTAGCACGATAGGAGGAAAGAGAATGCCAGATACGAACGATATCTTCTTTCTCTTTCCTTTTGAAACATAATAAAATAGGGCAAATTCAATTTAGATATTTGAAAAGAGAGGAGTGAAAAATACTGTACTGTAGTTCTAAGGAGAGGGATAAAATGGAAAGATAGCGTAGTGTAGCCAACACATAATTCTATAATGAAATTTAGAATCTCCTGTCGAAATGTCAACAGAGAAAAAACGATATGATTGAGGTAGTTTTCAGAGTCACTGCTTGTTAACAAGCAGAGCATCAACCGATCAATTTCATCCTCAATCCCTGCCTGAACAATTGGTCAAGTTTTTCGCCTTAACTACAACCTTTAGCCTCGCGGTCTCTTAATATTGATCAATAGTTGGTAAACTGTCTGTCAAGCGTAATAAGGAAGAAAGTAGTAGAAGTAAAAGTGACAGATGTGGTAGTAACAGCAACAATACAAGTAATAGTGATGTCGATAGTACTAGAATATAAACTCTAAAAGACGATGACGAAAATGATGAAAGAAGAGAGAAGAAAAGTGAAAAATTGAGTAAAATTTACTCTGAAAGAAAGATCTCCCTTGACGAATATTGGATGTTTTGAAAATATTTTTAAATGTTTGTAAAGAAATTGCTGTTGATTATATTTTGACGGAAGACGCCAAGGAAAGGAGAATGACTGAAAGAAGATAGCATAATGTGTGAAATAGAAAAGTAGAAAAATATTTGAAAGACATTATGATGAGAAAAATTAAATAATGAGACTGGATTGTCAAATTTATCCAAGAGCAAGGACTTGGCAATTTTTACTTTTATTCTCCTTTCTCTTTTCTCATTCACGCACCCACTCAGTCACTCGCTCACTCATTTTGTAAATTTCTCTCTCTTTTCTCTTCGTTTCTCCCTCTCCCTCCCCCTCTCTGTTGCCTACTTTCTGCCTTGTTTTCTATTTGTAACATCAGATGGATAATAGGTAAACGTGTATATAACTTAGAATAGGACCTTTTAAAAACATATAAAAGACTGCTTAAGAGTGTGTGTGTGTGTGTGTGTGTGTGTGCGTGGGAGTGGTGAATAGTTAATGTACTCGTATTGTATTATTGTTTCACGATAAGAGATTAAATATTATTATAGTTATTGAAGACTATCTTTCAAAAAGAGAGTTTATACCTATTTGAATACCTCTTGCGCCTATTTGTTTTAATAGAGTATACTTAATAGTATTCATTTGCGGAGGGAAAGAGGAGCAACTAGGGAGTTTTGGATTAAATATAAAGAGCGAGTCGATAATTAGGATATCTTGTGAAAAATGTTTTAAACTACAAATACCAATAATATCAATTTAACAAAGATACATTCATACATGTCAAATGCTCACAGATAATCTGAATTTTCAACCATCCATCAATCTATCCTTCTACTTTTCTTTGCAATTAAATTCTACATCTAAGTAAATCAGTGTAATTCATTTTATTTAAATAGAAAAATAGGCTAAATTATAATTGTCCTTCAAGATAGATAGCTATCTGAGAAAAAAATTAAAGGAAATATGCATTTGGAAAGAAACTCCTATTACATGTCCAAAGGCGATTAATAGAAACAAGTTGAGTATAATTGAATAAAATACTTAAAAGAGAATTAAAGCGTTAAAGTATAATATATTCGATGCCTTAACGGCTTCAGAGTTTACGAATAGTATAAAACACGAAATTAATTGACTGCTTTAGGTGTTCTTTTCACTTTTAGTATCTAAACAGAGAGAGAGAGAGAGAGAGAGAGACAGACAGAGAGAATGATAGAGATACATTGTTTCAAAGAAAGAAAATGTGTTAATATTGATTACAAATTATTGTTCATATTTATATATATATACTGTATTAAAGTGTGCGTATGCATGTATGCATGTAGGGATGGATGGATAGATGGAGATAAGGCTGCTTGTCCAAATTCAAATCTGAGCCAGTCACTTTGCCTTTCCGAAGAGTTACTGTAATGTTTTTATCTTTGATGTAATTATAAATTATATGAAGGGAGAGAGAGAGAAAGCAAGCAAAAGGAATATTGTCAAATATATTATTTATCTTTTTATTGTAACCATTTTCGACTACTTTTAATAAACTCTTAATAGTTTCTTTTATGGAATAATTGTTCGATAGACAGCAAGTAATATCATTTTCGCACTATTAACTAAAGAAGAAGAAGTAGCTAGAGAAGAGAATCTCGAGTATATTTCCCAAGATTCTTAGCAAATCTTCTATAAATGCACTATGCGGTAAACAGTAAACAGTATACAATATAGGAACAATGTATGTTATTGTAAAAAAAAGGGAAAAAAACGAAACGTTATAGATGAGTTTTGCAAAAAAAAACAATCAATTCTTGTTAATTCCTTTTGTTGGCATTCAACTCTCTTAATTTTATAGTTTCAAATCAATTGACTATAGCTTACAAAGTACATTATACAGTGTATATATACATCATTCTGTAAAATTAATAGTTTGATCGCAATACAGGATAACATCGGTGAGGAATTTTCATAAGGTGTGAGAGAATATAAATTACCTATCTTTTTTATGGATTATAGCTGCTAAAACAGCTTTTAAACAGTTCTAATCGATATGATAGATTTTATAAAGATATTCTGCTTGAGTGATGAAGCGTGCTATAAACACTACTTGGTTACTTAACAACTCATTTACGTAAGAAGAACACCCACTCTATACTAATATATGTACTTAATATATTTAC